CAGTTCAAGGTCCAGCAAGTAAGAAAACAACTACAGTTCAGGTTGTCTAGTGATAGTAGTTAAATAAATATTAGATATTATTTATCTAGACTAAATTTAAAGTAGCGTAACGGTAGAGCAGTACTTTCTTCTGAAGAGTAATTTAGTAAACCTAATTAAGGAACAAACTTTCTGAATTAACTCTAATTGAGTATTCCGAGTTGCGTTTCTTACTTCAGATTGTTCTGAGCATAGAATATCAGATGATGTTTCGAATGTTCAGGTGTTGATGAAATTCAGAAAGGCGAAATCAATAATCGATATCTATCGGTCACTGCGCACAATGAAATGTAGATAGCGTGCAAAGTAAGCACTGCGTACGTTACGCAACCGCTGGCAGCCTTGTGAAGGACGCGCGTGCGCAACTGGGAAAATGCTTGTCGTGAATTTTCATTTGTTCGCGCGTGACTTTAATCACACAACTGCAAGGGCCTACAAGGGATGTGTATCGGAATTTAATTATACCCAAATTTTGTAACTATAGCTAGAGCTATATATGTATGTAGACCTTAACATGACATTAATATCCCACTGTCGGGCATGGGGTTTTCCGCATGACAAAAATAAAGTCAACCAAGTTTCATCGAAATTACCATAAAAATAGAAATTCTATTTAAAAAAAATTACTAACAAATCAAAACGTACTCATATTGATAATCAATTAATTGATTTTTTTATTTGTTCTACTACTGAAAACAAGGAGCTTGCCAGTCAGGTCAGGTCAGGTCATAGTCATAGTCAGGTCGATTATTTGTTTGTTTACATTAAGTTATATCAAAATGGATTATACTATTATCACATACAATATGCGACTGGCAATAGTTTCATTTCAATTTGACGTTCTCTTCTGCTACTTTATCGTGATTTTTTCTAGTCACATTTTACGACATTCTGGGGTTGAAAACGAGTGATGACTCATTCTATTCTTACTTCGTCATCACACGGATAATTTCGTAAGTCAGGTATATTTTTTTGGTTTAATTATGCAAAAGGTGTACCAATACTTGATAGGTAGATACTTAGATACATACTAACTTTTTTTTCGTGAGTAATTTTCTTAAACATTTCCGCAGTGCTAAAGTAATTTGAAATTATAAGATTGTTGGTTAAAAACAATTAAATTTAAGTGTTTATTGTATACTTTTTATATTTATCAATCCGATATTATTGTTTTATTGAGTTTACATAACCAATTTAAACATGTAACGCATTGTGATATATATGTATATAAACTTTGATGATATGACTGTTTTTGTATTCGTGGGAGAACAAGATATAAGTTCAAAAATATCAATAATTCGATGTACATAAATCAATAAATATGTACATGTTGTATATATGTGTGAACACAAAACATTTTATGCGAGAACGAACCCGTTACTATCATAAAGTGAGCCGGCGTGTTAAACCTCCCAAACCTGTGGAAGAATTGAAAAATTCTGCTTGTATTAAGTAGGATAGTTATTTCTTAACATAACGAAACTGATCGACATTATATTATTATAGGTTAAACTTAGGTAAATTATACATGTGGAAATAAGATAAAATTTAAATCCTAAGAATATGCAGCATCAATTCTTTACATTCAATACATCAAGTTTTTATACTTAGTTATTAATTAAATGACAAAGGTGGATATAAAACGAAATTAAGAAAAATGTGAATGTATGGTACAGTATAATATAGACTTAGTCTATCACCGTCTATGAATTTGATCTGTCAACGGTATTTAGTGTTAACAGAGTTATTATCACCAGAGAGTTAGTTTAAATTTACATACAAAGTATTTGCCCAAGTTCGAACTCATGACTTTTGATGATTATTTATTGAATATGATTGAATTATAAGTAACCCAGTGGCATATTGCTACGAGGTCAAGAAGCTTTCCTTATTACGTAATTACTCGTATTTGTATTAAGCTTGTAATAATTGGAATATTAAAGTGCAAACCATTTTTAAAACCACATTAATGTATTACATTTTTAACCAAAAATATATTTATTTTATGAATGTCTAATAATTAATAATAATTTTAAACTGATTGAAATTTGCTACGAATATTAAAAATAAGATTGTTTTTAGCAATAAGGCAGCCTTTTGTATATGCACATTCTGTATAAATACTTCTTGTATACATCTCTTTTGAACGCAATAAAGTATTTATTATTATTATCAATTCGAAGGTAATGCAATGCCATATTCTATTATGATTTTTTAGTTTAGTGCCTAGCTAACGTAGCTAGGCACGTATTATACGTATTATATTATCTGTGGTTATACTGATGTACGAGTACAATTAGGAACTCAAGAGTAGTTGGTAAAGAATACCTGTTGGTCAGGGTCTATATTGATTCTGGATCTTCAATTACGTAAAATATACACATAGAAACATATGCATCTATAGACAGACAAACACATGTTTGTGAGACTTTATTAAATTTTTCTTTTGTGAAATTTAGGATGGAAGAATGGAAAACAAGCTAACGGTTCACCTCATGGAATGTGGTAACCATCGCCTATGGAAATTAATAACACTGAATATACTGTGACACTCTTAGAACTCCTCATGCGTTTCTATTCTTGAGAACTACGAGTATAGTGCTATGGTTTCTTACCCGATAAATTAGCTGACACATTTCGCCCTTCAAACTGAAGAACATCTATTTCGTAGAAGAAACATGCGGTATCTCTCTCTATTAAAGAGAAATTATGTACTTTAAACTTTAAATAAAAAAATAGGACAAATACTAAATTCTTATTTTACAACACCTGCACGAATAACTTGTGCGACCTTGTGTCCTTGACGGTAAATTGTCTACACTCTTCTATTGTTATGCTAATTCACTTGAATGAGCCACATCCATGAATGTTGGACAATGGTCATTTTTATTACCCAGTACCAGTCGTATGTGTCTTGTTTTCAAGTATGTCGCAGTCCTTGGCCATAAATCAAAAGCAGTATTAAATGGTTAATTGTAACGGTTATGCGGGATGTTGGATGTAAATTCACAATGAAATTTCCATTAACTGTATACTTGTATATAGCGGGTGAAATTAGGTCATTTCTCCATTGCAGCTTTTTTTTATGCAACTTGGAATGTCAAATAAACTAACGGCCCACCTGATGGAAAGTGGTAACCGTCGCCTATAGACTTGAGCAGTACCATGGACATAACAGAGTATACTGTTTCGCCCATGATATCCCCCGTGGGTCGCCATTCCTGAGAACTCAGGTGTTATTCCTCTGTACCCTATAAATTCACTGGCTTATCCACCCTTCAAACTGAAACATAGCCATGCAAACACAGCTACTTCGTGATATTATTTCATAAATGTGCTAATATTATAATTTTTAATATTTAATAAATTAAAATATGTTAACTAGACGATAAATGGATACGTAAACGATAATAATAATATTATTATAATAAAATATCATAATATAATATTAATTCCCTTTTTTTAAGTATAAATCAGTATGTAATTAAACTCTTTATGAAATAAAATTGCAGTTACTGATTGTTAAAACCTTATTTATTACTAAATTTTACTCGAGACTTCGTCTGCGTTATCAGGATAAATAGTAACCTATATCTATTCATTGTATATTGGATGATCCGTTAAGACGCCAAGAGGTAACAAGCAAACTTGCAGTTACAAAGCAAGCACTTTCACATTACCAGTAATAAGTTTTAATTTCAGAAATTTTGTGAATTGAAAAGAAGTTCCTAAAAATCCCTGTTATCAAATTAAAGTAAGTATTTAGTACAATCAAAGTGTATAATTTGGATATGAGAGCCATCATCATATCAAATTTTATTCTAAACTCTCTAGGTAAGATCCTTGTAAGATTCTCTGATAATAATTTCATATAAGATTTAGCTAAATACAGTGGCATTCTTATTTTTATTCAGGATATTAACAAAATAATAAGAGTTCAAATAACTAATAGCTAATACCTACATTTGAAGGATAATGAAAAGGTAACACAGTTTCAAAAGATTTCAAAGTCTTTTATGTAAGTGTTCAATAACTAACTTAAATTATGTGATATAAACCCAAAATTTTCCTTGGTGATGTGATGTGGGTGTTACAGGAGATAATTTTCTAAAATTCTTTTGAATATATCAGTTATTCATTGAAAGAAATAAAACTAATTGAAAATCTGTTAGATATTTTTCTTAGATTTTCATGAGTCCATTTTATCATCGAGAAAAATTATTTCTTGAGGATGATTATTTTATTTTATGAAAATCATTTGAACGAAATAGTGATATAAAAAAATCATATTTATATTTTAAAAATAAGACTGAAACAAGTTGTTTATCACACTTATTAATATGCATATGATTATATTTTTAAAACATTTTATATAGAAAACGTTTTACGATAATAGTGACAAAATATAAAAAAAAATATTATATGTATATAGTAGATTATGCATTAATACAATTTTTTTTTTTTATTTTTTATTTTTAAAAACAAAACGACTGCTAAACAAGTTAGAGCCCATTATCACACAACACCAGCGGCATTGCATGTGATCATATTTTTTTCTTGAATATATATTCTATATAGAAAACGTTTTACGATAACAACAGTCGAACAAAATATAAATGTTTTTAATAATATTATATGTATATAGTCGATATAGGTCCTATTAAGAAGTCACAATGTAAACAGTATATTATGTTCTATGTTGTTATATTCTTAGATTTCAGTAAGCTATTAAATTCGTTATTCAAACTAGACTTAGGCACTATATATATTTCATATACGGATATTTCCACTTTTTCCTTGGAAACCTTTCAGCTGTAGTCAACCGTGAAGATCGCGTAATACGCCTCCTGAAAACAAGTTCTATTGAGGATTAAGTGAAGAATTGGTGTGACGCGATGTTTCATAGACCCGGTTCGGTTGCACAAGTAGTCGCTTTGTTTGTGGCATTGTCCAGTCGTCCCATCGGCCAGGCTTGTACGTGCGTACTTGAATATATTTAAATTTGGAGATGCGGTCGGGATGAGGCAAGCGCAAGACACGAACAACTATAAATGGCGTTAGTATCTACTGGGGTGTACAGTCCGCTACTCCAAGCACCCCTGAACACATCTGAATAAATAAAAAATGGCTTTCAAGGTACTGAACACCTTTGGATTGTTTTGTGAAGTGTGACCAACGAAGTGATCGTGACATAGTGAATTTAAAAAAAAAATTGTGAAATGAGAAATTATAAAAAAATCTTATCTACATCGTGGATTAATTTTAGACTACATTTGATTTCTCACTACCGCTTTTATTACATCTAATGCGTGTTATTGAAAATTATTGTAATAAGGATACCGTAATAAGGATAATATTGCAAAAGGAGAAGGGTCTCAATGTCTCAATTCGATTTTTAACAATATTTAACCGATTTTAATGATTTTTACAACTTATTGACTACTGTAGTATTAGTGTTACATTGATGTATAATGTAATAAATAAACAAAAATTTTAATTAGGATTTAAAACTAAATTAGTGTAAGACCAATATGAAAAAATACCTCTTAGATTGAAAAAAGAATCATCAATCATCATCATCATGAGTTTGGGTTTTAAGAGTCATTAAGTTATTATTCGTATGTTTGTTCAAACTCGGATATTGTTAAATTGCATTAGATTTGATTCGAGTCCTATGTACGTACCTATGTGCGTACCAATTATACTTCTATATAACTTATACAATATTTTAACTTTATTAGAATTATTAATTTCCAAAAATTCTATTCGTTTTAGTTGGTGGTCTTCTCGTGCCTTCTCGCTGTGGCCTATGGCAGCGTGGCGCCAGCAGCTATCGCCGCCGCACCGGTTGCCTACACTGCTCCGGCTGTGGCTGCCAGGCTTGAGGAGTTCGATCCTTTACCTCAGTATCGGTTTGGCTACAATGTGGCTGATTCACTCACTGGAGACTACAAGAGCCAAGAAGAGCAGCGCAATGGTGACATAGTGCAGGGTTCTTATTCCGTCGTCGATCCCGATGGTACTCGTCGTGTCGTGGACTATGCCGCCGACCCCGTTAACGGATTTAACGCTGTAGTGCGCAAAGAACCATTGGTGGCTGCTGCCCCAGCTGTAGTCGCCGAGCCAGCCGTAGTGCCAGCTCGCATCGCTGCCGCTCCCGTCGCAGCCGCAGTGGCCCAACCTGCTGTCGTGCCAGCTCGTTATGCCGTTCCAAGTGCAGTCGTTGCACCCGCGAAAATAGCTGCTGCTCCTGTAATTGCGCGATATGCCGCCGCCCCCGTCGCCGCCGCTCCCGTTGCTGCTGCACCTGCACCAGTGTTTGCCCGATATGCGTCTGCACCCTTAGTGCCGGCACGTTATGCGGCTGCACCAGTCGTAGCCGCGCGCTACGCCGCCCCGGTAGCGGCTGCGTATAGAGCTCCGATTGCGGCGTATACAGCACCCGCTGCGTACACGACTTACGCAGCTGCGGCCCCAGTCGCAGCGGCGTATGCGGCGCCTGTTGCTGCGGCATACACTGCGCCCGTGGCCGCAGCATACGCAGCGCCCGTAGCTGCAGCGTACACAGCGCCAGTGGCTGCAGCTTATGCTGCTCCAGCGCGAGTAGCCGCCGCCCCAACAGCTGTGCCGGCGGCAGTCCGTGCTGCGCCTGCGCCTGCCAAGATTGTTGAACCTGTTGCCGCTGGCTACCGTTACCCTTAAAAGAAGACTCACTTAATTTGATGGCTCATTTATTAAGACTTGATATTTTGTATATAGTTATATTTTTATAGAGTTAAATAAAAACGAAAATGCTTTAATGACTAATATCGTCTATTCTTTATCATTCCTCATATATACCGAAAATTTCATTACAAACACATTACATTCTATTCATAATAATATCTATTAATTTCATAATATAAACACTTCATAAGATCATCTCCAATAATAATATATAGGTTAATTTTATTACAAAATAACAGATTTGTAGAAAATATGCACAATACTTATTAAGCATTATAAATGTAAAAAAAGTCAATGAATTTATTACTAGAATTTATTTTTATAGCCGCAAAATTTAGTATTGATTCCTACACTAATTTGAACCTGTCCTGTAGGAAAATCGATTTGTATTACCTTATACATAGTTACAGAAATTAAAATAGACTTTCTTATAGTACAGATAATTATTTACCTACTAGTTTATATAAAGCAGTTATTTTTATATAAGATTTCACCACTAATGAATTCATAAATATTTGTGCATGCTGTAGGACGTGTATGGGTAAGTATTATGTAGTGAGTGAGCGAGAGTGTCTATGTATGTATGTTTGCGTGTATATGTGAGTGCGTGTTTGTGTGTGTTTGAACGGAATTTTTATTTATATGATTAATTAATTTGAGCATGTTTTCAATATCATTATATTTCATAGTTTTCAGATGTTTGCTTTCCTTTGATTTTATTTTTTTTTTGGGTAAATTTTTTAGATTGCAAACTAGTTTTATGAGTGGGTCTGTGATAACGCCTGTTTGAGGCCTTAGGATTATTTAATCTTTCGGATTATGTAGTGACCAGTAATTATAAAAATCATCATGATTATCTTCTTATCCTTATTCCAATTATTTATTTGAGATCGGCTTAATATATTTTTATCTTCATTTTTGTCTACTCGCAGTCTTTTCCGCATTCATCCCTCTTCTGGTTCATGAAAAATGCATATAATTTTTCATACAGCTCATCCATGTTGATACTTAACAAGCATGTTCATATTTAAAATTAATGATTGTTTCATGATTCATATTCGGAAGTATATGTACATAAGTAATGTAGTCCGGGTGAATTAGGGTAAAATATCCTACATTTTAGTATTAAACAAGTCATACTATGTATTACATTTCATATAAATCTGGTCAACAGTAACAAGCATTCAAACATCTTTACTAACATCAAAATTAATTACATACATTAATAAATACGGAAATATTTGTTTAAGCGGGTAAAAAATATCCATGGCTTTTTGACATAAATTAGGATAAAAAGTATTCTTTGTTTTCTTCTAGAATATGGTCCATCTATATACTAAATTTAGTTCATCTCTGTTCAGCTGTTTAAAAGTCATTATGTAATAATATCAAAATTCTTTTTTAAAAGGCCAGCAGCACATCTACGTCGCCTCTGGTATTACGGGTGCTTATGGCAACGGTGGTCACATCATCAGGTGAGCTGCATGCTCCATTGCCCCCTGTGTTATAAATAAAAATTACAAAATGAAATTCAAACATCTTTACAAACTTGAGTTTCTAAAGATGTTTGAATATTTGAGAATGTCTGATCCTTATGAGTAATCATGCGTATGCGGGTGAAGAAATTTTTAAAGAATACATTATACATTCAAAGCCACGAGAAATAGCAGGTTTATAATAAAAATAGGGAGTAGGATGGATATAAGAAATTTATAATCTAAATATAGAAAATCTATATGGACATGACTAGTAAAGGCTGGAAAGACTAGAAGCAAATATACTATTATATACAATATATAACTAGCTGACCCGGCAAACTTCGTACTGCCTCAATCGATAAATAAAAGATCTAAACATTTGTATAAAATAAACTTAAAACATACAAAAATAAATAAATTATTATTGTATATTATTTAATTATTCTAAGTCTACATAAAAATAATCTGAAAGACAGTTAACAACTGTCATATTTATTCACCTTTTAAACCTCTCTAGACTTCCACAAATCATTCAAGAACAAAATTTGCCAAATCGGTCCAGCCGTTCTCGAGTTTTAGCGAGACTAACGAACAGAAATTCATTTTATATATATAGAAGATAATATAATATTATATATAATAGGATTTATACTAAGATAAATGCAGTTAAAGGACTAGAATATAATAATATACTACCAGTAAAGTCAAACGATTAGTTGCAGGAATAAATATACAACAATATAACTCTTCTCTTAAGAGATGAGACTTGCGTCATTGCCCTGTCTTATTGATGGTATGTTTCGCATACGAGAAAACATGCAACATAACAACAGAAGTATATGAAGACAATAATTTGAAATACATGATTATTGTCGTGTGTAGGAATATTTAAAAAAATATGTGTATAAACTTGTTTAAGTTCTCATACGGTTATCGCATTTATGAGATTTACTCAAGCAGTGCCGATAATATCAAGGGTCTAATGTTTTATATTTATTTTCAATTAATTATAAATTAGTTTTATAATGTCTTTTTCTTGAGTAAAAATGTATAGCTATATAATACAAGATGTCCCAGACGTATTGGTATGTAAGTATTTAATTTATATATTAGACATATAACTAATATTAAACTAGCTGATTTCTCAAATGTCGTTATATTATTAGCTATTTGAGTGGGATAGGTGTGAATAGATGTTTGAATAAGCAGCTAGGAAAAGTTTATATGGAAAAAAGTAAAATAGGCCTTTAACGTTTTTTTGGGTAATATTTACAGTTTTCTTTTCAAAAGATCCTTCCTCGAACTTAAAAACTGATGACAATTTTTTCCCAAATATTCGTTATTTGTAAAAAAAAAACCGAATAAGTTCAGACACACCCCAATTTTACGGTTATCAATAAATTTAATGATATATATATTTTTATTAAAAAAGTTTTCGTTATATGTATGGTATACACATAGTACTTAAATATACGTTGTGTTCGGCAGTTTGAACCGCTTTCACTAAGAATGGTAGTTGCAGTACAGTAAACTACAAAATTCAAAAATTCTAATTAGATGTAACTAAAAATTAGCATTAGAATCTTGTTATGTGATATAGTATAAAAGACATTTTGTATGAAATATTTGAATGATATGTTTGAAATTCCACTGGATAGTGATATTCAGCGGATTTAAAAAAAATGCGTTCGGATGATAGGCAATGACACTACATGCTCTCCTATCTATCGTGTGTCAACACATACGTATTTTAGGTCAAGACATGGTAGCCAGTATAATATTTAACACAAAAGGCGTAAGGTCCTTAAATCTTTACTGTCCACTGCTGAACATTAGCCTAGGGGGTTTTTTCCAGTGGTTGCCGCGATTGGTAGACGATTGGCAGGCAGATTGACAACCGCAGTTAGGCTTTATAGATATTTTAAGAGGGACGCTGCTGCCCATCTCTACCCCTTCTTTAGTCGCCTATTACGACACCCACGGGAAATGAGGAGGTAGTCTATTTATTCTATGCAGAGATCACACGGGAAGCACTAATAGTAGGATAAAAACAGGTATTCCGGTAGATTGCCAATTCCTGTAAATATTACTAATTCTTACTTCAATAAGTATGTTCAAGTCACCTAAAGGACTTTTGAATGTGCTTTGTTAAATTAAGTAGTATTTTTGTTTCATCAGTTTTATAATTCCGTTTTCAGGCTTAGACTTACATGAATTTTGACAAAGATTTCCTGATTGCGAAATACCTGAATATTTTTATGGAAATCAAACGGAAATGGGACCTGCGCGTTTTAAGGTTTATAAATGTGTTACTGTAAATGTGTAAATATTGGAACACTTATTACAGTGTTCTAATATTTGGAGTTATTTTATTAAGTAAACATAAAACATTTTGTTCTTACATATTATATAAAAATTAACAATTGCTTTTTTATTTAACATGACATTATATTATATTAGTCGTGACTAAAAATAATTAAATAAAGAAGATTTTTTTTCTTATTGACATTGTAATTATTTAATTGTGATTATTAAATCAAAGTAGCTCATTTATTAATGAGATAATTTTAATGAATGAATGAATGAATGAGTATACTTTATTTATATTATTCACTATAGGTAATAAGCAAGACAATTTGAGTACATAAACATAATTATTTTTATACTACTGGAAATTAATGGCGATGACTCGATCGATCGAAGAAGATCTGATGGTATGTTACCCGGAATTAATTCGGGACACAGTCACGTATTGATCTATATACATACATACGAGATCGGAAGAAAGCATTTTGTTTGTAAAACGTAACATGTATCGCAAGACTCATCGCGTAACATCGTAGCACTTTCTTCAATGAGCCGTGCGGTATGGGACTCACGTATATTGCATTACGCAGTGGACGATATAAAATGCGGTAGCACCCACAGGCACTCACACTTCACTCCACTTCGAGGACTGTAGATATCCTACCCTAAACAAACAGACATGGACACCAAGGTAAGTCAAGTGAATATAGTGCTCTACATTTATATTTAACATCAAAACTTGGAATTATATATTTGATTTAATAACAAGTGGCAATTACAAGTTTAAATGCATTTAAGATAAAATATTTTATATATTAACTTATACTGAGTTCAGTGATTCATAAAAATATTAAGCCATTTAAGTACAATTGAGTAATAAATGCGATGTAGATAATTTCGTATTTATTTTTTTTATATATTATTAAATTATAAGCATGTTATCTATAATTTATAGACTGTCAGCGTTACATTTATTTATTAAAACTTTATTGTCCAATATAATATGGTACAAAAGGCGGATTTAATGCTATAGGCATTTTCTACTAGTCAAATTTAGATTAAAACATGTCGCCAATTTTAACAGTGTTAAAAGATTTAATAAAATCTTTAATTTTAATTATCATGCTTAAATTGTCTTTTTTTTATTTTGCTATCAAATAATAATAAAGGTAAAAAAAGTCTATAATGGTATCAATTTGTTATCTTGCAATAGTGCATTGTTATCGCGAATCGATAGCATCTATTTCAACGTAGCAGGTCAGTACGAGCGTGGGTCGTGTCATGCGCGTGCGACGATTGACCAACGAGATCCATATCGGGCTGCTTTGCAACATTACCCTCTATCTAACTGATGCTTTTGGTTACAACTGTCCACTGCATGAATGTATAATTTTGAAAAGGAAATTGCATTCATTTTATAATTTTTAATTCCATAATATTATTTGTTATTATTATATATCATTTCTGGAACGTACATTATATTCTCATTAGAGGAACTTATATCACATTAATATAATAAAATTAAAATATTGTTAATTCTAATTTACTGAAGATTATTCCAGCGGTACTTTATTTGCCGGAAATTACCAGTTTATTAAATTATTTTCGTGATAACGAATTTCAAAGTTTAAATAATAGGGATTCGTTGATTAGTAAAAATTGATATATAACCGTTCCATTTATAATATATTTTTTTATATAATATATATTATATACCCTGTTATACATTCTTATATGAAGTCAAATAGATTTTCTTAAAAAGTTGTACTAGTGAGCGGGACACAATTGAAGAGGTTATTTCGCAATTGTTCCTTAATGTCAGGACTCAGTCGATCATTGTATGGTAATGACTACCTACGCAGTGCTCTAGTATTATATTACGCTTATTAAATAATCCTCAGATGACTGCTATGATATATAACTAATGCAATATTTTCATATTTTATGTAATTGCTTTTATATATTGGAAATATTTTTACTAGTATCATAATAGTATATTTTATAATGTCAGCATTATTATTACGCAATAATTATATAAAATAATAAAAAAAAATCTGTAATAAAAATTGATACAAAATTAGGAAAGTTCATACTCATGCAATAGTGATAAAACCAAATAAATGACTGTTACAGTAAAGCCATAATAAAGACATCAACGCATGCTGTACCCACCTTGATACATAATATTAATAACATATTGAATTAATTTAACCACGTACTTTTATTTCATTATTACATATTACTCATATTGACATACATGTCATAGTATTGACATGATACAGTTTATGTATTCTACTCACTTGTGGTAGGAAAAAGGAATAATGGGAGCATGTCGAAATACTTGCGCGCGAACCACAACAGGCTACGAATGTGAAGTGACAAATAGTGATTGCATAATCACAGTAGTACGCATTAAAATTATATTTCATACTAGCCGTTCCCGAGATTTTGTTCGCGTGAATTTTTATCGTTAATTATCTCACGGAAGCGCATCACTAGGTTAGAAGTACAGGTTACAAATACTTTCTATCAAATTTTATTTAATTTTCTGTGCAAAATTTGCTTAAATCTCTCTGTGTATTTTGTTATAACATATTTTCAATTACATATTAAATGAAATTTGACACATAGATAGACTTTTTGAATACTAATTTGAATTCACAGTTGATAATAAGTTTATAAATAATAAATCTATAATACTAATATAACATATGCTAAAGTTTGTAACGATGGACGGATGGAGAGATGCTTGTTACTCTTTCATGTAAAAACTACTAAACAGATTTGAAACTTTGAATTGATACTCGGGTGATTATATTATAACTTAGCTCTCTTAGCTTAGATCATACTAGTGAATCGTGGAGATACAATTAGTTAAATATATATTTTTTATATTTGTTAAAAAAATAGATAATATTCTATTTAAGTACACCTTCACAAGTTGAAAATAATTTTATAAAATTAATCTAAATAATTGTATTTTTTCCAGATTGTAGTATTCATCTGCATTATGGGCGTAGCCAGCGCAGGTGTGGTCGCCCCTCTACCCTTAGCACGAGTGGACCCGCTTCCCCAGTACTCGTACGGATACGATGTACAGGACGCACTTACGGGCGATTACAAAGGGCATCAAGAACACAGGAACGGAGATCTAGTAACTGGATCATACACAGTCGTCGATCCCGATGGCACAAGAAGGATTGTGGACTACGCGGCTGATCCATTGAACGGTTTCAACGCGGTCGTACGCCGGGAACCATTAGTGGTTGCAGCTCCCGCAAGAGTGGTTGCACCTGCTCCCGTAGTTGCACCCGCACCAGTGTTACCGCGTGCCCCAATTCTGGCACCTGCCCCCGCGCCCCTTCTCGCCCCTGCCCCCGCACCCCTTCTGGCCCCAAGACTACCTAGTCCATATTTCTTTTAGATGAATTATTACAATTTTGTTGTTTTTTGTACTTGTAATTTTTTATGGCTGTTATTTATACTATTATAATATTTGAAATTTAATTGTATTTTATTTTAATACTGACTGTACTGTCGAACACGATATATTAATTAGTCGGATTAAATTAACCTATATTTTTCTGTTAAATGCGATATGTACTCGTTTACTACATTTTATGACAACTGGTTGAAACATCAAGAGGTAATAACAATCTTATTTTTGCAGATCCGACGTAATTTTTTCTTTATAGACTTTACCAAAATGGTACAAAGGGGTCACTTTAAATTAATTATCTGGTATAATTTTGGTGCAATTAGTTTATTATATCTGACACAAAGCTAGTTCTTATCAAATAATGTTGCTATAGATTCAAAATTTGGAATTGTTTTGGATATATTTTTTTCATTTTACTTAGAATGACAAACAAGCTGACGGCCCACCTGATAGAAAGTTGTAACCGTCGCCTATAGACATGAGCAGTACCATGGACATAATAGAGTATACTGTTTCGCCCATGATACCCCCCATGCGTTGCCATTCCTGAGGACTCAGGTGTTATTCCTCTGTACCCTGTAAATTTACGCCACATCCTACCCTTCAAACCGAAACACAGCTATGCAAACACAACTGCTTTACGGTTAAAATACGAATGGGACAGAGGTACCCAAGTAAACGACTTTTATTAACACACATATTATAAAAAAAAATATTTAAATAGAAAATGATATCGTCTCCTTTCAATGTCTGCAGATATGATATGAGTATTAAAGGAAAAGTAGAACAATATTCTTAATACAACTTTTAAAAAACTATAAATAAATCTTAAAAAATAACTTAGAATTAAATCAAGAGGTTTTACCTATTCCAATTCTGGATCACATATGTGCAAAGTTGTAAGATTATGAAATCCAATAAAAGAAAAATTTTAGGCCTTAGAAACGGTAACACTATAGCTGGCATGCCAATCTGCGAGTCCGCAATCTGCAATGCAATTATTGCATATAACATAGGCATATTATTTAAAAAAAAAATAGAAAACCCTATAAAAATTATCATAATCCAAGGTTTTCAATATTTGCCCTATAAAAGTAATTATTTAGCGTACGCTACGAAAACTATTGACATTACATAACATAATGTACTATAAGTTTATAATACTTATCATTGCCTACAAAAAGTCCGTGAGGTAATCATCTAATTATTATAGTTAAGTAGCAATATTATTTTTTTATTCAAATTAGTCAATCAAAATACGGGTACAATCGAAATATGATGACATTCTTACTTAACTAAATAGATACTGTTCATGTCTATAGATGTTACCACTATCCATCAGGTGGGCCGTCAGCTTGTTTACTATTTTAAGTTGCATAAAAAAATAGTTTTATAATCAAGGGCGTTTATGTACTACATGTGCAATTTCTCTTTATTTTTTTATTTATTTATTTATTTATTTAAATAACTGATCCATTCTTGATTAAAAAATTTAGAAATTACGTTGGGTATAAAAATCCTGGCCGTGTTTCCGGCATAGATAATATAATACTATGCTTATGGGTGTCGTAAGAGGCGACAAAGGGGACTTAATGGTACAGATATGGGCAGCAGCGTCCCTCTTAAAATATCTCTAAAAGCTTAACTCCGATTGCCAACTTGCCTGCCAAGCGTGGCGACTACTGACAAAACTATCCTTATGAGGAAGTCTTATGTTTAACAGTGGATAGTCAATGGCTGAAATGGTGATGATGATAAAAACGCAAAAAGTAAGAAAAATGCCACGATGTGACTGAACTGCCTCACCTACACTAAATATTATTATTATCTCTATTGATGTAAGTACAAATTTAAGCTACTAATTTATCTTGCTATCTAGCTACCCGTATGGAACGGAGGCGAGTCGCTAGTTAACTATGCGTTTTAATCGTCTGATTCTGATTCCATAATGAGTCATTCCATAGTGGCCATAACAATTTCGATATTTACTTGGACATTTGTCACTCAATTCTTCTGAAACCGCTGAAGGGATTTTAATAAAATTGTTACGCAAATAAATTATATTATCCAAAATTAGCCTATAAGACCTAAAATGTACGTTTTCACGCTATTCACTTGTAAACCCCGTAATAAAGTATACATACTGCAATAACATAATAGTTATCAAATTGAAATCCGAAAGATACTGCCCTTAGATAATCCAGAAGATGCTAGTTCAAATCCGATCCGCTTCGATATTTTTCATTCAATAATAGGTATTATTGAATGAAAATAATATAATAATTATTATTTTTATATCTTTTTCCATATTACTATTTAAGAGCACTTGCAAGTTTTTGTATAGTACATGTATGTTACTGCTGTAATGATATAATTAGGTAATTTTGGTTTTTAGATAAGTAACCAGGTTATTGACACTATTCGTAATTTATATCGTTACTAATATTGTAAATGTACAAATATTTGATTTTATATTTTGGCATTTAATTGATTCAACCAATCGCTGTATTTGGTAGACAGTAATATTTGGAACCGGAAAAGAACCAAAGTAACCGTAAAAAACATAGCTCGAAAGATAAGCAAGCTAAAGTGGCAATGGGCTGGTCGAAAGCTCGAAGAACTGACAACCGATTTGAAAGAAAGGTTCTTTAGTGGCGACTTCCTATGGGCATACGTAGTGTAGTGTGACGACCCCCCACTAGATGGAATGACAACCTCAAATGCATTGCAGGGAGTCAGTGGATGCAAGTGGCTCAGGACCGTTCCTTATGGAAGTCTAAGGGGAGGCCTATGTCCAGCAGTGGACAGATAATGGCTGAAATAATGATGAATATTTGAAATGGAGAAGGCTACTAATCCTGGTCAATCAATATGTCAACATATGAGTTACATGCGCGGAGTCGCGGTTCGAGTAAAAACTAGTATGATTACATGGCCTTAACACTAACAAGATAATGTGTAGCGAGGAACAAGAGCGGGCGGCCGCATTCCGCCGAAGATCATGACCTTGCCTTAACCGCCTTAATTAAAAGCGAAAGTTTCAATAAGCTCCTTATGGGTGCGGGTTCGATTATTGTGTGTGACGTCACGTAAAACCGAATGTCACGAGTAGATACAGGTTCAATATAAAACGAGAGCGTTCACAAAGTTGGACAGTACAATTTCATTATTGGACAAATTCACAACCAAAAATGGCATTCAAGGTATTGCAATATGCAAATATTGATAATGATAAAGTGATATAATTTGCATTGATTGATAACAGTGTTAATTAATAAAAGTTTACTTATTTGTTTACAGTTTGTCGTTCTTGCTTGTTTGGTGGCGGCTGCAAGCGCCGGCCTGCTCCCAGCAGCGCCTGTCGCTTATTCGGCCCCACTGTCTTACTCGTCCCAGGCCATCCACGCCGCTCCTGTTGCGTACTCCGCACCAGTAGCCTACGCAGCCCCAGTCGCTAAGGTCGCCGCTGTTGCCCCCGTTGCCAAAGTTGTGGAGGCTTACGACCCCCACCCTCAGTACAGCTTCGCCTACGATGTGCAAGATGGTCACTCCGGTGACTCTAAGTCCCAGCACGAGACCCGCGACGGTGATGTTGTCCAGGGCTCTTACTCCGTTGTCGACCCCGATGGTACCAAGCGCACCGTAGAGTACACCGCCGACCCACACAACGGTTTTAACGCTGTCGTGCACAGAGAGCCCCTCGCCGTGAAGGTCGCCGCTGCTCCTGTCGCGTACGCTGCGCCCGTTGCCAAAATCGCAGCTCCCGTTGCGTATGCTGCCGCACCCGTCGCGAAGGTCGCCTACTCCGCTCCCATCTCTTACGCCGCCGCACCCGTTGCCAAGGTTGCTTATGCCGCTCCCGTGGCATACTCCACCCCATTGTTACATCACTAAGTCATTAATTTTAGGATTATAATCTTGAATGCCATAATGTAAATAAATTATCTATTTATGAAAAAAAATTAGTTATTTATGTATTTACCTATTCATTTCCTATGGATTGTTGATCAGTAGAAGTAGAATTCGAAAAGAAGGCTAAACTTAGTAAAAAATAAAATTAAAGTAAAAAAATAAATGAATTCATTTAGAGATATGCTGTCATACTTGCTACTAGTGCATTTTTATAATGAGTTGAAAAGCTTCATTTGTATTATTCTGGATGAAATATCAGAAAATCTGAAAAATGTAGAATCTTTACTAATAATATAAACGCGAAAGTGAGAATGTTTGTTATCTCTTAGCATTTTAACTGCTCAATCAATGGCAATAAAATTTGGTATGTTTGTACTATTAAGGATAGAGAAGGATATAGGCTATTTTTTATCCCTGTCAATGAATATACACACACTCACACAGCGAAGTCGCAGGTAGAAGGTAGTAGTAATATAAAGTTTAAAATGAATAATTAGATATTGGATTTATTTGTCTAGGGGTATAGCGTCAAACTATTTATTTATAGCCTATCAAGTTTTTTTTTTATACAACTTAGAATGGCAAACAAGCTAATGGCCCACCTGATGGAAAGTGGTAACCGTCGCCTATACACATGAGCAGTACCATGGATATAACTGAGTATACTGTTTCGCACATGATTTCGCCATTCCTGAGGACTCAGGTGTTATTTCTCTATACCCTGTAAATTCGCGCCATATCCCACCTTTCAAACCGAAACACACCTATGTAAACACAACTGCTTCATGGTAGAAACACGAATGGGACAAAGGTGCCCAAGCAAACGACTTTTGTACAAAGTTTCCCTCTGGTATTTATGTTATACCATTTTCCCTTAGTCTAAGCCAATCTTTGTAAGTAACAAAAATGTACCTACTTATTCGGTATAAATACTGAAGAGATTACAAATAGTATCTATTTATATTAATATATAATTTGCATGTATAAAATATAAAGAAATAGAAATAAAATTGCATACAAAGATATTTTTACACAAATACATTCATGTGGATGCCGTGTAGTCCCAGAATAGAATAGGTCACCCGTTCCTTTCCCGTGAGTGTAGTAAGCGACGAAAAAGGGAATATAAAGGTCGAGGATTGGACAACAGGGTTCCTCTTAAAACATCACCAAAAATCCAACTACGGTTGTCAACTTGCCTGCCTACCATGGTTACTACTGGCAAAACCCGCTTTATAGGAAAGGCCTATGTAAAGCGGTAGAAAATTAAAATTACTGATTATAGCATCATTTATTTAATTAATTTTTGCCGTCATTTAATCCGTGTGGTTATTTTTTTTTATGGATGATAATGGAATGGTAACCTCACTTGTATTATCAGTATACGCTGGCGGGACACCACTAATAGATGATAGGTGAGGATGAAAGCAGGTCAGGCGACGAATCATCAATCAGCCAAACAGCCAATCGTGACGAATTCCACAAGAATTCACCACGATGGTTTTACAGGGGGAACCGCGTGGAAGTCAATCTAAAAGGATATATTGGGCTGTTATTATTGGGCTAGCAATAGGGTTGTTAGAGCTCATTACAAACAATCCCTTCCCATTGTTATTAATATTTAATTGTATAAAATTATTATAATAAATCAATTGTTCTATTATTTATTATAAAAATATAACACCGTTTTTACCTTCAGCATCCGAGGCATTGCGTCATTTAGCAGGGTGAACAAGTCAAGATCGAGTAATAATAATTGGCCTTGATGAAAGTAACCTATGTCCTGTGTTTTGGTTCGAAAGGTGGGATATAACAAAGAGATTACAAGGTACATAGGTACACCTTACTCCTCAGAAATAGCAACGCACGAAGGGTATCAATGGGTAATATCTTTCATATCAATGGGCCACACAGTATACTCTGTTATGTTCACGGTACTGTTCATGTCTATAGCCCACGGTTACTACTTTCCATCAGGTGGACCATCATCTTGTTTGCCATTTTAAGTTACATAAAAAAAGTCCTTCATCATCTCAAATTATGAGTGTATTAAATTCATGACAATTAAATTAAAGAACTAAGTGGTAACAAAAAAATTTACACTTTTGCTTTTATAATACGTGTATTAGGCAGGGTTATTATTATATTTATTTCTAGCTATTACTCATAGCTTTGTATTTTTGCTGTATCTTTCAACTTTAAGTTGAAATTTTCAAAAATCCTTTCTTAGAAGATGTTAACGGAGTCTATATCAAATTAGCGTACAATTTTGTAATTTATGATATTTAATGAATTTGTAGCATACTTTAGGACTTATTTTTAAACAATGTAATTTTTTTACATTAAAATAACGTTAAAATTTACAAATACACACAAAAGAGTGTATTTTCGTATTAATGTATGATAAGTATATAAAAAATTATTACCCTCGATTTAATATCTTTTTTATTAACTGATTGTTAATTTTAGTCATATCAAGTATAAATCTATATCTGTAATGGTATATTATCTATGTTTATACTAATATCATAGAAATCTGTTGTTATGAAAACTGTTGCCAATTCGTTGCAAGGGTTAATTACATTATTAATCGATTTCTTTTTTTATATTTATTTGGTCTTCCAGCAATTGTTACACTGATAAGATTTAATATTGGAATTACTGTCTATTTATACTTATTTCAAAACGAGATTCTCAATTTGAGTATTCCTGTATATTTTAAAACACTACCAACCATTTTACCAAACGAATGTGTGTTGTTGTTGTTGTTGTTGTGTGTTCGTGTTTTTGTTCATACTGAAGTCAGCCCAGTAAATGTAGCTTAACATTTCGTTCGTTATAAATCCTACCATAAAAGCCCAAAGGAATGATATTTTAACATTTTTAAACTGTATGTATTATGTAATTTTAACACCATATTTGTATTTGGTTCGGGCCCATAATTTCGGAAAACATTTCATGGCAGGCCCTCTGATAACCCCTCATAAGTACGAGTACAATAGGGTTTGTAAAAGAGGTACAATTTGATTTGATATAATTTGACGCCCGATTTTAATAATTCTTTTACTGATTAAAAAGGAGACGTCAAGAGTCTCCAGAATCAGTTATACATCAGATGCGTATTATAAAAGTGGATGAACCAAGAGATGTATGAGAGATTAGCGGTATGTATAGTATACCGTTCTCTCTATCCACCACTATAATATCTATTATAATTAGATAAGGTTTCGCTACAATTGTGTTGTATACTTTTATGATATGACTAAACTGTAGTTATCTACAATAAAAGATTATGTTGAATATAATAATAAACAAAATATACAAAACGCAAAAGACATTTGAATATGTCAAAAAGTTGAAAGCTCAGAAAGTCCGATCGAACGTGGGCTCAAATAATTTGACGTCACATAAAACTGAATGTCACGAGTGGATACCTGTTTGATATAAAAAGAGAGCGTTCACTGAATATGGCAGTTCAATTTCATTCTTGGACATATTCACAAGTCACAGAAATGGCATTCAAGGTACTTACACATTTAAAATGATAAAGTGATACAATTTGCATAGACTGATAACAGTGATAATTAATGAAACTTAATTTACTTGTTCACAGTTTGTCGTTCTTGCTTGTTTGGTGGCGGCTGCAAGCGCCGGCCTGCTCCCAGCAGCGCCTGTCGCTTATTCGGCCCCACTGTCTTACTCGTCCCAGGCCATCCACGCCGCTCCTGTTGCGTACTCCGCACCAGTAGCCTACGCAGCCCCAGTTGCTAAGGTCGCCGCTGTTGCCCCCGTTGCCAAAGTCGTGGAGGCTTACGACTCCCACCCTCAATACAGCTTCGCCTACGATGTGCAAGATGGTCACTCCGGTGACTCCAAGTCCCAGCACGAGACCCGCGACGGTGACGTTGTCCAGGGCTCTTACTCCGTTGTCGACCCCGATGGTACCAAGCGCACCGTAGAGTACACCGCCGACCCACACAACGGTTTCAACGCTGTAGTGCACAGAGAGCCCCTCGCCGTGAAGGTCGCCGCTGCTCCTGTCGCGTACGCTGCGCCCGTTGCCAAAATCGCAGCTCCCGTTGCGTATGCTGCCGCACCCGTCGCGAAGGTCGCCTACTCCGCTCCCATCTCTTACGCCGCCGCACCCGTTGCCAAGGTTGCTTATGCCGCTCCCGTGGCATACTCTACCCCAGTGTTACATCACTAAGTCATTATTTTTAGGATTATAATCTTGAATGCCATAATCTAAATAAATTTATTTATAAAGTAATAATTTTATGATTTATTTCCTGGCTCAACCACTTTAAATATTTATAGTAAATTTATAAAGAAGAAAAATTTAATTTTTTTATATGTATTAGTAATAAACTCAAAAACTATTCAAATGATTTAAACTTTTTTTGCAAAGAAAGCTACATAATCAACAAGTAATAAAGGCTTTATATTTCCGAAAATTCTATCTATCCGTGCGACACCGGTTTCGATCGTTAGTATAATATATGTATCTATATCTAAATTCTGCATCATGTACTTACTGTATGTGCACTTAATATATTAATTTTTATTTTGGTATTTTGTACTTCGTAAATGTAAACTTTAAATAATTTATTTATATTATAATAATAATCATTTATATTATATTTTTTCATTCAAATTTTATACTTTACTTTTATGATTTTATTAAATTGTTATATACAATCTTTTACAGTTTTTATGAGAATAAAAGCAAAAAGAGACACATTTAATTATATTTGTATACTTTAATGAAAGAAGTATTTTGTAGAGATTTACTATGAAAGTGTTATAATTATATATCGAAAAGCTGAAAACCAAGAGTGCCCGATCGAGGTGGTGCAGGTAAAGTCCGTTCTTGTCCCGGAATAACTGACAGTCCTCTTTGGAGACGTTGACGACGCTCGGCACGTTCTTGGCTAAACTCTTGTTTACGAGGTAATACCGAAAATCGCCTGCCAGTTGGAACAGTCGACATACGTTTAAATAGTACTTGAGTTTTTACCTTTTGCGAGTCATCCATGATGGCAACTATTTGTTTCTCTCTCTGTATTATTGCCTTGCGTTCATCGGCAGATACAGCTTCCGCTGCCATTTCCGCGCATTTACATAAAAACGCTTGGACGCGTTCCGGGTCTTGTAATTTCTTTGACCATTCGTAAGCTTCTTCAACTTGAATACGGACCTCATTAACGTTACCTTGTTGCATATCACCACTCATTAACACGAAACATCCATTTAACCACCACGTGACGTTCGTTAGTTCCTGAGCTTCTCTTTGACATCTTTTTGCATAAAATTTTGCAAGTGCATAGTTTTTTTGAGTACATAAAAGTCGTGCAAGCTCATACATTAACCAGCATTTCATTGTAGCATTTTCACACATCTCAAGCGTAGTGATCACTTTCTCCGTCGCTTGTTTGATATCAATAAACTTGTATGGATAATTGGCCATTACAGAATCAAATGACTGCGGTCGACCTACAGGAAGACCCATAAGGAAAGCAATCCTTCGGCGATTTCCACGCTCACTGAGAGTATAAGATAAACGATGCTGAGCCAGATACCCTTCTCCGACTGCCCTATATAATCGATCTGTGTAAACTTCCTTGTCAGGCAGTGTTCGAGGCGTTTTCGAATCAAGAAACAATTGCATGCGCTCAGCTTGTGCTATCAAGTCCATTATACGATTGTCACGTAAGCTTTTTTCAATTTGTTTTAACAGACGTTCGGAAGTACGTGCCCCTATTTCGCGTTCTTTTATTAATATAGCCTCCTTATATTTATTTTGGTATTTAGATTCAGCCTTTTCTGCTAGTTTAATAGTATAATATGGTCGTTGTGAGCGCAACATATCTTGACGCTCATTTAATGAACGAAGTGCCTCCTTTACAATAGCTTTCAATTGAAGACTGCCACTTGAATTTGCAGATTTTATACGAGGATCTTCCGTAAGCTCCTGAAGAAAAAATTTATCATATGCCATTGGTCCAAGATATTTCATGGCGAGGACTCTAGATAAAGTCAGATGTTTCCGTGCTTCTATTTGTGTCAATTTGCGTTTTCTTTCTGGTTGTGGAATCCTAGAGACATGAAGGGATTTTTGAGGTGCATTTTTATCTGTGCGAGTTGCTTCTGTTTCTTTGATTAAGGGCAAAAAACCTAACATAACACCGCCTGCATTGTTTCCTATGCAATCTTGTATAGTTTCAATACCTTGGTTAATCCCTTCTAAAAAATAAGGTGGTTGACGACGAACTCTAACACCCCGGAAGTTCATAACAACGGATCTTTCAAAATCGGACATTGTGTACATAGCTCGGGCTTGCATATTACGTGCTATCATATTACCAGGTTCGAGCTTAAGTGCAACTTCAGCATCTGCATACGCTTGTATTGGTTGTACAGCATCAGCACACACTTGACTGCGACCAGTAAGTGTCCGTACATCATTTGGTGCACTCTTAAAAGCCTCATCAAAAGAGGCTTTCGCTTTCTCAAATTGTTCGAGGCGACGTAAACATGCACCTCTTTCACGATAAACTGTTAACGCACCGTAAAGTTGTTTTTCTTCCATTTTATATATTTGTATTCCAATACGTGTTTCAATAAAATTAAATTCACAATTAGTAAATCATGTTCTAAATTATAATTTAGTCATAAATAGCATTTTGTATATATATGTCAAGAGAAAACTTTACCTGACGCTCTTGACGCTTGTTGAAAATTAATAAATAAAGAAGTACTAATACCGTAAAAACTATTATTCTCCATCTACGTCACAGATATAAGTATTAGCCAACTTTTAACTTCTCAATATAACATGATCTTGACAAAACTTGAAGAAAATTTGAATATTATGAATCTCTTATTAAATGGAATTCATATACAGGAAGGAGATACAAGTATTCGCATATACAGATGCTTTAATTTAGTTTTTAGTAATAGCAATATAACATGTTTTAACAAAATTATTAATTTAAAGGAAAAGGCATTTTAGATTTGGCCGCGGGCTTAAGTTCTAATAAGTTAGGTAAAATAGAGTTTGTAATTTTTATTTTAGACTTAGTAAAACTTTTATGTTTATAGTGGTAGTTTATTTCTTTTTACTCTTGTAATATATTTTATCTCTGTATTGTTTGTGGGTTACAAAAATATAGATAAATATTTAATGGCGTTTAAGAATATTTGACCTATAAATTGTTGATAATAGAATGAAACTAAATAAACTCCAGTACAAAAATGTTTATTTTTTAGCCTTTAATGCAAAAATAAGTCAGTCCTTTTGTTGTAATAGGTCGTTACACGGCTACAACGGGGGCAGCAGGAGCATAGCTGTAAGCTAGTGGTGATACTGCGAGCCTTGAGAATGGAGACACGATGGGTGCGGCGGCAACCTTGGCTACGGGTGCTGTGTAGGCAGCAGCTACGGGAGCCGTGTACGCGGCAACCTTGGCGACAGGCGCAGCATACGCGGCAGCATATGGGGCTGCTACTGCTGCGGTGAGTCTTGCAGGTGCCACAGCGGCAACTGGGGCAGCCGCTATGCGAGCAGGTACTACCGCTGGGGCAGCGGCTACTAGTGGCTCCTTACGTACGACGGCGTTGAATCCATTTACAGAGTCAGCGGCGTAGTCAACAACGCGACGAGTACCGTCAGGTTCTACCACAGAGTATGAGCCTTGAACCAGATCTCCATCGCGTTGTTCTTGCTGACTCTTGTAGTCGCCGGTCAGGGAATCCGCTACGTTGTATCCAAATCTATATTGGGGAAGAGGATCAAATTCTTCCAGTCTTGCCGCTACTGCTGGAGCCGCCGCGACAACAGGCGCAGCCGCGAGAGGTGCTGCTACCGCCGCCGGCGCTACACTAGCACGTGCAACGGCCACAAGGCACGAGATGATGACGAACTGGAAGTAAGAAATGATATAAACATTAGCCAAATTACTAAGAATGCTAATAAAATATCACACGTGTACACGTCACAACCGCTGTACTTGAAATAGTGACACAATTTTGCGAGGGCGAGACTAGTGCAGTTGCGCAAGCGCATGCGCGGAGAAATTACTAACAAGCTGAGGATACTGTACCCGTCAAGGACGTGTAATGTAACGCGTCCCGCATCCAAATCAGCTTAGACAAGACACGCCGATACTTGGCGTTGCCTGCGTAAAGTACTATTGCTTAAGTAAAAAGAATAACAACATTTAAACTAGAACGGAACATTTATGGTACTGCAGTTAAAATATAAAAAAAAAGCTTTAGTCACTTTACTGTTCTTAAATGACATGTATTAAACTTGGTGTTAAAAGATGTAAATGAATACATGTCTACATCTTTCAGTGTAATTGTACTTAAAAATAAATATTTGATTAAAAATCAAATTATAACTCTTAATAATCATTAAGTACGTAATATGATATGCACTACTAAACGATGTGATAATTATCATGAAATTATAATGAAATGTTTCTATAAATAAGCTATTTTTTAAATTTAGATAACGAGAAAATATTATTAGCTAAAACAATAGCAATTAGTTTTGATTACTTGTTACGAGCAGAAAATAATTAATTATACTGTAATTTGTATTTATTGATTTTTTAATATATGCTTTAATTAATCATTACTATTGATTTGATTTTATTCAGGATCCAAATTTACCTTAAAGGCCATTTTTTTCCTGTGGATGGGTTGTGGAAGGAAGCCAGATATGACTATGCTCCTGTTCTGCCGACCGAGGTATATATACTAGTGGCGGGTTGTGACACTGTCCCAAGTTCACGCTTAGTATTATGTCTGCGCATCATTATGGATGTGCACGCAATTGGAAATGAGCTGCAATTTGTCAATGGCGGAAAATTTAAACATGTTCTTGACTTTACGCCAAACGTTATGAAATTGTTACAAATTATTCAGTTGCTCAGTGGTTCGATCTATATGGTCCATGAGTATATTCATTGGATACATTATATACCTGAAAGACTGTGAAAGTAATAAAATAAAATGGTACGGAATAATTTAATATTGTCGGGCTTTATTTTCCTCCTAGATCATGGTCTCTCAGACCCACGGACTGATTACTTATTTAACAAACATTGCGCGATCACTTCGTGATCTTTTACTAATTGATATTTTATAATGTTATGTAGCACCTATTGCTTCCTAATGTCCAATAAGAAAAATTTGCGAAAAGTGCATGCAATCCAGATGGGTTAGATGCACTTTTTTTTAATAAACAGAACCATTGGCAATCAAGTGATATTATAGAGATATACCTAGTTCATAACAGTAAATAATAATACATAAAGTATAATATTAATATTCTTTAGCTAATGCAATAATTTAATAATTGCGCAGCAAAGACATTTCGAATGTTCTTTCGTTAATTGCTTACAGATGAAAATTGACAGTTAATATTAAGAACTTTTCAACTGTTAGTAAGAAACTTAATCGACATATAGATAATGTTGGTTGAAAAGAAAAAAAAACACCAACAATACTTATTCCATTCCATAAAAATATCTATATAACTAATAATTTAGATTTCGTATAAAACTAAGCCCAGTTCAAATTATTAAAACTTAAAATTTTGTATAATAGTTGTCATTATCATAAATGAATAATATTCTATAACGAGAAAGGATGTTAAATTTCTTGAGGATAAATTAAAGATTCCAAGTATCTCTACTACAATCTTTAATAATCACAATTTATTTACCATTGACATAGATAAAAATAGACGCCGCAAGTACCCTAAGTTATATGAAAATTATTAAGCGTGTATTTAATAAACAACTTACTTGACTTGCTTTGATGTTATAAAGACTATTTATTGATAGCACTCTTTTTTTTTGTTCCTGTGGTCCGGCATAGACAAGGCCACCCCTTCCTTTCCCGTTGGTGTCGTAAGGGATGACTAAAAGAGGGCGAGAGATGGGCAGAAGCGTCCCTCTTAAAACATCTCTAAAGCATCGCAGTTAGGCTTGCTAGGTTGTCAATTCACCTGCCAAGCATGGCAACTAATGGCAAAACCCTCCCAAAGGGGAGATTTATGTTCAACAGTAGAATAACAGTTAAAGGCCAATATGATGATTCAATTTATTTATCCAAAAAGATAATGAGATTTTCTTTTTCTGATACTGTTCATATATACAGTCAAATACACGTATTGTACATAGAAAACTCCAAACAGATACCAACGAACATGCTCATAAGCCATAAATATAAAAATTAAAATGTGCGGGGATTAAACCCACGACCACCTGCATTGTGTTCAGTGCGTCAGCAGTGTGTTCAACCGCTACGCCATCAAGGTAACGACCTTAGTAGTATAACGCAGTGGATTATGATAATGGCTTAACATAGTGGTTTTGGTTAATGTACGGGGCAAAATTATAATCATTATCATCCTTTTAAGGGAGTTTTCTCATTGTGAAACTGAACGTTTTCCTCAAACAGGTCGTAAAAGAGTAAAAAAATATTATCCTATCACACTAAGATGGCAGTTAACTACACCGTGTTAGTATGGTAGGTTCAATATTTTTCTTTCATCGTATCGATTTCAGTATATTTATCTGCTTATTGTCACAAGACGTCTTTCGCGAAATAAACAGAAATTGATTAACATTTTATCATTAAATATCAGAAGGTGTTTGTGGTATAATTAATTCTTAAAAATTTATGATCATAAAAGATGTCTCATAGTTTCAATCATCAAATCTTGTCGTTAAGCTTCATACTATTATTTAAATATACTTGACAGTGCCACAATTCTTTCGAATTGTATACTGATATAAAAAAATTAACAAATTAAGTAATATCATAGTGTCGTATGATTTATAAATCGTGGTATACCATGATAATAAAATTAATAATTAACTTTCTAATTATTTATAAATTGATACTTATGCTTTAACAAATGACATTTTTTAAAACAGAAATGAATAGTTTTATATAGCTATGAGGGTACAGATAAATATATTATGTAAAACAAAATGTTAATCTGTTTTCTGTTCACAGATTCACATACACACAAAGACTGCCAAAATCACCCTCATTTGACTTTGCCGTAACATTTGCAACGTCATTGCATCATGTATATTTAATACATAACCTCTGTCTACTAACCCTCAATCTTTATTTTCAAGACGACTTTGTGGATAGAATAAAATAATAAAATAAGAATTACACAATATTATTAAATATATTTTCAGTTCGTCATTCTATGACAATAAATAATTTTACTTAATCCGCGTCAGTTCGTCAATGCTTAGTGGTGGTAGACTGGTTGTGAATAGGCAATGGGTGCAGCAATTTTGGCAACTGGTGCAGCGTACGCGACAGGAGCAGCAACTTTAGCCACAGCGGCAACTTTCACGCCCACTGGCTCTCTGTATACAACAGCATTGAAACCATTGTGGGGGTCAGCGGTATACTCAACGGTGCGCTTAGTGCCATCGGGGTCCACGACGGAATACGAGCCTTGCACAACATCTCCATCACGAGATTCGTGCTGGGTCTTAGAGTCGCCAGTTAGGCCGTCCTGAACATCGTAGGCGAAGCTGTATTGGGGGTGGGGATCATACTCTTCCACGGCGACTTTGGCTACGGGGGCGACGGCAGCCACCTTAGCAACAGGGGCGGCGTAGGCGACTGGACTAGCAGCATAGGCTACGGGGGCGGCGGCAGCCACCTTGGCAACTGGAGCGGCATATGCAACTGGACTGGCAGCATAGGTGACAGGGGCGGCGGCAGCCACCTTGGCGACTGGAGCGGCATATGCGACTGGACTGGCAGCATAGGCCACAGGGGCGGCGGCTTGGTAGGTCAAAGGTGCAGCTGGGACAACACCACCTCTGGCAATCGCCACCAGACAAATAAATACGGCGAACTGAAAGTAAAATAATCTGATTTAGCATTTGTTTTTAATGTACAACTGCCCATATATCATATAATTTATCTATGATCGATCTCAATTTGATTCATTGCTCACCTTGAATGCCATTTTGCTAGTAGTAACTATATGATCGAAAGATGAGGTATGTATAATGTTGAATATGATCAGTGTTGCGGTTATATATTGAACGCAATATGCCCGAGGCGAGAGCTAATATTCGGTCAACAGGCCCGCCTCTCTGTCGATGACATGTACTGATCTGTAAACCAATTGTATCGGTTTATATGGAACAAGGACTACTAGCTCGCAAATTTAAAAATATTGCTTAGGTACTTCATATAGGATTGTTAATGTTATAAATTTGCACATATATGTGTGTATTTGAGTATGATATCTAGATATATCTAAAGTGAATTTAACCGATAAGAAAATTTCATGAGTGTTTAAGAATACTTAAGTAAAATATAAATTGGATGAACTGCTTATAAAGACCTTTTTTATGATCTCAAAATTCGAACAGTGGCAGAAAAACAATACATTGTATATAAAAGTTCTAATCTGAAGTTACAAGCACAAGTAGTATCTATTATATTTGCTGGTTGGCTTTTGGCCACAACAGAAAATCAGTGTTCCTTTTCAGGACAAAGCAATAATTTAACTTGTAACTATTTTATGTTACAGCCGTATACCATATCAGTCTTTGTTACATTTCTTATGTTGTATTTTTGCCCTTTATTTTCTTTTCGTGTGTGTTTATCGAATTTTGTTGTAGTGTGTGTGCTGAAGACAGAAAAAAATATATTATTGTGTGTTACTAAATACTAATTATTCTTTTTTTTATATTGTTTGATTATTTTATGAAATTTTGTAAAGCAAAACAGCTGACCGACAACTTGATGGAAAATAGTAATCATTGTACTAAGGACATAAACATCACAAAATACACTACGATGCCTATAGTTCATTAACCGATAACTTCATACCCTGGAATATTATATAACGGTCCTAAGCTACCTGTATCCATTGACTTCCTGCAATGCGTTTGAGGTCGTCACTCCATCTAATGGAAGGTCATCGTGCATTGCGTTTGTCTGTACGAAATCATTATCTTCATCATCACTTATTTATGTAGTTGTATTTATTATCGAATTGGTCACATTATTGCTAGACTAGGCTAGTCTATAGAACTAGATTAGATTATGGTTATAATTATCTGTATTCTTTAGGTATCCTAGTAACATACTTTAAAAATATGTAAAATATACACTAGTGACCTTTCTGGCAACAAAAAGAAGCGATAAGTTCAGTGTTTGCTTTTTCGTAAGTGATTTTTATGTTTTACTATAAATTTCAATTTAATTCTTGTAATATGGCACCCACACACATTATCATAATGCTCCTTGAAATGCACTCCATAACTTTTGTATTTATATGACGAGGGTAGATGGAAAAAGTAAATAATTCGATTTTTGTAATTTTTGAGGATGAATGAATAATAATAATAAACACCATTAATCATATTATATAGCGCCAACTGGTTTAAATTAAGCAAAGCTTGTAGATTATATGATTTGATTGATAGATATAGGTACATGCTTTTTTTTAAATAAAAAAAAAATAATAATACAAACATACATACTTATATTTGGATTGTGTAGGGATTGAACCCGCGACCATTAGAAGTTAATGCAAAATGTTAAGCCAATAGACCAAGCGTGACATTTAACATAATAACAACAGTCGGCAAATGTCTCTGACTATCCTATCCTGTATTATAGTCGTGACCATTTTTGTTTTGCTTTAATACATTTGAAACAAATTATATGATCGTACTTATAATAATATGCAGCGCCGGTCTTAATGTACTTGGTGCTCTCGGGCCCGATGACGCCCGGTGACTTTGTTGATTGGTGATAAAAAAAAAATGCTGAGGCATGACCTGGTAACATGCAATGTGAATCCTGACCCGATCGATGCTGCTGCTGATGACGTACACATCAATATAATGGCTACAAGGGCTCTGCGAGCTGCGGCCCACAGTGCAAGGCGACAGATTGCAACATAAAGCACTGTACTAAATCTGAAGAAAACTCCAAATGACGTTGATACAATTATAATTAACATACGAGACGAACACAGTAGGTTCATACAATTTCCGTTACAAATATACACACGCGCGCGCGCGCGCACGCCCTTACTCACGCACGCACGCACGCACTCATGCATGCACGCACGTATGGCTCGAAATATACGTTCCGGACTTTATAAGAGCTGAAGACTGTCCCTCATCTAGCCCAAACCTCAACCCTTTAGACTTCAAATTATGGTCAGTTTTAGAAGATATGGTTCCTCTAAACGACACTGCGATATTGTCTCTTAAAAAATCTTTGGAGCAAGGAGTAGCGAAATTTACCTTGAAAGTAGTGCGTAAATCCATAGCTTCGTGGCCAGACAGATTAAAGGCCTTTAAAAAAAAAAAAAAAAAAAAGATTAAAGGCCTGTATAAAAGCCAAAGGTGGTCATTTCGAATAGAATATTTTTATAATTTTTGCTGAGACTAATAAATATGTAGGTATAAATTTTAATAATATTACATTACTTCATAAAAAATGCATTTTCATTTGTAACAGAACTTTTGGCTGGACTAGGTATATTAATAATTATGTTGGTGTAGCGGTTAAACATACCGCCTCGTCTTTCGATGGCTGTGGCTTCAATTCCTACAAGTTTGTAATGGCAAAGGTTTAGACTTATGAATGTGGCTGTTTGTATTGGTTTGGGTTTATTCTGTATATAATATTAAAAATATCTATTAAATGGAACTATGTAATATATCTAGTAACTTATATTTATTTAATTTATTTATTTATTAATTTATTTAATTTATTTATTATTTATTATATTTATTTATTAATATTTATTTTCAGCCCAAAATCGAGCTTGAAACTTGTTACAGTTTTAAAATTTACTTATAATACTTTTAAGTATTTTATTGATTTATCGCATAGGAAAATATGGATTTATTTACTTATATCTGAACATTTTATTTTACTAATCTTTGAGACATTAAATAATTATTATAGAAATTAGATTTTCATGTAAAATTTGTTACTTATTGTTTTAAACTTGAATAAAAACCTATTGTATTCTGTTCTGGAGTAAGAAAATAACTATTTTCTCTGACAGATGTGATATAAAATTCATTTTAAAGTTAAATCAGTTGAAATATTATTTAGTTTTATTCTTTGTTTACAGTTATAAAGAAAATAATAAAAACTAGACTCTTTTTAGAAAATATATTTTAATTTAATTTCAATCTCATGTTCTATAAAAATAAATAATTACTTGTTCATACATTAATGACTAGTCAAGAAGGATTTAATATTTCAGTGGTGGATAAGAGGAGCAGAATAGGCCACGGGCGCAGCTAATTTAGCTACAGGGGCAGCGTGAACAACAGGGGCAGCTGGAACCACGGGAGCGGCAGCATATGCCACAGGCGCAGCGATCTTAGCAACAGGAGCGACTGCGGCTACCTTCACAGCGGCGGGCTCCTTGTGTACCACGGCATTGAAACCATTGTGGGGATCAGCGGTGTATTCAACCGTACGCTTAGTGCCGTCCGGGTCAACGACGGAGTAGGAACCTTGAACAACATCACCATCGCGGGTCTCATGTTGAGTCTTGGAGTCACCGGTGAGTCCGTCTTGAACATCGTATGCGAAGCTGTATTGAGGATGGGGATCGTACTCCTCGACAGCGACTTTCGCGACGGGTGCGACAGCGGCGAGTTTGGCGACAGGGGCGGCGTAAGCGACTGGTGCGGCATGCACTAGCGGCGCGGCCGGAGCGGCATGCACCACGGGTGCAGCTGCATATGCGACCGGAGCCGGGTGTGCGGCGTAGGCTGCGGGGGCAACAACGCCCGCCTGTGCGGCGGCAAACACGCACATCAGCACTACCAGCTAGAATAATAAAGTACAATTATTATTATATTCTAATAGCAACACAGGTTAATTGTCCCTAAATTATTTTCTTTCTATAGTCTCAATTTTCAATCCTACAGCTATTCCTATTGTAATTTACTTATAGTAAATTATCTCGTGATAGGCTGACTAAAATAAAACACCTTATAAATGCATGAATAGAAAAAAAAGTTTATGCATTTGATATTTATAATTTCAACGTATTATAAACAATAGATTTTAATTATGATGCTATAAATCCTACCTTGAAAGCCATGATAAAAGGAAAAGGATGTGACTTCACTATGAGGGAACCTCAAGTTGAATGTGCCATAGTTGAATCCGTCAGACTTTTTATATGCCTCTCAGCTGCGTTTGATATTGCATTACCACGTTGTTCTCGTGTATGAGCCATTATAAACCGGCCATTTTAAAATGTAATGTTATTTAATAATATCTTGTAGAGTAAGCGTCGAATAAATTTGTTCGAGTAATATAAAAACAAGAATAGGTAGGTTATGATTGATCTCGAGCACAAAGATCACTTGCTTTACTGTGCTGCTTTCTTTGGGTGGTGGCATGTCCTTGCGATGACATGCATAACTGTTTGCTGATATATTTTTTGTTTAAAAGAACTGGGTCAATTTATTTGTCTATTAATATAAATTGTATTACTGGATGTAATTGTTGTCTTAGATTAGATGAAGTGTCTCCATAGGAATGCTTTGAAAAAAACGTATCAACTTTTTCATACAATTTTGCGTGATAAATAGTTATGGATGTTTCCTTTATAACTTCTATATTTACTTTGTCTTATTTTATAATTTAATGCGTATACGCTCATTTTATTTATTAAATAAACGTCAGCTTATATTTTATGAGTAAGTATATATAACACAGATAAAAAAATTAGTTAACTAATTAGCTAATTAGCTGATAAAAAGTTGACCCGTTTTTGAGACTCGATGCTCTATCTATATAATCTGAGGTTGTTGTATACATAATAATGAAAATAATACAATATTGTTTGAATCATCAACAACAAACCACAATAATATTGTAAGTGAATTGGTGAGTTCCTCTTAAGAGAATAAGAAAGATTTTATCAAGCTGATCAGACGTTCTGGGTGTAATTTTATTTCAAATAGTTCTTTCCTTGCAAGAAGCTATTTAATAGCATTCTTATTCCGTACTAGCTCCTTACGATGGCTTGAATATTAAAATTATTATAATAATACTATACTCATACTTCATTTATCCGTACATTTTATAAATAGAATTTTACATGGAGATTATTCTTTATATAACTGAATATATTTCAATAATATTTACACTTTGCTCCTGAATTGTTGGGGCAACATTTTATGTATATATTTATTTAATGCTCCATACCTTTGTCCTCTGTAATAGCAACACATGATGGGTACCATGGTTCTCACAGTGCATTCTGTGACATCCATGGTCCGTACCTTTAGACAACGATTACTACTTTTCTGCAAATAGGCCTTGGCTATTGGCCTTGGGCCAAAGCTTGTTTGTCATTACACGTTATATAAAAACTTGTCTCGGTAAGCAAGTTAGCTACCTTTTTAAAACCGGATGACTCTCTGTCATCTTGCACTAAGTCTTTACACTAATTTCTTGGGATTTCAAGGTTTAATTGCACTTAATACAGTACAGAGGGGATGTTAAGTATGCTATACTTTGAAAATAAGCAACAATACAATACTAAGTAAAGGGTACTACTCTTAGAGTTGTGTCACTGTTCAGCGATTTTGTTTTCTATTTATTAATTATAAGTATGATGTGAAAAAATATTTTTAGTTGATACGCATTAAAATAGCTTCAAATGTAGTATGTAGTAACAATTTACCTCACTGTAACAAAATTAATAATTATTAATTTTTTTTATTCATTTAACCGCAGGTACGATCCTTAATCTATGGCAATCTCTCATTTTTTTTAAGTAAGTTACTGCAAAAAGTTTTAAAGGTATAAAGTGGATAGCCATATAAGTCCCAAATTGAAAAACAATAAACAATTATTTGACATTTATGGGACTATCATTTAAAAAACTACAAAGCAGTCAGCGTGCATAATTTACGATACAGGTACTTTAGTAGATATTCACTGAAATATATAAGCACTATAAACATTGTTCCATACATACATACATACATATCTGTATTGTCTCCCATTAGGGTAAGAAACAATGGAACGCCAAATGCTTCGATTCAAACAAACCTAGCTTCTTCCACATTCACATTGTTCCATTCATATTATATTATAATAAAATAATAAATAGATTATAATACTTTAAATTTCTCTTCGCGTGTATGAATCATCCTATGTCAGAAGAAGCTTGAAAGCGGAATAAATGCTATAGAAATTATAGCTTTCAGAAGTGATTGTTGGATATAACATTAAAAGGCTGATTAATTAAAAGTGTAGCCTGAAAAACTATGTAGTAGAAAAGATTGAAAAGAGATTATTGCATTAATTTAATCTTTTGGAGACGATGAATAAAAAAAATACGAAATATGTATGTATGTAATATGTATCAGGCATAAATAAATTGAGATGCAACAGAAATATAAATAAGTGCCAAACCTTGCTGGAGACAGCCATATGACGACTAAATAGCTGATGCACTAATTAAGGACTACATTAAAGGTTTCCTTAATCCGAGAGTTTAAATAGAAGTATTTAGCGTTCCGTTGTTTCTGTCTACCCCAATAGGTGACAAGCGTGATGTATATATATGTATATATATATATATATATATATATATATATATATATAGCTATTGCACCTATTCTGACTTCTCAACCCTGGTTAACCACCAGACCAACCATACCAGAATGATATACAGAATTTTGCATTTTTCACTTAAACCCAGTGCAACCGACTCCCGATTACAATGCAGGATAAACTTAAGTTCTTGTAGTCTGTTCCATATGTCAATCTATCAGATTTCTATAACTGTTAACCAGTACCATTAAAAACAGTAAACGCCTCTATTTAATACAATAGCAGTATGCACGTCGTATATACGTGAGTTTATATTGTTAACAGGCGCTATGTGGTGGACTAGAACGGCAACACAATTACGTCGATTCAATGTTCGTTCATATGGTGCTTTACACGACCCTTTGGATCATGTAACTGGCATTCAAAAGCGAGAGCTTCTTGCTCATCTAGCAGGAGAGTGCGATCCTTTTCGTATCATGGCCATAAAGAGAGGTAGCTGTTTTTATTTTGTTATAAAAATGGGGTGTCCACTCATTGTTTTACTCTTTCACCGTCACCATCATTATATCAGCCCTTAACTGTCCGCTGTTGAACATAAGCCGTCCTCAGAACTTCTGGGCCAAAAGGGAAGTTTTGCTAGAAGTTGATATTACAACGAAATCTTTACGCTCAGGACCAATATGAACTACATTTCAAATAGATTTAAAACAAAATTATTATAAATTAGACGACTTTGTACCAACTTCGTATCACGAAACAATGCCATCTATTAAAAGTAATTCGAAGTAACTATTTCCATACAAAATTACCTGTTTTTAATTTTCAATTTTTCAGCTGAATTTTAAGGATTTTTAGGCTTTTTTTTAAACCATCTCTATATTAAAGTGAATAAAACAAAAAATAAATATACAAAACGGTCGTGCTATTTTTGAGTTATAGCGAGACTAACAAAAAACAATATTATATTATTATATTTAGTTTATAATAGTACATAAAACAGTAATTTCATGAAACTCTCAAATTAAAATATTAGATTAAGAGATAAGTTTAGAGAAGTGGCGCCTCTGAATCGAGCCTACTGTCTGTGCTATTAAGCAACCAAATGAAATGATGAAGTCCGTATTGTGCTAGAGCAATACTCATTGGGGTCTACTGTAGTATTTTAGGCAATTGTATATTAATTATAGTAACTTTGTTACGTAATGACATTGTGGGTGTAACTAATTGAATATGTATATTGTGCTAGAGCAAATAGGCTCAACGTACTCGTATTTCGCAACTGTTTAAAAAGAACACCAACATAACTGATCACACTGCCGCAGGTCCCGGTACATGCGAGCGTCCAAACCTGATACCAAGCGCTTATGCCTCCCGGCTGATGGGTTGCATCTGCCACCCAGACCAGAACCACGCTGAGTACATGTGGTTGCACCAGGGTGTTCCCAAGCGATGCGGCTGCGGATACTGGTTCGAACTGTGTCCCGTTGCACCTTTATAATTGGATCTTGTAATACATTAGTTCTATTGGATTTTTATTAAAAAATACCTAAATTTATTAACGGAATTTTATTTGCTTTTATTTAACTAGAAATTTTAGAACAATAAACAATAATTTTAACATAGACAGTGTTCCATTTCGTCTATAAGAATGGCTAACTTTGTGCCAAATATTGAAATCAAACGCAAAATTAAATTAAAGACGGGGCGGATATATAGATATTAAGGAAAGATGGAAAAAGTCGTTAATAAAGTTGTGGTTTAGGAAGAAATATAGAGCAGGAAGTAGAATACTACATAATATCGCCAAAGTCTATCAAGACGTAAACGTAGCATTGTAGAGAGAAGATCTACCAATATGCAGTAGGTTGTTTTATATAATAATAACCATTAAATAACTTTATCTAGTTGAAACATCGGAGGAGGTAAATAACTTTTCTACTATTATAATTCGTATTATGTTTTGAGGTGCTCCAAATCTATTTAACAGTCAACAGGCAGGATTACCATTCCATTATCTTCCATTTAAAAAAAAAGAACACTTAAACTAATTACATAAATATGTAAATATTTTCTTAGTACATATGTACTGATTGACTGTGATAAAAAAATATTCTATATTGTTATCTAGTAATCGTAAATAAATTATTTAAAATTGTACAAAACAATTTTTGTCGGGTAAACTAGTTTATAACAAACTTTAAATTGATTTAAATCAATTAAAATAAAATCAAATATAATAATAAATTTAATGTTAAGCCGAAACTGAGAAAAACAGAAAATATCTCGACCTGGCTCACGAGGTGCCCGAAATGTGGGGGGTGACATCCACCGAAATCTTTCCAATCGTTATGTCGGTGAACGGTCTTATCCCAACAAGTCTGGAACAACATCTCAGACGGTTGGGATTCCGAGGCGGCTCACTCCCGGGAAAGATGCAGAAAGCGGTGCTCTTAGATTCTGCCCGCATTGTACGCCGGTTTCTCTCCCTGGGGCCCTGAACCCCGGCCTTCTGCCGGGGGTTAGTTGCCATCTCCTCTCCTTAAGAGGGCAGATGAGATATTTTGTAAAATTTATAAAATAAATTTAATGTTATAAAAATAACTATGTACAATGACGGGATTTCATTGTGTTTATCAATAATGTGTATTAATGTGAGAAACGGTGGAGGTCTGGGTAAATTGGCTTGTTAATGTATAAGTCTTAAGGCCGCCACTCACCCGCCGGCGCCCTACTTCGCGCGCGTGACCGTGAACTGCAGTGCCGTATAACACCTTTGTACCGGAACTCTTTGATTCATCCTATTATATAATACAAAAAGTTTATTGCCATTATGATATTTATTTGTTACAGGAATTCTAATATTTGTGAGCTAGTATCACTTGGTTGGTTAAGAGATGCTGCCATACAAATAATTCATTATAAGTCAGTAATCCAAATTTGATTCTACTTTTACACTATAAATTTTTCGAACTTTTGTTCCACTACAATTTAGTAAGGATACATTTGAGTAGAATCGTAAATACATTGTACATAGGTAATAACTCTTAACGCCACTGAAATAAAAATTCTAAAATAAAAAAACAAACTTTATTTTAGGATTTTAGAAGATCTCCAAATAGAAATGATGAAGAAAATTGTATACCTACTAAACACATACATTCATATTCAAGAATCTTATTTTTTAATCTAAATAAATATGTAAATTCAATTCAAATTTTTTTGTTACATTATTAAATATTTGTGCGCAAGCTCGTGTTCTAATTTTGTTTAATAAAATAAGATCTATAATTAGATTAAAAATAATTTTATTCATATTTAATTAAGTTTACACGTAGTAGTATATAATAGAAAAAGTAAAGTCGAAATGGTATGATTTTTACTTTCTTTATTAGGTTTAAGAAACTGAACCTTCCTCGGATTCGTAAGTTAAAACATTCACCGCAAATGACTCGCAACATTTGACTAAGCAAAACGAACACTGATATGTACTCGGAGAAAGGCTTAGTACTTACCGATTTCGTAAACAGATGTCAGTGTATTTATACATCGTTTAATCGCAATCGTATTATTACGTTAGTATAACAAATATTTTACATTTTAATCATTCACAATTTCATCATATCAGGTACCTTGTATTTAGATAATTTATAATATTTAATACATTATATTAAATCGTAACCATTTTTTTTTATTAATTTGTTTATTAAGATTGAAATATTTCGAAATAAATTTGTAATTTTGTCAATATTAATACTAAACTAAATTAGTCTAAACACACAATAATTTTGTAATTAACAAGCGCTCTATATCAGTTACTACATTAAATAATACTTTTACACAGCATTATCTTATATTAATAATTCACATAATTGAAGTATCAACCTAAACTTACAATAATATCACAATTTTAGGAAAGATGTATGCACGATTTTGTATCTCAATGATTATTAGGTATAAAATATTGACCATGTGCAAATGTATTATCTTCCGAGGACAGCTCGTTTTCTGGCGTAAAATATACAGGTTGTTGAACGTAATCCACTTTGTCGTAATATTGGATTTGTGAATGTCTGTCCGAGTCTTCCATTCGTACATCTGTCACATAATCTGGTTTTGCTTGGTATCGAGCGTCATATTGATATGTATTTTCTTTGGGAATATACTGAGATTCTTTTTGAGAAACAACATTCTCGGCAGGCTCTTTACGTACAACGGCTTTAAATCCTTCCTTCGGATCTGCTGTGTATTCAACGGTGCGTTTCGTACCGTCTGGATCTATTACAGAATAAGCCCCGCTGACAGTGCCTCCATGTCTCACTTCGTACTGACTTTTTGTGTCTCCGGTAGTGGGATCTTCAATATTATATGAGTATTTGTATTCCGTATCAGTAGGTGGTGGATCTGTTACTATGATACCGAGGATAATTGGCACGCTGCAAATAAATAATAATAGCTCCTGAAACAAAAAAAGTATAATATGAAATCTCATAAAAAATATATTGTTAGGTAATATTTACTAATCTTGTTTTTTTTTTATACAACTCAGAATGGCAAACAAGTGAACGGCGCACTTGATGGAAAGCTTTGCATATAAACATAGGCAATTCGTGGATATCATAAAATACATTATTGTGATTGGACTGGTATGAAATACAAGATTAAATTATGGCACGATATTTACGAAATTGTATAATTTGAACTAAATATATTGATATAATATTAATAAACGTATTTGCATTTACCCTTAGCATGTTGTGATCGCGCTCGACAATAGGCTTCGCTGTAAATAGTCCACCAAATTTAATCGCTGGTGGTATTTATAGAAGCAGCTTGCGTTCACTCGAATGTTCCGTATTGCCAACATCCATGGCTGCCGCATGTGCTTGCATTGTTGCAAGCCGTGCTTATAATTAAATAGACCATACTTTAAGACATTTTATAGCATCCTATCTATTATAATAATGTTTGTTCTCCAATAATCACTCAAAGCCTTCCAAGAATGTCCATGTCTCCGAAAAAGTTTCTGATATATATATATATATATGTCATTAGGTGGACTTCATTGTTAGAAGAAATGTATATATATATTTATACTTTTAAGTATTTATACATACATAGTCTATATATATAAATAAAACTGTAACTTAATGGTGACTGTACATAAAGAAGATATTTGAGTAAAATTTATGTGAGATATTTTGATAAAATCAATAGAAGCCAAAACGATAGTATTTGTTTGTTTGCTGAAATCATACTGTAATACTAAATTGGATGCAGTATTCATAGCTATGTTTTTAAGGTTTGACTTAAAATCTGATGAGTTTTATTTTAATAAGCCATCTAGAAGTATCCATGCGTACACAGTCGTCGGTAGAAGCTAGTAAAGAATATACGCATACTTTTATAGCATATATAAAATCAAGTTAAATATATAATATATTAAGTAAATTTATTTTAGCATATCCTTTCTCATTGTTTTTCCCTTAGAAAGTAGAGAACACTGCTCGCTTTTATCCAGACACACCTCCTTGACACACATTTATATAATGTAAATTCAAATGAAATGGTAATTAAACCAATTAATTTCGCACATTCATTTATTTATTTTTAACTCTGAAGGTCGTTGGGTAAAATCTTTTGATGCTGCATTACTCAGTATCCTCAAACTAGTGTTGTGAATTGAATAATAGTCGTATTAAGATTATTATCATATAACAAGAACTAAAGAAATGGTAAAATCTATCGTTATATCATTAAATTAGCTTATTATAAAATAAATTACTAAAATTATATATTTCTATAATACAATTAATCTAAAATAATTTGTACATTTGAATGAAAATATGTCGCAAACGACAAACATAGTTATTTTTAAAAAAGTTCCAAAAAGAACTAGTGATTAATTCGAACTTCCAGATTGTTTAAAACAACAAAAATAACGCTTTAGTAATCTGTGATCATAGTATCTCTAATACGTTTTCATTCTTGTGGTCTAAAATGTCATGACTAATCTTACTTTGTAACTTTACGGTGTATATCCTTTAAACCATAACACGGGCATACAAGCGCAATTGCTTGTCATCAGAAATATTAGTGGGACAGAGGTACCCATTCAAACGACTTTCGTACATAGTCTCCCTCCTTTGATCCCTATGGCCATTTTCTTATGCGACGTAAGAGATCTGTAAATAACCACAGACAAAAATAGATTTTGAAAGATCCTTACTAGTGATATTACGGTATTCCCTAATATAATTTAAGTTTATGTCGTAATAGTAATAAATTGAATGCAGGTTCATATTTCAAGTCAAGGGCACACCAACGACACATTCGATTTATTAGAAAAGCACATGGGCACAGCGCAGCATCAATTCATCATCATGTTGCGCACTAATCACCATGAGATAGACATGATAAAGCTTTGTACTCCTAGTAGTAGTATTAAACAATGTGTTTTGTAATGCTCATGTGTAATAACTGCGAAAATGGTGAATAATAAATAATAATGCCGTAGTTTAGATTAAAAAGTGTGCTATGCTAAGTACTCTAATGATCAAATGAAAATTAAAAATATATTTATTATGCATTACGCATTTAATGTATGATTTAATTAATAATTGAACTATTATTTAAATAAAAATACCCATGTTTATAATGTTAGTATAGCAAAAAAACAAAGTTGTTAAACTTTTAGCGATCAATGCAAATATCAACGCATAAGGTGAAATGGAATAGTTTGGTTCGTGGCTCTTTGCCTATAATAGAGTGTAATTAAGTTTATGTAATATATATATATATATATATATATATATATATATATATATATATATATATATATATATATATATATATATATATAGTAAAACATAAAAAGAATGAGATTCTCAATTATATTGTAAATATATTAATATGTTTATATATCTTCGTCAATTCAAATTTGATGAATCAATTATTAATCGAATCAATTTATTGCTATAATGTTCTCAAACAAATTTTTTCAAGGTTGATACCGACTTTTTTATTGAACTTTTGTATGTGTATAAAACAGATCTCACTTTTTTTTAATAGCTCAATTACTACTGTCACTGCTGGAAATATAGGCATCATACTATCTATTTGCAATAGATTAAATAATATGAAAGCTTTAAATTTTTTATTCATACGATGTATACAATTTATGCAAAATTGACAACATTATAAAATTATAAATTATTACGAAATTACATCTAAAATCTAATACTGGTTTATGTGACTTAAAATAATTATATTCATTAGTGTCGCATTTTAAAGGAAACTAATTATCATATATTTTGAAGACCATTCCATCTCAATAACATGAACATGGAAGTAATTAACAATACAAGAGCACGCCAAACGTATTTATGAAATTTTATTGTTCTTTGTTTGAAGTGATTAAACAAATTATTACAATGCAACATAATACTATTAAATATTTAATAGTCATAATTTATTACAATCTTACTTTATATTCTCAATAATTCTATTTATTTTTTACAAACAATAAACGGCATTTGCGTTTACGTATGTTCTTGTGTACCTCAGTTGAATAACTCATTATTATTAAATTACCATTAAAATTCTGTAAGTCAATTTTTTTTATCTACTATTCTTTCTTCCTTTCTCCTGGGTATCGTAAGAGGTGGAAGCAATGTTCCAATTAAAACACCAAAGCCTAACTGTGGCTGCCAACTGCTAAACTGCCAAGCGTGACCACTACTGGCAAAACTGCCCACTTTATTGGTGAAACTTATGTTCAGCAGTGGACAGATAACGGCCCATGTCATGATGATGATGACGAATACAAATAAAGTATATATACTCAATAATTCATATTCATAATTCATATGAATGATAACGTTTGAGTATTATAAATAACCAAGTATATCCTATGACATCTTATTTAGTTGTTATAAAAGATACGCGTTAAAATTAGTTTAGTGCACTGACTTAAGTATGATTACGCAAACCATTATTTACCATATTAAAAACTACTATTTAAGAAAATCATCTCCGTCGTAGTATCTAATACAGTATATATTTTTATTTTTAAAATAACACAATTAACATGAAAAGGTTTTGCTGGAAGAAATCTCTTATTAGAGATAAGCTCGCCTTTATACATTATGTTTATAATGAATTGTGATTAACAGTATGTTTTGTGTACAATAAAAGAATAAAGAAAGAATAAAGAATATTTTGTCTTTATATAAGTTTAGGTTGCGCAAACATCAATTTGATTTCAGTTGGTGCATACATTTCATAGGTGCATTAGACATCAACGCGAGTCCATTGGGTGCAATTTTTTATTTAACTCAATAGATTTTGAAACTAAAATAAATATTTAACAATTATATAGGTATTAATATATTATAGGCGAAATATGAAATTATTTACCAATAATTTTAATCAAATCAATTAAATAAAACTTTGAAAGGACCAAAGATTATAAAAATTATAAATTTAAATCTGCCCAAAGCGCTAAAAATTGCTAACGGTGTTTTTCCTTACCTTAATTTTTTTTTTTATATTAACAAATCTAAGTATCAGAGATTAATTTGTCCTCTGCTACATTAAAGTCTAATTTTGTGAAATAAAATTAGTATAATAAGACCTGGCCCACGTAATAATAGTATACCATATTCTATTCCTTGACAAAATTACTTTTGAAGATGAACGCCTAACAAACTGTTTTGGGCAAAAACTATGTTGACCAAGTTTGGTAAGTAAATATTAATTCACTTTACGGAGTCACTACTTAAGAACCCATTACTATATAAATATATTATATACCAGAGTAAATCATTTTAAAAAAATGTATATATTTTTTAGATTTCAAAACGAAATGTATGTCTGATTTCATGACGATTTATAGAAGTGGTACAGTTGCGGGTAAAAGCTCACTTTTACATTTCCAATATTACTAAGGAAAGACGCAAATTCAATATATTATTTAGGGTATCGTCTAGACCCTGTGAAACAATTACTCAAGGTTGTTTAAAATGAAATATAATTCTAGGAACAAATCACTTTGGCCCTTCATTAATCAGGAGAGAAACATTGTTATTCTGTAAACTCTGCTTCTAGTAGTTAACAGGGGTTTCTAGAGTATTCGTCGCAAGATGCAGTGGCAAAATAAATACTAGAAGTTCAAGAACTCCTAATTTATTAACTTCTATTCATTTGATAACCATTTCAAAACAGATAATGCTATAGAAGTTATAATAAGTAAATATATTTTTATAATGATAAAGACGTCCTGAAGAAAAAATATTTCAATTTACTCCTAAGGGTTACAAAGTAATTTAAAATACCATATGGATTAACTTCAACTATACTTAAATACACTTAAAACATACTCAAATACTCTGTAGCGTAATTATTAATCTACCTGTTTAAGGACAATCCAAAATATTGAAAGTAACTAGATACTTGTAAAATTGGCCTATCTGTGGCTATTTATATGAAAATTATTTAAGAACCCTCTATACTATTTTGAGAAATATAGCAGAGTACGCGTAATTATCTAATTTTGTATTCTTTTCAAGACAAGGAAAAGGCCAAACTAAAGGAACTAAATATACACAAACAACTGGTTGTATTTTAATTGACTCGTAAGAGATAAGTTCGGAGTCTACGGAACATACCTCTTTACTCATTCGCATTCTAATATACTCAGTTTTATACGGATGTTGGCGACAGACCGCCTTTTATATAAGCTTACCTTTTTAGATTTAATATTTTACTATTTTAAATATGTCTTTTTATAACTCTCTTTTGGTTTTTTTTTATTTTATTGACATAGGTTTTGTGCTATATATAGGTTCTGCCCAGCCGATCTGAATTCGTCGATTAAACATATAAATAATATCTGTTCCCTCGTTGCAGAATACAATCACGTACGGTGACTTAGTACTTAATTTAAGTACAACATTGAAATAGAACTAATACTAATAGCGTTACAAAACTATAGCTGTTCTAGTTTAACAGACAGGATGTTTCATTACAGTAGCAAATTAAAAATATGTTTCGTAATCTCAATACATCAGTTTCCAAACAACTAGTCACCTTTAAAATTGATGTATGCACCTCTACTTAAAAATTATAAACAATGTGTATATATATGTATATATATATATATATATATATATATATATATATATATATATATATATATATATATATATATATATATATATATATATATATATATACATCAACCTAGTGTTATGCCTTAGTACTGTGTATTGTCAGCTAAGTTAAAAATTAGAAAGGATTTGTCCCCTAGTGAGCCTTGGATATTTTTGTATGTCGTGGAACGAGAATTAACAGGTTCAGGTCACCATTTATTTTTATTATCGGTCTAGATTAGGAAACAACAATATCGCTTACTTGTATTTGAGGTAGTCTTTATTGTGCCTACATTTGAAATATTATTTACTATTTCATATATTAATCTATCTTTCCATCCAGCCATCTAACCACCAGTACATTTAGCTTTTTTATTTATCTCTTTACTTATTAAAGAGATGGAGCAAAACTACTATTTAAAAAATCAAAACTTTCAATTTATTTTGAGGTTCATACCTATCAGCCGTTAACTGTCCACTGTTGAACATAGACCTCCCCCTATAGGGGGCTTTGCCAGTAATTGCCACGCTTGGAAGGTGGGTAAGCAAACGTCGTTAGGCTTTGGTAATGATTCCTGGACCAATTAGTTTATTTAGTCGCTTCTTACGACACACACGCTACACCTTCGAATGGAAGTGGTAGCGTGGCTCATTTTATACCGAAATCACATGGTACATATTTTACATTTTTTAAACTTTAGTGTAAAACACAAAATATTAAACACAGCTATTTCTTAGCAGAAACAAATATTGCGACTACATAACTGCCCAGCCCAGTCTGATAACACTTTACCACTATTATATCCATATCATAAAATATTGTAGCCGCACCGCTGAATAATTAATGAAGTAACGACTAGAAATATATCTACCACTACATATGACACGAGATAATAGCAGGGCGCGGTTGACACACATTTCCAGTACACTATTATTATATTGCTCACATGACTGGTTCGAGAGCTTACATTGCATTTTATTAGAATAAAATGACTGTCTACAGTAAATAGTGACTTTAACTAACCTTCAATTTTATTTTATTTGATATTAGTTGTGAGATAATACGTGAGTTTGCCCGTATGAATAAGAATAAAATGTATTATATGTGGTAACTGGCAATCGAAGATTTATGACCTATCCTTAAGTCTACCCGCGTATCAAATTTCATCCAAATCCGTTCAACCGTTTAGTCACTTGTTTTATATACAAATATATTTACAATTTATTACATTTATATTTACATATATATTTAATATCTTAGTACTTGGTGCATTTGTCAAATTATGGGGTATGTTGATAGAAATATTATTAATTTTAATTACTTAATAAATGAAACCATATTATTTAATTCCTCTTATTTATTACCTCAGCTATAACATTAATATAATAACAATAAACTATATACCTATAAAGTATATACGATTCAGGTCACGTTAAAAATATACGAGCGTTTAGATAGATTTAGGTCCGTCATTGATGTTTCAAAAATCCACTCTATGACACTGGCACAACACTCCCATTCTGTAAAATATTTTTTTTAAATTAGAAGATTATAACATAAAACCAGAAGTTATGTAAACAATAACAATGTATGTAATCGTGTCAAATCATGACTGTCTGAAGAAGTAGCCAAGAATGCTGAAACCGATGTGTATTTATTAAAATAGTTACAAATGTAAATAAAGCAAGAGATGTATGGATAGAGGCCATCGGCAATTGGTTCTTTCTAGCTATCCTACAAAATGCTTGACGTGAAGGTAGATAATAAAATTGTTTCATACCCCCAGTTTTAAGTTTTATATTATGCGATAACTTCGTTAACTCGAAATGATTTTCTTGATTTTTTTACAATCGTTAGAGTTTACCCAAATAATGATCCCATATTTATATTGTTATTCGTATGATTGTCGTTGCTTATTTTTTTATGTAGCAAAATCTTGATTATATATTTATAAAATGTAGACAATGTGTTCGTAGAAATGCAAAAAACTATTTTATTCTTTATAAGTATGTATAGACTTACATTAACATGATGTGTATTACCTTCCTATGAATCAGCAGATTTCTAAATCGATCTAAACATTGTTGTCGAGACTAGTGTATGAAGGCAGGCGCCGCAGCGACAGGCGCCACAGCCTTCACAACGCCCCCAAGAGGTTCCTTGTGAACGACGGCATTGAAGCCGTTATGTGGGTCCGCAGTGTACTCCACCACGCGACGAGTGCCGTCGGGCTCCACCAAAGAGTATGAACCTTGTACTACATCACCAGACCGCGACTCCTGCTGACTCTTGGAGTCACCTATATGTATATGAAAGTAGTGTTGAGTAAATTAGAGAAAGTTATTTGAAATCTGAGTCATAAGTGACAGTATATATATCCTTTATATTTTTAGATAGTGTTTTATCCTTTTATGTCTTTGATATTTGGTTAGGTACCAAACAGCGTCATAGACGTCATTTATGTCGTTTATCAAATATTTTTATTGACTTAAACAAAATCTAAATGGAATTCAAGATTTAACAAAAGTAGGGTTGCAAATTGCGCCTCATATAACTTCTGAATCACAATTTTTAGCGCTTTGAGTAAATGAAGTTTCGATCGAATTACATTCGAATTTCCTCGACCCATTCAATATACGTCAGAAACTTTTGTGAGCTCAGGTTTAGTAGTGCTGGAATATGCAACAATGATTAAGTACAACCACTTTTTATTTTTAACTAATAATAAAAAGAAGATTATTTTAATCAACAGACTTCAAAAGAATGAAGTTCTTGATTCGGTTAAGTATATGTTTTTTTTTTTATGTTAGTTACCTCATAACTCCGTCAGTTATAAACCAATTTGGAAAATCTTTTCCTCGTTTTAGATACAACATTAATTTTTTGATATGAATTAGACTGAGATTCTGGGAGATCAAAGAATTTACTCACCAGTTATAGCATCTTGAATGTCGTAGGCATAAGAATATTGTGGATTGGGGTCATAATCGTCGACGGGTGCAGCGACTTTGGCATAAGCGGGTGCTACAGCATATGGTGCTGCAATAGCTGGCCTGGCAACAGCGATTGCGGGCCTGGCAACTGCTAGAGGCGCTGCAACTGGCAGACCATACGGCCTGGCGTATGCGTAAGGAGAGGCAACGGGCAAAACTCCGCCGGCCGCTCCTCTGCACACCGCCAGGATAGCAGCCAAGATTACGACCTAGAAAAATGTTATATATCACATGGTCATATAGAATTAATCTAAACACTATTAAGAGAAAGAATGGATGGAAAGGAAGAAAATTAAGGAAACTAGCTAAATAATTAAAAGTAATAGATGCATAACCTGGAACTTAATATCCGGGTAAAAGCGTGCTCCTAAGGGGGAGCCACAATAAAAAAAAAAAGAAAAAAAAACTTTGCTAAGAATAAATATTATGTTTAGTTTTAAAACTATTGCCTGTAACCAATATATAGCCGTAACTTTTTCGAAATCTCTTAAGATAAATTATTATATTTTATCTTCATATATATCTATCTTCCCGACAGTTTTTTTTAATTTTTAAAGTCTTTTACCTTCTTCGGGTGTATCAGCCCTATCGTATATCGTACCCTCAGCTCTATCGTATCCTGAACTGATTTCTCAATTAAAATTTTATCTACTTTCCCTAGACAAGGAATGAGAGGAATTAATAGGCATCAATAACTTACAGAAATGTTAAAAAAATTTAGTATCCGTTTACACAGACCTATTCAGATAGGAGAGCAGATACTGATCACGTTTAAAATAGAGGTTTTATTGATTATTGAATAAGTTTTATACATAACAATTGTTTTGTTATATTAGAATGCTCGAGAGTTGATAAAAATTTTACGGTAAAAACAAACTTTATTACAGGAATTTTATCAAAATCGGTACAGTACTTTAGTTTTTAAATCAATATAAATAGTAATCTCACGATTGAAGTCAGTGTTTTTTTTTTTTGAGGAACAAAATATTAAATTATAAATTCATGATATCTATCCATCTTATAGCCAAGCACTATTGTATCACTTATTATTTGCATTTAGGCTTACATGTGTTATTATAACTGTGATTGGCATCGCATTTTTTAAAATTTTAAATGATTGATTTGTTTCATTATTTACATATTTATAACCCTGCTTGATATAATATTCGTTCCAAACCATCTTTCCACTTTTCAGTACATTTCATTACAGTAATAAATAAAATAATAATTCTTAAACGCATTTAATTGTAAATCTTTTAAAATAATAAATATATTTATAAATCTTAAAACTACGGTTACGTATACGTCAATATCTGTTTATATAAAGGAGAACTGATAAGTAAGATAAGAATCTAAAATATTACCTTCATGTTGTATGGGTACCTCTGGTGGGGCTGTGACCTGCTATGAATGCTGAGGGGTGCGCACGCGTCGTTTTATACACACGCATGGTCCATTCGATGCATTATTATTATTATAACCCGCCCAAGTTTTGTCATGGCCGACCCTATAGGTTCCTTTCTTCACTTCGATGTACTTTTCAAAGATTAAATATTGATAGAAGAGAACATTCATATTTCTTCTCCAATTAACCCCATTAACATTTATAACAAGATGTTATGAGACCTTAATTACTATTTCTGTGGTAGCTATAATAGAAATCCATATAAAAATTGTATTATTAATTATATATTAGTATAATTTTTATTTCTATTTATGCAAGCAAAAGCACAACTTATAGTTAACATAATGTAATTAATATAAATATTTTGAGTGACTTCGTAAACGACGAGGTTTCAATTTGCTTATATTTTTTTTCTATATTACGCAGTATCTTCTGAACTGAATTTCTTTAGCAAAATTGGGTTTACCCCTTTGCTTATACCATATTTTTTTAATGAGATGAAAATGGAATGGCAACCTTGACAGCACTATTGATATACGCTAACAGGGTACCAGCGAATGATGACAAGAGTAAAAGTCAGTTTAGTTGACCCATCATGATCGTGGGGATCGACTTGATAGGGTGAACTGTTAGCAATAGAACTGTTATAACCCTATAAATAACAACCTTCGTCACGATTAAAATCGTTAATAATAATAATTTTATTTGCTATGATTTTGAGTATACCTAAAACATTTGATGTTATAATTTTTTTATGGAGCAAAATCTAAAATGTATGTGATAAATGTTTTGCAAGATAATATTGTAAAAAAACCCATTATATAAAGTAGAGATTATTATTTGCCAAAAAATGATTTATCTATTTTTATTTATATATACGTTGTTATGTACGTTATCAAAAAAATACATAGATTATTCCATTTGTATCTTGTAGGTACACAGAATGTGTTCGAATATGAACGTATGAATATGAACTTTGGTATATGGTACTTGTTTCACAAGTTATCTCAATAGACAAATAAATACTTTGTTCGAACGATTTTAGGTACGGTTATAGCTTCGAAGCAAGGGTGACTGTCAGCAATATAAACTTTTTGGGTCACAGCTGCGCTTTATCACTACGACATAGGTTGTATGTGTGATAGCGCCACCCACCACACACATGGATTGTCTTAAATATTGCTCTAGTATTAAATCCGGCTAAACTACTATACCGTTAAATAAATCTACTATTAACTAAGTTTGATCTGATAGATAGTATCATATTTATAATACCAATTCGAGAAGAATCGGATCGAGCCTCGTAAAGTTACCTACTATAATAGGGTTCTTTTTTGTGCAACTTAAAATGGCAAACAAGATAACGACCTATCTGATGAAAAGTGGTAACCATCGCGTATAGACATGAGCAGTACCATGGATATAACAGAGTATACTGTTTCGCCCATGATATCCCCATGCGTTGCCATTCCTGAACAGTCAGGTGTTATTCTTCTGTACCTGTAATTAGACTCTTCTAATCTTCTTTCTCTACTAAACTTCAACTCTCGCTTCGGTTCACGTAATAATAATTATAATATTTTTGTCTTCAAATTTTTACAAAAATTACTTCCTATTTTACCATAGTCAGAATATGCTACCAGTACAATGAAATTCTTCAATCTAACTGAAATGTCGATATATTTCTCTTAACCCTATCGCAGTTCCGGAGACAATTGAATGGCTATTTATTCAAGTAAATATATACACATGTGTGTCACGCTTGTCTCCCATTAGGGTAGGCAAAAACAATAGAACGCCAAATACTTCGATTCAAGCAAGCCCCTTTCGCTTCCTCCATATTCATCAATCTTTTTATACTCACTCCCCGGTTTGCCTTTTCGAGGTCAAATAATACTATGTGTAAATTTTTTATTGTTCGTATTTCTTATCAATTCTGTTATGACAATTGATATTTCAATTAATCACAATTGATTAGATGAGTATTATGACTATTGCCAAAATTCGAAATAGGTAGTGTTTCCTTAGAATCAATTAATCAAACATAAATATCTAAAAAATGTTTGGCTATTGGATTGTATAGGAATAATTAATTAAAACGATGGAAAATTTATCATATTTTCTTTGTACATACATATACATATATTTGTCAAATCTATCTACTATAAGAATAGGCAGAAACAATGGAACGTTAAATGCTTCGTTTCAAATAGCACTCTTTCACTTTCTCCACATTTATCAATCTTTTGATACACGCTCGCTGGTTATGGGTACTTTTAATTTGACCCTTCTTCAACACGTCACCTATTTGGTCGACTAACGTCCGTCCAGGGCGGCTCTTACTGACATCTCCATTCATTCGTAGTTTATAAATTTCTTTCGTAACTCTTCCGTCATCCATCTTATCCAGATGACCAAAACAAGACAACATTCTCTTTTTGATATTTATTTCAGTAAGGACATAACTGACTGTTTTCTCTAATTTATTATTTGTATAGACTATTTCTCACCCTATCTTTTAATGTAATATCACATACTTCTCAGAGCTCTCATCTCGACAGCATTTAACCAACTTTCATGCCTCTTTTCTCATATCCACGATTAGCGGGGAGAAAGAAATTGTTAGTAATGAGCCTATCTGTCCCATTGCTAGTGATATACTCTATCAGGTCGACATCCACGCGATTTCCCGTGGACCATCGTAGTTAATTCCCATAGAATTTGTCACGATGGGTTAACTGACCTGCTTTCATCCCCGTCTATCATCCCTCACTGATGCTCTGCCAGCGTATACCAAATAGCGCAAGCGGGGTTACCACTTCGATATCATCCATTATTCCAGATCTGCCCACGATTCGCTACCATACATGAATGTTAGTATTAGTACTCCCTGAATTATGGCAAGGCGAATTTAGCTCTATACATTTTTGCTTACCATAACTGAAAGTAATGCATTGTTAACACTGTTTACCGAGGAGGGAAAGGGATTGTTAGCAATGGAATTTGACAGCATTGCTAGCAATATGCCCTATTAGGTCGACCTCCACGTTGGAAACCATCCAATTCTTGTTGATTCGTCACGATGGGCCAACTTTCTTCAGTGATGCAAAAGTCCGACTATTACTTTTTATCACCCGTAAAAAAAGACTAATGACTAAAAATATTAAAAATCGTAGGAAATTAAATGACTGAAAATATTAAAGTAGTAAAAGTAATTACTAATTTTATAATTCGACTACTAAATTAGTAATATACTAATTACCGTATTATTCATATACGATAATTAGTATTTTTTTATTTTACTAATTAGTAACTAATTACAATAAAATCCTATCTCTCCAATTCCATTCTACTACTATCACTACCTCGGTAAAATTGACGACGAAAAGAAATGCCATGTACCATCCACGCAAAATATGTAATAATTTCCTATTTATTTTTCTGCTTACTTTAATGATAACCATAGCAATTTACACTTACATTTTCACTAACTTGCTTCCTTTCATGACTTTTATCGAAAATTGATAATTTATACTTATTTTAGATTGGCAACATTCTTGCTCATTACGAAAAAAAAGAAATTCCAACAATCGGGTCGACTCGACTGTTTGTGTTGACTTATAACGAATGAAATTAGTACTTGAATGATAATAGTAGTCGGCTGACATTAGTAGTCGGATACGGAATACAATTAGTACTCGAATAATTTGAAAATAATTTGAATAAACCGAATGATTTACTCAGTCGAATAATTAGTAGTAATCTAAAATAACGTAATGTGTAAAATAATGTAAATTAGTGTAGTCACACATCGCTAATCCCCCTCAATATTTTCCATCCCTTGTAAACAATGAATATAAATATAAAAACTTAAGTTGTAATTAATCAAACGAACTTTTTATTAGTGAATGAAAATGTAACCCTGTCTGCGCTATCAGTATACATTGGTGGAAGGGCACCAGTGGAAGATGATAGGTGAGAATTAATGAAATATTGCTAACAATGAAACTATTAGACCTCATTACTAACAATCCATTTCCCCCCATTATAACGTATTAACAGACTGGCAATACAATCATAAAAATGAGACGAAAACATGATAACACTTGTGCGCGTGAAATGTAAAGTTTGGCATAGGTCAATGCTGCACCATGCACATTCTGTCAATAGATGATTAATCAATTCTGTATATAATAGTAAATGAAACTTTCAAACTGAAAAATAGTAATTCTAAAAGTCTAATATTTATTTATTTATTTAATTTCAGTACACATATAATAAATTGTACGTGGTATGTACCTAGTCCACACATAAGTTCTGTTATAAATAAAAAAGCATTTTTTTATGAAGTAATGTAATATTATTAAAATTTATACCTACATATTTATTAAAGTCTCAGCAAAAAAAATAATAATATTCTCTAAAATTGACCATAATTTGAAGTCTAAAGGGTTGAGGTCTAGGCTAGATGAGGGCTAGTCTTCAGCTCTTATAAAGTCCGGAACGTTGGTTTCAAACCAGGTGTGGGTAATTCGTGTTTTGTGACCAGGTGCAGAGTCCTGCTGGGAAGTCCACAGTATATTAAAAAAAAAATTATTGCTGAGAGGTTTCACAACACGATCTAAGACTGCATCTTGATACACTTTGGCTGTAGTTTTCACTCCTTTTTCGCAAAAAATTTATTTTGTGACTCCTTGATAAGACATGCCCCACCAAACCATCACTGACGCAGGATGATGACTAAGTTTTAACTTTCCCAACACTTGAACAGCTCAAGTGTTCGGAAACTAAATTATAACGCACACTAAATTATAACTAACTACATTTTCTTGAAGCTATATTCACTTCATTACGTAAAAATGACTAGAAATTATTATGTTCATACTCCCGTCAAAACGGCTTTGAGCTTATATTGAGTAAATTATTGTTCTATTTTTTCTCTCACTCTAACATTCAGGTTATTTATTTTGTCTCGTGTATTGTCAATCTATATATTCTATAATATAAGATTTGTACCATAATATCTATTACATAATTCAATTTTTAGATCAGTATATCGATTTGAACAATAAAATCTTAACCCATTCCACACTAAGCAATACTATTTATGTCATCAAAAATTTAAGAATATGTTAATTTAGATATTTGGATGCATGATGTTGCCCTTCTTCTGTTCATCCAGCAATTGTATTATATTAACAAATCTTGTCGAATCAAACTATACAAAGTTTAAAATTTTTAAATTAGTATACTTTAAGATTTCTGAATACATTTTAAGTCAAGTACCAAAATTTTCCTTATCAGCATTTTTTGTATTTTTAAATATTTATAAATTTTGTACTAACAAAATATACATAATATAACAAAATATGGATAATTTTATATTTAATTAATAATACTATTAGCAACTATTAATCAATTGTATTAAAACCAATTTTTATTCTAGTTAGTATAACTCTTTCTCGTGGCATTACTCAGATAAATCAATATTAAAGTGTCCTATTTATGTGTTAAGTTAGAATTTTACCTATCCGTATAAGAACTAAATTTCATTCAAATCCATTCAGCCATTTCAGTGTCTTTGAGCAAAAAACACACAAATATCTTTACAAATTTACTTTTATAATATTAGTAGAATTATTTAACAAATTAAAACATATCTACTATTTTGACATATCTAGTTCATTCAGTTGTAATGTTGATCAATGTATGTAGCTCTTTCTTTATTAGTTTATCTTTAGCTCGAAATGCAGTAACAGAAATGGCAACATTGAGCTGATATGAAACGTCATTTCTGTGTCTATGTCTGTACGTCACTTTTCTCTTCCATGAATAAATAGAATTCTGCAAACACTTTGCTTTGTTATGTGTTTATTTGTAATAATAACACCAAATTGATTTTAATTTAAGTAGTTAGTGAGTAAAGAAAATGGCAGACTTTGATGCGATATATCCAGATGAAACCGAAAGTGAAGAAAATTTAGAAGAAACACATGTGACGTTAGTCCCTGATCCCATTGTCGTCCGAGGAGCTGGTAACATGACAGTGTAAGGTTTCATTCAAAATTATTGTTTATTAACCACAGCTGTTTTATATGCATTATGTTAAACGTAATGATTCACATAATAAATCCTTATAAAAGCGCAGTTTTAAGTTGTTCTAGAGTCTTTGTCGTCTACGTACTTTGACATTGAAAGAATTTTCTTCACCAATCTTTTTTTTTTATATTTAACTATTTAAAATACAATATTGTTATCCCTGTTTAAATAGTAATGTATAAAATATGCAAATAAAATAAAAATATTCTGTTGACTGTTAATTATGTATTGTTGTCTAATATTATTACTGTATGTATATTTTAAAATGCTTTTTATTATTATTTTGTAAAAAAAGTTACTTAACCTCTAATTATATAAACATTATACAAAAATTCTTAATAATCAAATTAATCACATTACTTAATAAATTATTTTCATTTAGACAATATATTACAATAAGTATGTTCTTGTATATTAACAAGTACATTTTGATACACACACTTGAACAATAAGATGTTTTAAAGACACATTAGATTGAAAATATTTACATTGTAGAAAAGTTTTTGCTCTATAAAAAAATCAACAAAATTAATAAATGAGATAAAACCCTATCATTTAGAAAATTATTGTGAAAATCTGTTTAGAATTGGTCATGAATTTCTATTTGTAATAATAGTAACCATGTAGAATTTCTATCTCATGTGTTAATTGCTTCTTAATTATGCTATTAAAATCTAATTATCAAGACAGTAAAAGTTCAAATGTCATGTAAATAAAAGGCTTTGTCACAATCTCATGTGTACATGGTCAACATTATGAGTAACAGTATTTGTTGATGTGACATTAATTGTTAACAAATATTAAGCTTTATCATTTATGGAATATAATTGACAATATTTAAATAATTTAGTAAACATAGATTTTTACATATATATCTTCAACTAATATTTAATATTATGTTTAATTTTATAGTCTATTAGGGCCCAGTTAGTGTTATCACTCCCATTGCGCTTTCTAAAATAGCTAATTTATATTGTTTTCAAAATTATTTTAAAACCCAAAAGAAAAAAATATTATTATTAAACTTTGGTAAATGTAGGGTTCTAATTTCCCTTTTTCAGATATGTAGTTTATAGTTTACTTGGTAATAAGTGCCAAATACCACATCAATGCTCCCACAAAAACACTGGCTGGCTAATAGTGACATGCCTCCTTAGGTTCTTACTAACATAATATGTTGTATTAGTATATATATATATATATATTTATTTATTTATTTAAGGAACACCAACAGCATATTGCATTATAACATATAGGTATAACAACATTAAATACAATACAATATTAATGCACATGCCTATTATAGGTATTCACAGCATTCACTTTAACGTAATTATACAGTGTAAGAAATTTAAGTAAATAACAGAAATAAACATGTAATCTAAGTTGTGAGCAAAATCAGAAAATAAGATTATGAGTAAATTAAATTAAAAAAAATATTAAAAAATATATATATTATGACAATTAGAGTTAATGTTCATAAGATTGTTGTACAAAGTGCTTCAGCAATTTATTCCTGTAGGAATTACATTATCGACACTATATCAATTTCTGGTAATTTGGCATTAATTTCATTGTATGACGCAATCCTGGCCAGAGGTTGATGCAGTCCTAGGTTTGTTCTGCAGCAAAAAATGTTCTAGTTATAGGGTGTCGAGGATAATTTACAAACTTAATTGGAGTGAACTCAGTAAATCTGCACAATGAATTTTATTATTGAGAATTTTATGAATAAACATTAAGTCTGCAATCATATTTAAGAGAGGTAATGTTAAAGTTCTCTGACTATAAGGTCTATGCGATATGTTACGGGTTATGTAAGCTAGGTGTCTAGTGAATGCTCGATATTTTCTATTCTTTGAGATGAAGAGCTGTAGACTGGATTCCAGGAAACAGAGGCAAACTCTTTAAACTGTTATAAAGAATTAATCTAGTTTATCTTTAAAGCCTTTTAAAGAACGTTTAAGAAAACCAAGCATTTGTGCTGCCCGTGTGACAATATTATTTATGTGTACATTAAATTTAAGTTTGCTATCAAGCAATACTCCTAGATCTCGAACTTCACTTTACTTTTTCACCGTGAATAACGTATTCTATAGGTTTAATTTTCTAAAACGAATGTACAAACATTTATTTGTGTTAAGTAAATATAATTCAAAGTACACCATTCCCCAACACCATTTAAGCTTTTTGTTCTGCATCATGTATGTTTTATTGTGCGATAGATTTTTAAATCATCGGCGAAATTTTTACTGTATTTTATATATGATGTAATATCATTAATAAATATCAAAAAGAGAACGGTAGTTCCTTGCGGTACGCCTGATTCTGCATAGTACTGTTTAGACTGAAATCCATTAATAACTACTTCCTGACTTTGATAGCTTAAACCAACTGATATATTCCAGATTTGTTTAGCAACACAACATGAAATCGTTGAAGTCTGTGTAAAACTTGTTCAGATCTAGAAATCACATGCTGAAACGTTACGTCCTTTATAAAAACCGTGTTGGAATTCTGTCAAATAATTTTTAATATGGGTGAATATGTGTGGATATAGAAGTGACTCGAATAATTTGGATAAACATGATAATATGGATATAGGTTAATTTTTAACATCCTCATGATTTTTAAATATTGGCAAAATTCTTGTTTTTTTCCATTCAGTAGGGAATACACCATCTTGTAAAGACCGATTGAAAATTATTATATGCATTATTTAATAAAAAGTTAATTGTCGGGGCCCGAGTAATGATTTTATTGCATAATAAATGCTTATATGATTATTTGTAATAGCGCATATTTAGTTTTTCAAGTTGTTCTAAATTCGCAATATCAGGACCTGTCTTTGTTGTTCATTTTCATTTTTGTGGGGAAGGTCGACTGACCTTTACATTTATCTTTAATGTATCGCCAGAATAATCTTGCAAATGTTAGCTTCTATTTTATTATTATTTTTTTGACAAATATTTATTTAACTATTTAAAATATCAATATGAAATTTATGATACCTGATCTCTGATTTATGAGTTTTATTAATCTTATTAAACCATACAGGAAATTTAGAAAATTTAGATGAACGTTTAGGTACATTTTTATCATAAAAATATTATAAAAAGCTGAAACCATTTGGTCAACATCTGTACAGTCATCTAAAATCTATTGTATTGTTTATCAAGTCTAATATAATAGAGGTTAGTTTGCTATATTTTGAAAATTTGGATGCTTTTTTTCATTATAATCAATAGGAAGAACTAATAAATTTGGGTTCTTTTATCTTAACTTATAAGTTATATAAAACTTTTATGTTTTCTGTGTTGCACAAAAAGATCAAGAATTTTGTTTTCATTATTAACAATATGATTAAACTGATACAGATTATTTAGTGTCATAAAATCAATCAAAAAGCCTTTCTTTCAAAATTTTTAGGAGTTGTATAATATATTATCATTTAATGTCCATTTTATAAAATTTAGTAAAGTCATATTAAACATTATCAGTACTATTTTACCATATCTACATTATCTAAGAATAGTTGTTGTTTTACTAGATTGGCTGGTGGAGGCAAATATACACAAAGCGAAACATTTACATTACGACCATTAACAGGAATTTCCACGTTGACCCATAAGAACTTCACTTTCCCAAATTATTCGATTTGATTTAAATTCACGTGATACAGCAATTAATAAACCACCACCATCCAATTTTTGCTACTCATTACACGATCTCTAACAAAATAACGAGAATCAAAATTCAGATCATATTAGGATTTCTGTAAACACTAATTTTGTAATTATTTATTAGATATTTTTAAGTACACTCTCAGTCTTCGTTCTTATTCCAGGTAATAAATATCGATTGTTAAGATTTCCAAAACTTTTGCTGTACTCAGTTACATAATTATTTTATAAATTTTAGGCTATCTTTGTTGCGAATGAGTATAAATTCTGAATTCATCTTTGCGTGTAAAGATAATTTCGAGTAAATTTGTATTTCATCTCCTTCGCTTTAATACGCGCTGCAGCATGAATTTATTTTCTACAAATGTTCACTCACATATATCGGAACTCGTGCATCCTCAAAACCTACATGGAAAAAATTTAATTTATCCTTTGAATTTTTCTATTAATTGAACGACTCTAAAACTTATCAAGACGAACGTAAAATTATAGTTCACATTATCTCTGTTCACCCTCGCTACAACGCGTTGTAATCAACATTAATGGGAGCACCAACGACTTTAACCAATTTTTCCACAAATTTTCTGTTTTTCGTTCAGGTATTCCATTTATTTCTATGTTAGACTCTCTCATACTTTGCTCAACTGAGGCGCGTGGATAAGTCTAACATTGCTGATTTGTTTTGAAGATCATTTATTACAGTGTTTTTTGTTCTAGTGTCGCTTTAATTTCCTCATATTTCTGGTTGTAGAAAGTTATAGAATACGAAGTTCATTAACCTATCATTAATCGATCTTAATTCTCCTGTTACCATTTCTTTGAGTATATCGATTGATTCTCAATGAAATTTCCATGACAAATGCAGTTCGATGGAGATTGCTGTGTTAATGTATTACCATCAAGTATGTCACGCTTTGAGCATATATTATTAGAACAAGATGCAGGCGTACCACCATAGTTTTCCATATCATCATGACGATAGTTGATTGTTTAATAGCATTTATAGTTTCTTTTGTTTGACATTGTGAACACTTCCAGTTTCGTTTTCGTTCTTCATTACATGCATAAAAGCTAGTGCTTATTTTGGCACATTCGATATCGACTTTATTATTACAAGCCATGCATTCTAAAAATTCTTTAATCAATTATGACAAATCGAACATTTATATTATTTGTTAGGTTAGTATATATCAATATGTATTAGGTAATAATATATACATTTAATCAATGCCAAAGAAAAAAAGACGATAAAGCGCTTTATATAAATATGTATAGATTGACGCAGTACGGCCGACCACCGGCCAGCAAGGCAGCGATAGTGAAAAGGTGAATAAACGGAGCGCTCGCGCGGTTAAATCACCACATCAAAAAATTTTTCTAAAATAAAATCAGTAACTACTCACGAACCACAGTTACTTATAATAAACCAATTACACAAATGAAATCCTTGAGATATTAGCTTTATGATAGTATAAAACTATATCACAAACACTGACTTTAAACCATTGTTACAATAAAAAATATACGGAGCAAAATAAAACACTGTTTACGGTACGCGTCAAGGTCGTAGTCGTATATATATATATATATATATATATATATATATATATATATATATACAATTCACTATTAATTTCTTTATTTATATGTATATATTATACATAATATGTATAATATAATAAGCACTCTCTTTCATCTCTAGAAATAAATCTCTGCCTATACTAACATGTAATAGCTGTGTGGTCCCGGCATAGAATATACCACCCCTTCCTTTCCGGTGGGTGTTGTAAGAGGCAACTAAAGGAGACAGAGGGATGGACGGCAGTGTGCTGTCCATCCCTCACCCTCTTAAAACATCTCCAAAGCCTAATTGTGGTTATCAATCTGCCGGCCAAGTGTGTCAACTACTGGTAAAACCTCCCAAGGGAGAAGCTTATGTACAGCAGTGGACAGATAATGGCTGACATGATAATGATAATATACTAAAATGTGTATCCAAAGTATATAATTATAATTGTTTTATTGTAATTTTATCCCTTATGATCTATGCAGAGTTTGTGTAATAGTATAGTGTTAAACAGGCTCAATTTTCTTTATTTTACAGTTTTGGTTTAAGTAACCGTTTCAACACAGAGTTCCCTTCGGGTTTGCAATCTCGTGTGGCTCCTGAAGAATATCAGGCAACAGTAGCTCGCATTAATAGTGTGCTGAAGAAGACACTTCCTGTAAATGTCAAATGGCTGTTCTGTGGCTGTGTATGTTGTTGCTGTACCCTAGGATGCTCTCTTTGGCCAGTAATATGTCTTAGTAAAAGGGTTAGTTGTAACTTCAATAATATTTAATATACCTAATGACTTAGTGCAAATAAAATAAAGAAAAAAATTTTCTGATAAAATGTACCATCAATTTTTTTTCAATTGATGGTACATTTTATTAGCTTTTTTTTTTATGCAACTTAGAATGGCAAATAAGCTGACAACCCACCTGATAGAAAGTGGTAATCGTTGCCTATAGATATGAGCAGTAACTTGGACAACAGAGTATACTGTTTCGCCTGTGATACCCCCTCCCCCCATGTGCTATCATTCCTGAAGACTCAGGTGTTATTTATCTCTGTACTCTGTAAATTCACTGCCATATCCCATGCTTCAAACCGAAACAGCCATGCTAACAACTGTTTCACAGTAGAAACATAAATGAGATAGAGGTGCCCACACAAATAACTTTTTTACAAAGTTTTCCTCTGGTAATAGGTTTTTACAGTCATCTATTTTGTTTCTGTTATTAGACAGTAGTTTTTATCAGGCTTTATTTCAGTATCAAGAGTGGAATATGGCAATAAAGTTTTCAGTCATCAAAAATTTACTGTTACCATAACTATCAATTACTATTTTCTATCTGGTGAACTGTTAATTTGTAAGCCATGCAAAGTCACAAAAATAATACCTAACAAAGGTATATAGGTGTAGATGTTAAGGATGTTATTCATTACAATTGAATAGTCCTAATACCCCACATAATCTGCTATTTAAGTGTTATATCCCAAATACAAAGGGTTGCTGTTTGAGTCATTGGAGAATTTATCATTTTTCTTTTATATCTATTTATTCATAACAAGAAATCCTCTGATGGCTTATGTGACTGGCTATTACATATGTTTAAACTATGTCAATAAATTTTTAGCCTGATAACAAGTTTAGCTTGAATTTTATTGTTGAATGTCCAATGTGACCCAGATGTCATTATGCAATAATGTACTTTTAATGTAAACTAATTGTTTTACATGAATTCACTTAAGCCAATCTCAACTCCCGTTTATATGTTTATACAAAACGATTATTTAATATTGAAAGATTTATTTTTAGAATCTTTCTGTTTGTTCTTATCTCCTAGGTACATTACTTAAATTTAATTGAAGAGATTTCAGTCTATACAGACTATATTGCGTAGAAATGTACATTTTTATAATAATTATTATTGCTGTATTTTCAGACACAACACTCACTGAATAAACTTCTAGAATGGGAGAACAGTCGACTATACAATAAACTTGGTCTCCGTTGGCGCCTCACAAAGCAGCACTGCGACTCTTCTTCTATGATGGAATATGTACTTCTTATAGAATTCATACCTAAAATACCAATATATAGGCCAGACTAAACCCGTCGACATCTGCCGTTACCATAGGTTTAGTATTTGTAAATATAAATATGGAAATTAATACTTGAAAATATAAAGATTGCATCATTGCAAATCAAGATCTTGGTTACGATGCTACGTACATACGAAGTGGTATTATGTAGGTGCAATACGCTTCTTGGCACGTTAACTACATTTTAAATATACAATTTTTTTTTTTATTAACCTGTTGTATGACAAATTATTGTTAAGAATAATTTACAAATATGGATTGTATATACATGTATATCATATTGTTTTATAATGTTGCTGTCATATTAAACTCTAACTTCATAATGCTAACCTTTTCTTTTATGTAATAAAATACATTTTTTGCAATGGAAGTTCTATTGAGAAATATAAAATGTACAACATGTAATGGTTGTACTAACTTATTTCGAAATGTATTCTAATTTGTAAATAAAAATATATATATAACGAATGTGTATTAAAATGGACAAATAAGTGGTACGTATTGTTATTTGCTTTTTGTGTATAAGTAGATGTTATATAAAAAATGAAAGCTTATCTATTAAGAATGAACATTATAAGCTTGTGTAAAACATCTATTAAATTTTACATTCTGATCTAAGAGATCTATAATCATTGAAGTTGTATTTTTAAATTAAATCTGTAATAGGATTTCAACTAAACGCATAAAATATTTGGTTAAAAATTAATTTTGTAAACTGCTATTTTCTTGTAGCAACCCAAAATAGTTGTATTACCATTTATAAAAATTTCGACCTGTCCACATTACTTCAGATATACATATATCTGATAGTTTATGTTAACATGTTATACTTAAATAATCACGGTTCCTAAAAAAATCTATTTTTTAAGATGCAAAAACATTAATGGATTGTAATGGAAATCATAAACGGTTTTTAAACTACTCCTTTGTAAATAAAAAGATACAGGTTCAGTCAAAATTGAGATAATCTCTGTTTGGGGATATTTTTTTTATTTGAAGAGCTATGACGAAATACTAAGTTATTTTACGTTTTCCAATATCTTTATGCATAAAACGGCTTTTATGTATCTTTATTTCGGAATACAAATGATATTGGGAGTGTTAGATTTAATGCCATTAATGATTTTAATTGCTCCTTGTTCCTTGAAAATAAAAATATATTTATTTATTATAAATGACCTAGATAATACGTACACAGGGTGGCTGGTAGACAGTTTAGCCATCTCATCTAATTAGTACATCAAAATATTACACTACAATCATCCTTAATCATTGCTATCCAACTACTAGTTTATATCACAGACTCGTGTCTATGCTATTATTTGGGTTCTGCACGATATTTTCATCTTCCATATTGCCCATGCTACACGTTTTTTTTTTTTACATTATTGGTGCCCTAAACAGTATATTTTGCATATTTAACATCATAATTATATTGTCTAACCAGTCGCCCTGTAAGTTGTAGTGAAACTGCTGCATTTTACATTGTATATATTTATCTGATATTTTGAGAAAATGTTAGTCTCAGTTTAACTGGACTATATAGTCAAGAAATATAAGAGGCGTTTTTAAGGTAATGTTAAACAATATTTTATAATTATTTTCTTTTTTACTATAGTAGGATGATCTAAAAATCTGAACATTAAAAACTTGCGTTCAGATTAATCTCCTCGAATGAAATAAAGTACCACACGACAAAATTCATATTACAAGATTAGATGTTCTATAAAAAAGCAGTATTCTTTCATTCTTATAGACATGAACATAAATAGCAAGTAATGAACTATGAAATATTTTTTATGCTATAATTAACGCTACAAGCTGATATTACTCTTGGCGTTATTCAATTTATTCCGATTGATAATATCGAATTCTTTCATGCAATCCAGTTAGACATACATTGTTGATGCTACAATATGACGCTATATAGTCGCCTCGTGATTAAATGCGAATTCGTTCGCTAAATTGACATAATTTTGCAAATACCAAATAAGTAACCAATAATCTGACTGCTTTGCTTCAAGCTTACTTGATTACTTGTACGAGTATGTTGCGTAAAGTGTATAATATTTATTTTACCTGTTAATTACATTGTCATGTTCTTAATCCAAATACTAATATTAATTGTATGATTTGTACCTGAATGTCGAAGTTTATAAACGTAGGAAGGGGGTTTGAACTAAACAAAGTTATAATAATTTGTATTAAGCGACTAAGCTGGAGCCATATTGACAGTTATATATGTATACATATGAAGCATTGATTCTTTAAAAACATGCTAGGGAAATGTTTGGGACTGTGTTATTAGATGATTAGTTAAATTAGAGGTATTCTACATTAGAAAAATTACAATCCCTCTTTTCCCTTTTCAACAAGTTGTACGTGATTAAATTTTTTATATAAAAACCCTTTTAGCACATATGATAACAATCTTTATTTTTGTATTAATTTGGAACTATGTGACTGAAATATAAAAACTACACAACTTTGAAATATATATTGCCTTCAACAAATTTATATTTTTGTTGTATGCAACAGTTGAAAAGCGAACAGGGTATCTCGACATTAAGTTGTAATATAAGGAATTGTAAATATTTTATGTACCTATAGATTATTTTGTTCAAATAATAAATCTCACTGTATGTGAAGAAACTATAGATGTTTTACTAGAAGGATTTTTTATTGATCAATTTTATTATAGGTTATATATATTAGGGTATATTTAGCTTTACTCGTCAAATAAGAACCTATTCTATATATAGATTACTATGCATTTTTATGTCGGGTACTATCCTTAATTTATGGTTTTACCGTTTTGGAATTTTTTTTATTTATTTATGAAAAATTAAATTTTGTGACCCACAAAAAACTTCAATTGTGACAAAACCAATTATATTAACTACTGAATCAATTTTAATAAAAATTTTATAGGCCAAAACTAGAAGTATATTCTTTCAAATAAAAAAGGAATTTTCCAAATTGGTTTACAACTATTGAAGTTATGAGGTAACAAACATAAAAAAATATATATTCAAATTAATAATTGAATGAAGTCGAAACAATCGTCTGAAACGATAAACATGGTGAGTTCGTTAATTTCTTGGTATATACATATGTATATAGATCACCATATCAGCAGTTAACTATCTACTGTGGAGGGAAAGGGATTATTAGTAATGGATAGGGTCTCATTTCCCCATAACTAGCAATACACCCTATCAGGTCGACCTCCGCGCAGTTCCCCCTGGAAACTATCGTGATCAATTCTAGTGTAATTCTTCACGATGAGCACGATGGAACCTGCTTTCATCCTCACCTATCACCCCACACTGGTGCCCCGCCAGCGTATACTGACAGGCGGGGTTGCCATTTCATTATCATCCATTGAAAAATTAACTATCTACTGTGAACATAGGCCTTCCCCATATAGTGCTATACCATACCTCAAGGTTTAAAATTATATAAAGAATAATTTGCATTAAGTAGATTTTATTTCAATACATAAATAAATTCGCCATATACACAAAATACTTAAGGCACTTAACATTATGGTCCCTCCAAAATACATACTATTTGACAAGAAATGACACAAAAAGTATTAACAAAAAATATACAAAATTATTATAATGCGTAAATAATATTTATAATAATTCGTCATTGATTTGGTTGATATGAACAATAGTGTCTATACAATAGCTAACGAAATAAATAGTAATTGGACAATTCGATAATAATTACCAATGGAATATTATTTATAGTGTATATCAATAAAGACAAAACATTTGATACTATACTTAGACTACCTACTAAAGTTCGATAAACCACACTTTGTTTTACAAAACATGGATACCTACTACTATTATTTGGTCGACAACAAAATGTACATAATAATTACAAAGCCTTAAAATTATCAGATCAAATTAAGTCTATATTACACAACCAATACAAACTAAAATATATTAATATTCTAATGGGACGTTAATTTTATACAAGCTCTATTTACATTCAGTCATTCAATAAGCTGTCTCTCAATGTACAAGTAATTTTATTACTGTGTAAAAATGTGTTAAAAAGACTTAGTATGCCCAAATACGTTCCAAATGCTAGTAAAGCTAATTAGGTTACTTACTTTATTATGGCAACAATAATAGTGCGAAGACGCGAACTAATAATTGTACAATACTAATGGCTTCGCAGATTGTCTGGTGTGAACATTAGGATATTAAGTCCTCAAAATAACTAGCCTGTATAAGATATCAATCCATTTAATTGCGTATTCAAGTTCTTAATACAATATAATATCTCGCAAATATCAAAGTAAATTTATAACATTATCTGCCATATCTCATGGAAGTATAAAATTTACAAAATTGTGGCTTATAGTATGATAGACATCAGTCGTCGTGCAGGGCACGTCATATCCTATAAAATTTTTGTCATTATTTCCATCCATAATTAACCACGTCTTAGTATCACAATCGAAACTTAATTTGATTTTACGTCACGAGGTATAATACTGGACTTAGCTCATTTGTACGTAATTAAAGGGAAATTGTCCTTTCATACCATGACATTCACCATAGTACCACTCTTCACTGAGTTTATGTGAGACATAGATGGTATCACCAGTTTTGAATCGAAGATCGCCGGGCTGGACTGGTTCGAAGTCGTATAACGCAGTGGCAATACCGATCTGAGGCGACGTCGGCAGTGCATCAGTGGGCAGTGGGACTATTATCTGTACGTAGTTTGATGGGAAAAGACCCTCGACGCCGCTTCGAAGGCGTCCATATAACCAATCGTTGTCCACTCTTCGTATCAATTGTATTCGTGTGTCTACCTGCAAAGGTAATTTTAGATGGTTAATGCATTGAAAGTAGAGATAAGTAATATATAGAAATATCCATATATTTTAGTTACAATATCTATAAGTATATTGGTCCAATAATAGATACATAAGATATCTATTATCCAATATATAATTCGAGTATCAAAATGACAAACGCCATCGGAATTAATAGATATCAGACCAATATGAGTGATACCGAAATAGGTTATAACCTTTTTTGCATCATTAATCTTCAGAGAAAGTCGATACATAGATATTACAGCGGTACTGATATTATCCATGCCTAATTGAATGCCACATGTAATGTAACTAGGAATATAAATGACTGACTTTTTAAACTTAATATGATATTTCATTATATATAGAGTACACTGGTATAACGACCCTAGTAAGGAGCCCTACTTGTCACAATATATGCTATGATGTCCATTGTGTTCTTCATGTTTATAAGAACCGATTACAATTTTCAATCCCCTAAACTAACAACAGAAATTTATAAATGAAATTGTTGAACATACTAAAAAGGCCGTATAAATTTAAATACTCTAATCACCAAATGACCTCAACTCCCGTTCAATGATCTCAAAGATGATAACATTGAAAGGGAGTGAAGGGCGCCAGTGGTGAGGGCAAACATGATAACATACAGGTATGCAACTTGTGGACTGTATATACTCAAAAACCCTACAGCGGCCTGCGTACCCAATATAACAACGCGTCCAGGTTGTTGATGAGAGCACGATTCTGCGGTGTATTGGAGATGACCGCAAAGTATAGTTTTGTTTGTTTATATCCGATACGGAAAAAGCGCATTTTAATCGTCAACAGCATCCTAAGTATGATATTAAAGGTTGGACTGTGTGCACGTTAATTGCTGCTGCGGAATTTCCAACAGAATTGTACGACGGCGATTTATGTAAATATTATATAAATAATATCCGTGTGGTCCTGGCATAGAATAGGCCACCCCTTACATTTCCGTGGATGTCAAAAGAGGCGACTAAGGGAGGGCGAGGGATGGGCAGCACCGTCCCTCTTAAAACACCTCTAAAGCCTAATTGCCGTGACAATCCGCCTGCTAAGCGTGGCAACTACTGGGAAAACCCTCCAAGGGGAGAATTATATTCAGCAGTTGACAGTTAAAGGTTAATATGATGATATATAATGTACGTATTTGTATAAATTTAGTAACATTAGCAACATTTACATTTGTTTATTATATACATAAGGCATTTTCAATAATAAAAAAGAGGCAAAAGTATGAATAAAAGTATTATTATATTACTGGAACTGGCAAAAATTAATTACGTCAGTCAATTAGGGTAGGTAGTTAAAAAATTTAATAGATTAGTCGTTAATGAACTTTGCTGATTCATGTGATTCCATTTCGAAATACATATTTGTTGAATTTATCGATAATGTACTTTAAAATTGTAAATTATTCCATTAAATTATAGCATCACCAGAGTGCCACACAGAAAGCGGTTATTAAAGGTATTTAACGAGTCATCTATAGATAAGGTCACCAGAGGTTAAATGATTCAGAAAAAAATAGTACATTAAATTAACGTCGAAAATATATTATTGTAAATTAAAGGCGTACACATATAGAATAAAAAGTGTTTTTATTTGAATAACTTGGACATACTTCGAAGCAATATTTTTATAATTCTGTTGCTGATTTCGAAATATTGACAATATGTCGAAATTTTCAAGATCTGTTTATCACCAATAGCATATATATTATATTAATAACATTTATTTATATCATCATCATATCAGCCATTAACTGTCCACTGCTGAACATAAGTGTGTTATAAGAAACGGTCCCGAGCCACCTACATCTACCGACTACCTACAATGCATTTGAGGTCGTTGCTCGTTGGGGGTTGTCCTACACTGGGTTTGTCTGTATGGAATCGCCACTCAAGAGTCTTTCTTCCCATCGGTTGTCGGTTCTCGGAGCTATGTGACCAGCCCATTGCCACTTCAGCTTTCTTATCCTTCGGGTTATATCGGTCGCTTTAGTTCTTCTGCGGAAATCTTCATTTCGGATTCTATGACGCAGTGAAACTTAGAGCATAGTCCTCTGCATAGCGCACCAAGTAATTTGAACCTTTTGCATACGAGCAAGTATTCAGGGCCATGTTTCGATTTTGTAAGTCATCACTGGCAATACGCACTGATTAGACTTTTGTTTACAAATTTTGAGACATTTTGAAAAGAAGTTAAAAATAATAAATTTATTTGTTAAAATATTGTACAACAAGATGACAGTAGTTAATAAATTCCCATCATATTCTGCTGTTTCCAGCGTACAAATATTTAAAAACATATAAATTATTATAATTAGCATGGGCGCATCACCATTTTCCAGTCAGTACCAATTTTGACTTATATAACTCTAGATTTAGTAAATATTTCAATAAATGTCAAAACTAAAATTTAATGAAATAGATCACAAAATAATAACTAACTTGATTATATTATTGATTCAAATATAATGAGAGAATGACAGCAGAAATGAATGTGAGAAGTAAACGTCGCTGTCGTGTCTGTACGTCCAGTCCGAAAGATAGAAAGAGGTGAAATATCTATGTACAATTAAATTAACCTACTTGGTGGAAAAGAAAGTAATGATGTTGACAAATGGCTATGAGATGAATATTTACAATATTTATTTACAGACGCCAAAATTTCAATAAATGTTAAAACTAAAATTTAATGAAATCGAAATAGGAAATGAAATGAAATAGGAATCGAACCCAGAACCTTATTTACGCCAATCAACATACCCATCACTGCATCACAAAAAAAATCGCTAATGTAGTCACAGAAATCTCGAAATAGAACAGATGCCTAAATACAGAACCCGTTCCCGAGTATAGCAAATAAAGTTTATGAAGCATCATTAATCATATTTTAGGACTAACAACGCCCCGACCTATCTACCACCAGTGTGGACAATATTAGTAAGCATAAATTGTTTTATGATACTCAACTACGTCAAAAACATTAATATATAATTTATCGATAAATAAGCTATTATCATGCGCATTATTATGGCAAAGTTTTTTTGTACTTTTTATTATATTTCACAACGAGTGAATGACACACTAGTAGTGGAAGTGTTAAAAAGATAACGAGTTCCTGTGATATTGCTCTACAATTCAATGGAAACATACATATTATTGTAACGAACATAATATCAGTAGAATGAATTCGCACAACACAGTGTGAATTAATGTAAATATCACTGATATTATTTCAATCTATTTCAAGTATTCATAATCAGCGACTCGATTGACAAGAACGCCCCTTTTAAATAGACACGTGAACGAGCGTCATCAGACAGATGTTTTGAAATTACGTATATATATATATATATACCTATATATATATACCTATATATATACCTATATATATATACCTATTACAGACACCAGCTCCTCACAGCAGAGTTCCATATTATTTTAATTTTATTGTATCCTATCTGTAAATTTAAGTTGTTTGTGAGGAGATATATATATATATATATATATATATATATATATATATATATATATATATATATATATATATATATATATATATATATATATATATATATATATATGAATATTAATTTTCCTTTTAGCGAGTCGACAAAAGAATAAAATCTTGAACTCATTGGCATGTGTCGGTGTTATCTTTTACCAAAAATATTGTTTAATTATACCATACGTAACCAGGTAACCGCCTAACCACGCTCTAATTACTGCCATTTTGTTTCCAACAGTTGCTATAATTTCACGCCTTTAAACGAATGATATAAATAAATGCATGTAATTTGCCCTAAGTAATTTCGAAAGAAACTAGACTTTGGCTAAATGTGAATTTGATCGAAGTTTCCTACATACAATTTACATAGAATTTAAAAAAAAATCGAATAATAAGCAATGCAAGTGACATTTTCGAAATGTTTTGGTGTAATATATTTAATAATTATTTTTATTATAAGTTTTAAGTAGTGACCTATCTACTGCTATCTAATTTCAATAGTGGAACCTATGAAATTTATAGTATTTCTAAAAATATAGTAAAGAATCCCGTGGGTAAGAATTTATATGAAACCAGCGTGGACCAATAAAAAAACTAATTAATATAATAAAATTGTAATTAGATCATATCTATAGATGAAAGATACTTAAATTGATATGGTGAGTCTTAATAAGATCCATAGAAGCCAAAACTTTTAATTTATTATAATTTTTGGAAATTATGGCTGTTTGTATGTTTGTTCCGGCATTACGCATAAACTACTGCACGAAATGGATGCGGTCACAGTTACGTTTCTTATTTGCCATCTCAATGGTGATGAAACTACGTATTTGCACATTTCACACCGCTAGGCCACCGTTTTTTCTTTGTAATAAATTCTCGCACTATTGAATTAAAAATGTAATAGGTATGTCTACTTGATTCTGCCGATTTTTCACCCAACATTTTAACTACGTTTATTCCACTTCAATTCCAATATCTTTCTTATATATCTACCCCTATGTCTTTATCCAAGAAACAAAAAAAAACTGAATTCTTCATAAAATTATTTTTTTTACACCATTGAGGTGGCAAACAGGCATACGGCCCACCTGATGGTAAGCGGTTACCGTAGTCTATGAATGCCTGTAATATCAGGGGCATTACGCGCAGGTTGCCGACCCTGAAAAAACCTCTTTACCCTTTATAGATCAGATAATTATTTTTACGCTTATCTTGTTTTCTTTTTTTATATTACTTTTTAATTTTATCTATTATAACAGTATCTTTAGAAAATAATGACAATAGATAAATATTTATCATCGACATATTTATTATTTCTATCACTTAAAACTTGTAATTACTTGGTCTATTCCTAATTTCTTTAGCAAAATTTATCTCAATCGCCAAAGAATTCCTAAGAAAAGTTAAATAAATATTACATTCTTATGGCTATAATCTCAAACAGGGCAGTCAGATATTTGAATTATTATTACAGAAGTTAAAATTATAGTCTTAATCTTTTGTCTTTGGGGTAGTTGTTTAAAACGTTCCAGGCATTTAGTTAATATTTGTAGCGGTTTCCCAGAAAAGAAAGTTTTCAATCAGCTTTTTTTTTTGTGCATACTTATTCTACCTTCAGGCCAAATCCATTGTATAAATATATACCTACTATAAAATTGTAATAAATAATTAAGAAATAACTTGCACTGTTATTATATAAATAAAAAGATATACGTTTATATAAAAAAAACGTTTTTATATATATATATATATATACGTTTATATAAAAAAAACGTTTATATATATATATATACGTTTATATATAAAAAAAAATATACGTTTGTTAAAGTAGTAAAGTAGCAACAAAGAAGACCCACAGTATCTATCCTTCCTTGCTAATCCTTTCTATTAATATACTTGTATGTTTATTTATAGAAAGTATTATTTGCATTTAACTTGGTTTTAACCATTTATTAATATTATTAGTAATAAGTAACATAAAACTACAAACATAAAAATATTACTTAACTAACTTAAAAATAAAATAAAACAAATCAGGCGGCGAGTTAAACTCACACTACTAACAATTTTTGTTATTTACTTGTAATTTCCTATTTTGAGACATAATTGTGGTTAAAAAAATGGAACAGATAACTTTTTTTTTTAAAGGTTTTTTGATAATTTCCTAAAAGTGATGTTAGTTAGAAGAATATTGTTGGGAGAGTTGTACACTAGCAGGTCAATTTTGAAAGTATCTATTTTGGACCCCATAGTTAAAAAATTCAAATATTTTTCAATAAAAATTCATTGCAATATATCATCTTCATAATTTTGGCCATTATCCGTTACTGCAATATATGCGAACCAATCATATGTAAAACTATTTTATATATTACTCAAATTTATAGTATTACTAATTTCTGAGATATAATGCTATGACAGATAGATGGACAGCCGGACAAAGTCACACCATAAGTGTTCTCTTGTATCTTTTTAGTATGGAATCCTAAATAAAAAGCATTAATTTGTTGGGCCCATTTCGCAAGAAACCCTTAAATGTTTGATCATAAAATTAAAATTTTCGGTTTATAAAAAAATAATCACATGACAATAGTGCAACACACATGTATGGAATTGATTTATTAAACTTTTTTCATGTAAGTGTTACAGACAGTTTTCCACTACACACATTTTTATCATTTATCATTATATTTTAGTTGAAATGAAAAATCCTTTTTAATATTATAAATATGAAAGTGACTTTATTACTTTTAGATTTATCGAGTCCTTATGGTGCCAAGAACTTAACGAATTATCTAATTATCATGAAATTTGGGTTGGAGCATGACAAAGGTTTTTATTCTAGTCACGCGAAGAAAGTCGCAAAGAAGGGTAAAAGATATTTAAATTTATAGAAGCAAATGGAGCCTGCACTTCCTTCGAATATTAAAAGAAAAAACTTTATCTCTTACTATATGGTACTTGGTAAGGATATTCAAGTAATTCGAAGCTGTGGCTTAAGTTTTAGTTCTAGTTTAAACTTGAATGTTAGTGAAATAATTAATGTGACAAAGACATTTACCGAAAAACACAAATCATCCGGATGATCCGTAATATAATCGAAAAGCGCCACAGCATGTGGTTCCTCGTTTTCTTCCCCGACGTCATCATCTGCTTCGAATTCTGACAAATTCTCAGGCCATTTCACTGGCAGATCCTCATCGACAACCTCAGGCGGTGGCGGTGGCGGCACACAGGGCATCGGCGGCGATGACTCCCGCTCCGTAGATCTCTCCACATCCCAGCCAATAGGCTTTGTATTCTGAAATAATGTAATAATACAATAGAAACTAACTTATGAGGAAATCACCTCTTCCTTTCCCGTGGAAAAGAAAGGGATGGTTTCCTGGTGATGGTGGCTTATTCTATGCCAGGACCACTATTTTATTTTTTTCTATTATTATTTTTTAGGTATTATGTAGAGAAGTTAAATAATTCATAAATGTTTATTTGACAATTATTTAACCTCCGTCTGTACCTGTTGAATAAAGATACGGTCAGTGTTATGTACAGAATCAATATAGGTACACAATTTGTGTGATGTGAGACAGTAAGCTGGTAGAACAACAAAATTCTGCCTCTGAAGCGGAGGCACGACAACGCTACATCAACGTCTACTCATGACCACGACCGGTTTAACCTAGTCAAAAAGTCGAGATAATTCAGGTAAATTTGCACAGTTTACCTAAATGATCGCTTTAATTCTCGTCTCTTACGAGGGTTACACTGAAAATTTTTAGAACTGGCTACTTGAAAGCAATATAATAAAAAAAAATGTAAAAATTTTGAAAATGGAACTCTTTACGAATAATACTGAGTATATAATTTATTCATTTGTCATTTGTTTTACGGTTTGGCGGCAAATTGAAAATAGTCTGTGTAACGTTATCATGAACTTAACACGAGAAAATTTTCGTGCAATGATTTTTTATGACTTTCGATGTCATGTAAGTCAACAAGAAAGTTATGATAGACTACAATTGACCTTTCACGATGAAGCCCCGTACAATGCCACTATTTACAACTGGTTTAATGAGTTTAAAGGTGGTCGCACTAATCTCACCGATGATGTGCGTGAGGGACGGCCTTTTACGGCGACGACTGAAGATAACATCAGTGTTGTGCGGCGTATGATAGGGACTGACAAAAGAGTGACCTATCAGCAGATCCGGGCAAGCTTAGGGATTGATATGAGTCAAGTGTACAAAATCCTCCATGAACATTTGGCGGTCAGGAAGCTTTGTGCCCGGTGAATACCTCATAATTTGACCGAGGCTCAAAAACTCCGTCGTGTTGATTGGTGAAGTGAAATGCATGAAAGATTTACCGGAGGTGACTCTGAATTCTGTGTTTGATATAGCTACGGGAGACGAAAGCTGGATTTACTGTTATGATCCCGAAACTAAAAGACAGCTCAGTGAGTGTTTCCTTCCAAGGAGTTGCCAACTAAAGTGATGGTGGAAAATGAAAAAGATGGTGGCCTCGTTCTTTGGAGAATCGAAAAACAGTTACTGCAGAGTGGTACAGTAACAATTGTTTGCCACGTGTTTTAGAAAAAGTGCGTGTGAAACGACCTCGCAGTAGGATCCTTCTTCACCACGACAATGCTTCGTCGCACACCGCCAGGCAAACGATCGCTTATTTGGCGACCACAGACGTAGAACTACTGGGTCATCCGCCTTATAGACCCGACTTCGCACCATGCGATTTTTATTTATTCCGAAAAATAAAAGAAAAACTTCGAGGAAAACGTTTTATGGACGCCGAGGAAGCTGTGGCTATGTTTCAGAAGGCCGTCGATGAGATCCCTAAGGACGAGTGGGCAAAGTGCTTTTCTCAGTGGTTCTATCGGATGCAGCGATGTATTGACGTAAATGGACACTATTTTGAAAAGATAAAATAAAGGTAAAAACTTGCTAATTTAATCAGTTTTTGATTTTCTAAGGACATTCAGTTTGACCCTCGTATAAACCATAAATCATGCAACGTGAAAATCTTAAAATTTATAAATAAGTCACAACTGCAGAAAATGGTTATGATACCCAAACATATAAAAATATTAACTTTAAACATTGTCTTCCACTAGAATGGAGTTATCAATTTTAATCTATTAATTTGATAATTTATTATCAAAAATAGATTTTTTTATATACGTATATAACAAATAAAAATTCAATTTTTGTTAATAAATTTCGTAAACAATAATTTTTGCAACTTGATGAAACACACAGAAATAAATAGGATACAGTAAATAAATTGAAAAAATAAGTGCGAATACACACTTCAATATTGATTTACATGTCATAGGCAAAAAGCAATTTGGTTATCCTATGCTTATTACTAATTGTACCAATGAAAAAAAAATAGATTTTCTGAACAATTAGTACTTAATCGTCGTGTTATTACGAAAAGATCTTTAATCGCGGTAAATCTGGCAGCCAGCATTGTAGATAAGTTTTGTTTTTTTTTTCTTATTGTTTTTGTAGTAACACATTTAATAAATCTTGACAGCCGTTAACTCCGCTATCTTTTTTTCATAAGCTACTATTACTCACTGGGTGTATATAAAGAGCTGAGATAATTCTGGAAATTGCGCCATTTTGAGTAATTGGCACCAATTAAAATTTTACTATGCTTAAATGCAAATTGGTTTCAAGGCTCATTACAGTAATTTTACCTTCTGGTACCTACCAATAATAATAATACATAAATCTGCAACATAAAACTTTGAATAATAATTGGCAATGTTTTTGGAATATCAGTACAAAAAATTTACTATAAAACTTAGTAAATTTTCCTTGTACATTTAAATAATATTAACACACTCATATTACAGTTTTCATTAAAACTATCTCCTAAATGATAAGCTTAACCGATATGAATAAAAATTATACTTATATGTAGGTATACTTATATATGTTAAGAGTTTATAGATGTAATGTTTATTTAATTTTATAGTCCAATTAATGAGTCTGTTACATTCAATTATATACATACATATTTATTTAACCTAAAGTACTTCTGATATCGATTCAAAGACTTGATTCAGTAACAAAGATCGCTTTCTAACATCAGATACCTCATTAGATCCAAAGTATTTTTACTGGATTGGATAAAGCAATTTAAAGCAAACATCTTACTTGAAACCCACTCAAGACTGCTTACTTGAAATCAAAATTTTTCAAACAAAATACGAGGTCTGTCCGGAAAGTTCGTATAAAAGTGTTCTGGAATGCGAGAAAGAGGAGTGGGGAGGCCAGGTAAGCGCAGGACCCCTTCCTTATGTCCCTAACAATGCTTCAGTTCTGGTCTGACCGCCGTGCGGTGCATGGCTTGTCACGCCATCTGTGAAGTTACCTCTTAACGAAACCCCGTCGGCATGGAGCCCGCTTCCGTTGAAGAGCAGCGCGTCGTAATCAAGTTTCTCTCGAAACTCGGCAAGAATGGCCGTGAAATTTTTGCCGATGTAATTCGATAAGACATCCGGGGAACCACGAACAAAAAAATCAAGAAAATCCCGCTCAAATGTCAAGACAATGTTGATTGTTTTTTTCGATGTTCGGGGGATTGTCCATCAAGAATTCGTCTGTCTCCAGGCCAGACAGTTGATGGAAAATTCTACGTCGATGTGCTCAGACGCCTCAAAGCTCGTGTGGCACGAGTTCGTCCAGAATTGGCGCGAGAGGGGCGTTGGATTCTTCACCACGACAATGCCCCTGCCCACACCTCTCTTGTTGTCCGTGAGTTTTTGAGTAAAAATTCCATTACGGTGACCGAACACCCCCCCTATTCGCCGGATTTGGCCCCGTGTGACTTCTTCTTGTTCCCAAAAACCAAATTGGTACTTCGGGGGCGGCATTTGGGGGACATAAATGAGATAAAAAAAGCTACGACGGGGCAGCTGAGAAACCTACAACCAGAGGACTTTCAAGGAGCCTTCTCACAGTGGAAACGGCGTTGGCACAAGTGCATTATGTCACAGGGGGAGTACTTTGAAGGGGATAAAATTGATTTACCTGAATAATTGTAAAATAAAATTTTTAAAAAACTTTTATACGTACTTTCCGGACAAACCTCGTACATCCAGAACTTTCATTCTATGATCAGATTTCAAACATTTTCTCAAGATACATTTTTATAATGCCGTGCCATGTGTTTCCCGACATAGAATGGGTCAACACTTCCTTTCCCGTGGTTGTCGTAAGAGACGACTAAGGGAGGGCGAGAGATGGGTAGCAATGTTCCTCTTAAGACATCTCTAAAAGCCTAACTGCGGTTGCCAACCCGCCTGCCAAGCATGGCAACTACTAACAAAACCCCTCAAGGGGGAGGCCTATGTTCAGCAGTGGACAGTTAACGGCTGATATGACGGTAATGATATACTAATATGAGTATCCAAGAAGTATATAAAAAAAATCCACTTATGGGGAAGGATTATGTTTAGCAGTGGACAGTTAACAGCTGAAATAATAATAATATTGTTATAAATGAGGAAAAGTTGTAAAAGTATGTACTTACAAAATTATCTCCAAAGCCAGTGTTAATTTTTTGTATTGGTGTTGTTGTATTAATACTCATAGGAGCCACAGGGAAACTGGATCCAAAAGTATTTTTCAATAATGTTGAGTTATCAGGAGGTTTAGGTCTTGCTGGTTTAGCTCTGATTATTGTTGGCCCCTTTGTGGTTTTCAGGGGACAAGGCTGACTATGATCGACACTTAATACATTATATAGATCTGTACTTAAAACAGGTTTCTTCATTACTGGAGGTTTAGTTGAAGCTGGTAGTGGAGAGAATGGGTCTATGGTACTAAAGTCATCCAGTGTATCATCTTTAACAACAGTTTTTCTCGAGTGCAATATCAGGTCGAAATCATCCTCAAAACCACTTTCAGCCTGTGAGGCATTACCACCATTATTGACATTCTGATGGTTAGTTGACGTAGTAGCATCTGACCCAAAGCTGTCTACGCTGAGACCATCACTGCTAGACCTAGTTGTAAATGTAGGGGAACTAGGTGGTGAAGATAAGTCTATCAATGCTCCAGTTTGAACATTCTTAGGTTCACATTTAGGAAACATCCTGTGAGTTTCAATCTCACTTGTGATATCAGAAAACAGCACATCCTGTGGATTTGAATTTCCACTCGGATTATTCACAACTCCATTTTTCTTCCTTGACATTAATGATGTAAGAACTGTTGGTCTCCTAATAAAGTGTGATGGTTTTGAGGGAACATCAGGTTGCTTAAAATTTATTTTGGGTGGTGGAGGGCGCGGTGGTGGTTTTTTCTTCTGTGCAAACTGGGGTGATGGTTCAAATACATCAGCACCAAAAGGATCATCGTTCCAATTGGTGACTGGGGAATAGCGATTGACTGCTCCTGTTGGTACCGCTGGGGCGGGCCGAGAAGGACCCTTCATACCTAGTACAAAAATATACAGATTTATATATATTGACTAAGATTGACATTAACTTAAAAGAGGCAAGGGGGTAAAGGGTCTTAAGGGCGGTATTAATATTATTTTATACTTAGCAAAATTTGTAAATAATTTGGCATAACTTTTTATATAAATGATGTAATGTAATAAAAAATTTGATTTTTGTATAAATGATAATTGCATATTATTATTATTATTTACCTCAATTTTATTTTAGAATGAATAAACTTGATAAAAAGACATGCAAGATAAATACATTAATTAAATAGGGCAGCACACAGGCAGCCTGCTACCCTGTCTAGAGACCAGTTTCCCACAACTGTTTAGTTACATGCTATTGTTGCTAATTGAATTGTAATATGGTTGTGGTGGGAAAATAAAAATTATTATTACTATTAACTGTTTCAAATATAATAAACTGGCTTAGACTTTATTAATCTGATTATATCTGGTAAATATAATAAATAATTATGTTACAGTCTTAGTGGTTTAATAACTATTATACATAAATAATGATCATTATATATAATCACAAAATTGTCTAGATAATGTAAAATTAAATTATCATTTTCATCATCATCATATCAGTCATTATTTGTCCAATATATGGATTATTTATAATAGAACGTCAAAGTTAGTTTTATATATATATATATATATAAGTTACTTATTTAATATATTTTTAATTATTATCTATGATTGTCATAAGTAATTAATGTGAAATTATTATCTCGGACAATTTTTATTTATAATATTTTGAAAATTTTTAATAAAAATTTTAATTCTTACTATTTAAAATAACAGCTTATTATTGGTACACACATAGTTATATTTAAAGCAAATTGAAATAAAACATCATAGTCTTAAGTATAAGTTAAAGTTAGTTTTATTACTTTAGCCAAGTCTTCCAAGATATTATATAAAATATCTAGTTAATGTGATTAATTATGTGTTAATTATCACTTTGTCTAAATAGCATAGACATTATATGTAGTGGTTGAATAGTATATATAATATCTGGCATTATTACTTTTTCTGTAACAATTATACATAAATTTAAAAAATACAAGCATGTCAATTGACACATTTTTAAATTGATTACAGCAAATTTTATAATAGTTTTTAAAAGCGCAAATAACTTACTTTTAATATATCAGTACAATAATAAAAAAAATATAAGATTTATAATTATACAAAAATGCTTCCTAAACACTTCCACAAAATCTATTATCACTATTTAGCACTAATTTACAGTAACGACGCAACATCACATTCAACTACTACATTACAAGTCAAGGCTCAATGACATGTTCGCGAACTCTATAAGTGACTAATTTCAATTGTCTATGAGGTGCCTACTAAGACCCTAACACTGATATGATATTATTTTGTTATCAATATCCACCCACTGAAATAATTGTTTATTGACCACGGTCTGCGTAGAACGTTACATCGATTGGTGCCAGGCACGGAATAACACGGCCTTGGTAAAGTTCATACTGGATATTGAACGTCGCATTCGAAACAAAATAGGTAGGTAGTTCGTATGATAATATCTAATCATAAACTTAATTTATATCTAACTATAATGTGGCACATATTATTGCTGTATGTTTTTATTAAGTTTTACATTAACAACAAAGAGAATCAGCGAAATTACCGTACCATGTTTGAATAAATCCATCAGCTGTCACTGTTATTATCACTTTTTAAATAATACACTTGTACACCACAAACTAGGTTCTTGCAACGTAACGTTATTTCTTCACAGTAAATAAAATTTTAACTTATAATGTTTTAAATTGCCTTTCAATCAGTGGATTCGTGTTTTTTTGAAGTTTTTCTAAATCTATTATAACTACATATTTTTATTCCCTATGTAGAGTAGATATAGTATACCATAGATTTAACCAGATCAGCTGTCTATACCAGTGATGCCAGATAAAATATAACGGAATTTGTCAAAAACTGAACCTCAAGTAGCAAAAGTTACCTCAATTTTTTTGCAATATATCTTGAAATCGCCTAATAAATCGTTAGTGATTAACCCCCATAACCCCATAATGTGCCTTTGAATAATAATAAAACCGACTAAATGCAAATGAAACTCAAACGCCGATAGTTCTATATATAGATATTAAATAAAATAACCCCTATTATTTATTTTATACGAAATAGACACCTAATAGTTATTATTACTAATATTGTAATTAGTATTTTCTTATTTCGTAAATTTTCAAATTTGTGGTTGTGAAACTAAATTTGATTTTAAGGTTTTTGATAATTTCTCAAAAAATTTAAGTAGTCACAAAAATTTTTTTACCATATTATTCACATATACCTTTATAAACTATTTATTTATTTATTTATTTAAGGACAACCAACAAAGCATACATTTATATCTACTTAAAAAATTCATGATAATATGGTTACATTATAAAATGCTGCCTCAATTAAAGGCCGCCACGACATGCGTATTCATAATATATAATTATTATTAAGAAAATTTATAAAAACTACAATACTAGTTATATAATAAATAGACTACAGTAATATTTTAAATTTCAAATTTATATTAAATATTAAATAACTTAAATATAACTTAATATAAATATATTAAATAACTATAGTTATTTCAAAGTTTTAACGATATTAACTTTGGAAATCAAGATGGGAAATAGCTTTTTTAAATATTTTGGGTCTAAAGTCAAACTACTTATAAAAATAACTAAATTGAAAAATTTGTTTAAAAATGTACAAATGAAGTAATTCATAAGGTATTCCAGGTGGACTAGTAGGATTATTTAGAAAATTTGGCACAAATATAAAATAAAATATGTAAATGCAACGTACAAAGACTTTGGAACGTTCTTAGATAATTTACCTAGGTACCTTATAATTTAAGGTGAAAAAAGTAAAAAAATTAAAGAAAAGTAAAGAAATTTTGAAATATTTTGCTACATTTATGCCTATTTTTTAATATCTTACTGCTAATATTGACGATTAATATAAAAGAAAACATCTTCATACATGACTTATTAAAAAATTTAGAACATTTGGTTTATGAACATTCTGAAGAATCCTGAAAACAAAAAGGCAACTTTACGCTGTTTAATTTTTTAAAGAAATTAAAATTATCTGCTACAGATAATATAATACTATCTTTCTACTGAAGATCAGGCTGTATGACTTAGTTCCTTTGCCTTGGACATTGACATTTTAAAGCATTTTCTTCAATAAATTTCTATATAATACATATTCTTTATCTGTATTCTCTGCATTCTTATCACTATTTATTTCTATTGTATATTCATAGTTATATAAATTTAAAATAATTATATTTTTAATTAGTAATAGAAAATCACAATTCATGTGGTACGATAATAAAATTGCTTGCAATTTCAATTTGACAAGTTCAAAAATTTCTAGTACAAAATTCTAAAAATCGCTAGTCCCGGTAAATTCTATAAGATTCTGTAATTTAATAGGGCTGCAATCACTCTGTTATTATTTGAATAAGCATTCACAGTAGTCAGTATTGTTATAACATAATTATTAAATCATGATTAGATAAACGTTTTAAAATTATAATGACTACACTACTTTTACATTTACCTCCAGAAGTATTAGCTAATATTTTTAGAAGGCTGACCACCTCAGAGCTTCTCAATGTTATGCTATCTTGTAAGTTTTTGAGAAATTTCATTATAAATGATAATGCAATCTGGAGATCAGCTGGTCAAAAAAAATTATTTGTATACTACAGTATTGAGAACAGGTTAGAAACAAATTTAAGTATTTGTTTCATATATGCCATATTCTTTCGAGTAATATGTACTTATTTATGAATTATTAATTTCAGTAACCCTATCACATTGTCCTGGTATGAACGATCTAGAATTTCATACAATTGGCGTTATGGTGTCTATAAAGCACAGGTTAATATTTTTAACTTTATTTTTTAATGGCTATTTAAAATCATTGTGTGCATACCGTAGTGTGTACATATTAATTATCATTATTTCAGTTATTCAATACCTAGCACTGTTTAATACCAAGATGTAAATAGTTTCCCCATACCCTTTTACAGGTTCTTATTCGACATTATACAAACTATATGCCCTGGTTATTATTTCACAATTCAGAAGCTCTGGTGATGTCAGTAGGTTCAGCACTGCAGTGCTATACTACAAACAAAAAAGGATTACCATGTTGTAAGGTAGCCTGTTGGAAATTACAAGTTCCAAAGATCAAGAGATCTGGTGTTCGTACAAATGACATATCAAGATTTGTTTTAAGAAATAATCTTATTGTTTGTGGAAATAGGTATGTGTACAGTGTGTTAAAGAATTTCTTACAATTAAATTGCTTTTGTGTGTATAAATATATCTATTGTGAATAGAATGAGAGAAGCATGCATTTAAAAGAAAATAGTCAAAACAAGAATTTAATAATGCAATAAGTAGGTAATTTGTTTGCTGGCTTTTACTGACCCTCCCCTCCCCCTCTTATGGGGGTGGTATATGTTTAATAGTTAATGGCTGATATGATATGAAGTTGGTGACTGTAAATATTTTTTTATATGTTATGCAATGTTGAAATAAGTAATAAAAAACATCAGCTTTTGTGCTGTTATAACCTATATAAATAAGTGAGCAATCAGGCTCATTTGATGGAGAATAGTAACCATTGTTTCTAAACATGAACAGTCCCATGGACATCATAGAATAATTTGCATCATCGTGATCCATTAATAATTTCTTAAAATAATGTTCACAGAGATGGCTGTATGGCAGTGTATGAAGTAAATAACATCAAACAAAAACCACAATTAATGTGTCACATTCGAGATTGCCATGAAAATGGTGAGGTAGAGTTGACAACTGTGGAATTATTCAATAAAAATGAACCATTCCATATTATAGCTACTGGTTCTAATTACAGCTCTGTGTTGCGACTGTGGAGCTTGAGAAAGCATGAAACCCATGAACCTACACCTGATGTCATATATAATAATCATGATATTAGTAAGTTACTTTCTCTTTGCATGCCAAGCTGGCTGAATGTCATGGTTACACAAAATGTATAATGTTACCTAAACTTACCACATTCATCGCAATAAATTTCATTTCAATTTCAATTTATATATATAGGTATTGTTAACTATATATAAAAATATGTGTTAAATTTTTATCATCAACATAACTGTGTTTCATAAACTATACCAGCTATATTTTTTGGTTATTTATTTACTTTAATAATCTATCCATACAGTAAAGTTCCCTTATGGGAAAGGCCTCAATGTAATGTTCAGCAGTGGACATTTAATAGAATAACTTATTAATAAAGTATAATTAAAAAATTTCATGTTAATTGATATCATACAAGCTGATGTTCTATATATATATATATATATATATATATATATATATATATATATATATATATATATATATATATATATATATATATATATATATATAATATATATATATATATATATATATATATATATATATATATATATATATATATATATATATATATATATATATATATATATATATATATATATATATATCTACATATATCTTATCAGTTATCTAGTAGGTACACTACACACTTTAAACAATTAAGCTTAAATTCTGCTTAATTTTACGCTACTTAATTCCATTATGACCCATTAAAAAAAAAAAAGATTAATCTTTATGTCTAAGAAACTAAAAGTGTACAACATAATATCATTAATTAATTAAGCCCGCAATTGTCTTTCTCCACGTCAATACATGTATACCAAGTCATAATGATTCATGAATCTGTTAAGGCATTCAGATGTACCAAACAAACAATTACTCTTTCAGACTTATAATGTTAGGATTTGATGATAAGGCATTAATTTTTGCTATGATTAATCCTAATTGTAGCATTTCTACTTATTTAATTACAATAACACCACAGTTTACTTTAAACTAATTGTATACTTATTGTTCTTATCTTAGATAATTATATCCAGGTGTAACAGACATCACTCTATCAAACAATGTGGGAATAAGGTGCATGCACCTAAACCAATTAGGAAATAAACTTGCAATTGGACTTAATGGAAATGATAGTCCTGTTTTACTTGATGCTCGATCGTAAGTATATTATTTAATAATAGTATCTTAACAGTATATTTATAAAGAAAGAATTTCAAAAGAAATCTTATTTCAAATTAACAACTAAAAAAAGATGTACCAAAACTATGTAGAAAACAAAGTAACACACTTTTAACATCAATTAAATATTTTACGGTATTTATAAGTTTAGTTGAATAGTTTAGAAATAAATGAATAAGATCTCATGTTTTCTCTGTCTTGTATCAATAAAATGTACTTAAGATTTAGTACTATTTTCCCCCTTAGGAATATTATTCCAGGATTAATTTAAAATAATTATCATGTCAATTAAAATATATACTTATTTGCTATTATTCCAGGTGTAAAGTACTTATGACTCCACATGAAAAGACAGATTTAAAACAAGTTGTGAGAGACATTCAATGGCACGATCCAAATACTTTTGTTTATGTAACACATTCGGGAAAGTTGCGCTTAATTGATATTCGGAGTCATGATAAGGTTAGTAATATGTAAATATTCTATTAATATAATAAATGCGAAAGTTTGTAACGATAGATAAATGAATACATATTTGTTAAACAACAACAAACAAATATTTGTTAAACAAACAGTAACAAGTTTTTGCCATAAAACTACTGAATGGATTTAATTGAAAACTGTTGACAGATGTCTGACTATTGGGGATTATAAATTCGAACATACATATTTATTTTTATTTTTATGAATAATAAAAATATTGTATGATAAAAAACTATTTAAAATTGATTACAATTTTTATGTTGAAATTTTGGCTATTCTAATTGTTAAAAGCTGTCTATTTTTTTTTTCAGGTTTATGATGCAATGGATCCTTTCCTGTCTTCTCTATACTGTGTAAAATCTGATGGAGATCGCTCTATAATTGTAGGCTCATCTGAATATGCCCGCTGTGTACTATTTGATACACGTAAAAATGAATCACATGTGCAAGTAAGTTTTGTTTATTAAATCTTGTTATTTGAAGTAATATCATGATGTGTACTACCATTAAGTGTCAATAAACTCGCACAATATTCCGCTTGTCAACTACTTTAGTTATATATTTTTAATTTATAAAGTAAATTGAAGAACTTTATGGTGTAGCAATTTAACACATCACCTCACCTTTCAATGGTTTGATCGCTACTCAATACTAACATTTGAATTCATATAGTTTTATATTGGTCTAGTTATTTTCTATGTATAATATGTATTTATAGAAAAAGTATATATCTTCTTCAGTTATTCAGTTATTTATAGTACAAACTATGCTCAGTTTGGGGCTAGATGGTGCGTTGTAATTACGTGTATTACTCACATCACACTTAATTTTATCGCTGTTGGGTTCTAGTTAATATGAATGTATTTTATGATTATATTTATTTATTTTTAAACGGCAGTACACCTACAATTGTTCTAGTGTTAAAGATGCTTATGAGCGGTAGTCACCATCACGTAATTTATATGCACGTTTGCCTCCTATTTTATAAAGAAAAAAAAAATATTTCGTTTCAGATATATTTTACTCAGAAACAAACATCGCCAGTATATAGTTTAGACTTCGATTCTACTAAACTAATCGCCGCAGCTGACCGTAGTTTAGCTGTTCTAGATTTTGACGTCAATCCAGCGAATGTAGAACGACGTGATTATTCATATGTTTTTAGATAATATACAATTTTCAATACTTATACAATACATTGATTATATAATAATGTCAGCTTGTTTGCCATTCTTAGTTTCATAAAAAAACCGTGCGAAAAAATTTGAAAAAGCTTGACATAGACTAATGACATGAAACTAATGAATAAGTCTGATAAATGATTAATTACTTAAGTTAGGTTTCGGATGCAAGTGCAATGAAGAGAAATCCAAAAATATAAAAATTAATAAAAGTGTTATTTTGTCACACGTCCATTTTTATTTTGATCTTGTTCTATACCTACGAGTAAAAGTAAGGTAAGGGTTTTATGATATAATAGCTAAAAATTTAGGCAAGCACAATACAAAGGTACAGGTAGACATGCTCATAAAATATCATACCTATGAGCATGCTTAAGATTGGCATGTTCTTAAAACTCTGTTTAGCATGCTACTCTGAATATACTGTCAGCATGTCAATAACAAGCTGACAGTTGACAAGTTCACAAATATATTTAGTTACACAGTTATTACATAATACGTAGATATTAAATAAAATTTATTACATGTGTACTGAAGTTAAATAAATAATTATTAATTTTTAAAATTTCTAATTGTTAGATAAAATTGAAAGTTTCGATTTACTATCGTATACAGAATCGTTTAATCATCTAACGATAGAATGAGCATGGTGCAGCATTGATATATGCTAACATTCACATTTTACGCACAAGTTTGTTTAATAACATTTTCGTCTCGTTTTTTTAATCGCATTACCAGTCTGTTAGTACGTAATACGATATCCTGGGGGGAAAGGGATTATTAGTAATGGAGACTGAGAATCCCATTGCTAGCAATATACCCAACCAGGTCGACCTCCTCGCGGTTCCCCCTGGAAACTATCATGGTTAATTCCCGATGAATTCATCATGATGGGCTAACTGGCCTGTTCTCATTCTCATCTATCACCCTTCACTGGTGCTCCGCCAGCGTATCCCGTTAGCGCAGGCGGGGTTACCATACCATTTTCACCCATCAAAAAAAAAATACGATATCCTAAGTGTATGTGTCACACTAACCTATACGGGTTTCGGTTCCTTTCTGCCTATCTTGCAAAAAAATGAAGTGAAGATAAAAAAGAAGCAGCACACACACACACACACACACACAGTCAGACACTCTATATATACAGACAGAGAGAGAGAGAGACCGTTACCATCTAGAGCCGTAAAATAGGTTAATAAAAAAAATTGGTCGTCAGCTGACATACAAAGAATTTGACATCTCTATATTCTTAACCTCAAAAAAATAACATTCTTTTTTTTTTTCAACAAATTGTTATGGAGTGAAATAAAAAATAGTAATAAATCTCCGTTTTTTTCCATACATCAGAATTATAGACAATGCTTAGAAATATATTATTCAATATATTCAAGTCCGTTAATAAAGTAAACAGAAGAACAGTGGCAAATAATGCCCTAAAATTTATTCCGGTTACTATTGGATTAGCAAATTTAACTCACTGTGAAGGAAAACAAAAAAAGGAAGTGGATATAACATGGAAAGATGATAATTTAGAACATGAATTTTTAATCCGCCAAGCCACTACAGTGAACGTTAATGCTGCCACACAACTACTTACCGTGACATTAGTCGCTATATATGACACAAGTGAAAGGTAATTCACTTATACAATACTGATTATATTATGAAGTTTTTAGCATTAAATTGAGAAAATTCTAAAGAAAAAACTACTGTGACATCAGCTATTACATGTGTACAAGTTGACTTTTGTGTTGTAATGAAATTTATATAGAAAATATCTAAGCTTTCCATCTGTTTTTATTTCTGTTGAGCTATCATAGTTTTATGGATGATAATAGAATGGTTACTCCTCCTGCACTAATGGTATATGCTGGTGGGGCACCAATAATAGATAATAGGTGAGAATGAAACAGGTCAGTTGGCCCATCATAATAAAGAATTAACCAAGATGGTTTCTAGGAGAACCACATGGAGGAAAAGGGCAAGTTAGTTAACTCATCATAATGAATATACCTTTCAGCACAATGGTTGCTAAGGGGAACATAATTATATCGAAGTCAACTAATAGAGTATATTGATAGCAATGGGACTGATAGTCTGAATTACTAACAATCCTTTCCCTCCTTTAAATGATAGTGTAACCTGTATAAATCGGCTGCATGTTTTACAAGAAATAAGCAGAAATAGCAACACTGTTTTGTATTATTTAATGTTTTTGCCTATTTTATATAATTTTAAAAAATTTTGATTGAAAATAATTATATATAATATCATATTTTTAAGGTTAAGAGAAGCGTTAACAAAAGAAATATGTTTAGTAAAACAAGCTTTAGAATGGGGTGAAGGCACTCCTCCACAACACTGGGATGAATTGGTTGCAGTGAGAGGTTCCCTTCGTGATCTCAAGCATAACCTCCGTATGCTATTTAGTAAGTTTTCCATTCAGCCAGAATGTAATAGGTACTAATTATTTAAAAAATATCTGTCCATTATAGTGAAATTTGTAATTCTTTTGAAAAGCAACATTCTGTTAGGGTCATAAAGCCTATGTATCAATGTTTTGAATTTCCAATAGTTATATATCATAAAAAAAAAATTAAAGGTGTATAAGAAGTAGATAAATATAAAATGAATAGCTTATAAGGTGATTACCTTATAAGTTATTAATTTATATTGTGAAATAAATATTTACTAATATAAATTATAGGTTATATGGATTATGCTGAAAAACTGGCAACAGTTGCAGCTGAAATATCTTATTTATCTGGAAACATTGTTGCATCAGATGCTATATGTGAAAGAATAGATCATGCATGCAGGTATGTATAAAGAAAACAATGTCAATGGAAAAACATTTAATAGTCTTATTACGTTTTTATATCTAATAATTTTTACAATTTCCCTTAGTATATAGTTTCAATGAACTTCGGGATAAAGTTATGTTTTATAAAATAATTAGTTGTATCATTATTTGATACAACATTACCTTAATGAAAAGTCAACAAATAGTCACCTCTTCTGACATTTTAACATTGTAATAAAGATATAACAAAAATGTTAGAAAATAAACATATTAATAAACAATACATAATAATATGTATAATTTATATACAAGTAATTGGCAGTATTATGTAACCTGTTCTCAGGACTTGCAATGCTCAGAAGCAGTTGACACATGAACTTCAGCAAGAGAGTTTAGAGTTGCAACAGCAGGCCATCATTAGTTCTCCACAACTGGAGCAAAAACTGAAAGAAGAAGAAGAAGAAGAAGTGAATAGTAAAACTAAATAAAAAAAGAAATAGTGACATATATAGATAAACACCTAAAATATAAACTGACTGACTAGTATTAAAATAAAATATTATTATTGCATGAAATATAATTTTTACCTGTGCTATGTTATCCATTAAAAAGTGGCATCCTTGTTTAGATGTGTTTCAATGTCAACACGACAAATAGGGCAGTGCTTGTTGGTACTCAGCCACTGATCTACGCATTCCATGTGGAACAGGTGCATACATGGTAGTCTCCTACAAATAAATAAATTTCACAATAATTTTAATCTTTGACTTTACCTCAGTAAAATTTGTCCAACAAATATTTTTATGCCCATAGTGCCCCTGTTGGATTTATCCGATAGAGAACAAGAGCTCTGAGCTCTAGTTCTAAATTCAGTCCATCATTGTACTTAGATATTTTTAAAATGCAACAGTTCTATCTGTCTGAACATATATACAGAAATAGCCACCACAGTACCTCAGTCGATTTTAATATTGAGCAATTTTTTTCTACTTAATTTTTTATATTCTTTGTAAAATATCATCTGTAATACTAATTTTGGTCAATAAATTTTTCATGTGTAAATTTAAGCCAGATATAAATCAGATTCTTGACTTAGGGCGATTTTGGGATTTATCCCTCATCTACACCCGGCTAAGCGACGTCTAAGTGCGAATTTAGTCTTTTGAATAGTGTTATCTATATGTGGATTCAAAGATGTCAGTTTTTGGTCTTAATTATGCCCAGGTACTTGGACTTCTTGGAGACAGAAAAAAATTGAAATGTAAAGATGGTATTAAAATGTCTACTTAAATCTATATCTGGTTACAAATCTTTGTAAATAAGTACTATGTACACATTAACATTAATTTGATAACATAACCTAAGACTCCATTACTACAAATCATGAATGGAATAATTTTGAGGTCATAATATTTGTACAATAAAAAATATAGAAGAATACAAGTTTCTTCACTTATAAAGAGGAATCCGATTGGATGCATGACCACACAATACCTGCAATCAGAGTCGACTTCAAAGATGGACAAGCAGATAGTGCACTTCTCGTCCTGGTGGTGGGGCGCGGGCGTGGCGTATGCGTGGCGGTAGGTGTTACGCTCGATGACGGCGCGCGAGGCACCGCGGCTGGCCCGGCGAGCCTCGGCCGCCTCCACCGCGTCCGCCGCCTCCGCCGCGCGCACCATCGCCACCATGTGCGCCGCCAATGCGTTCGACCCCTGCACACGGAGTGGGAAGGAATTGTCAGTAATGGAGACTAAGAATCCCATTGCTAGCAATATACCTAGCCAGGTCGACCTCCTCGTGGTTCTCCCTGGAAACTATTATGGTTAATTACTTGTGAATTCATCATGATAGGCTAACTGGCCTGTTTTCATTCTCATCAATCACCCTTCACTGGTGCTCTGCTAGCATATCCCGTTAGCGCAGGCGGGGTTACCATTCCATTTTCACCCATAAAAAAAGGCCCACAGGCGGAAGGACTAATTAAAAAAAAGGATCTATGTAGGATATCGATATAAATACAAACTTTTGTAAAATACAGTCAAACTTTTTTATTCTTATTTGCACGACAGCAGAAAGTGTAGTTAGTACTCAGTAATTAAGGGAAAATGTATGTAAAAGTAAACTACAAAATAAAAATAGTAATATTTTTATTTTTTAATTTAGTTAATCCCAATTATCAATATTTGAAAGAAGGAGTTAAATAGAACATAAACATCCATAGTTATATTTATCTTCATTGATTACTTTTTGAATTTGAGAATACTCATATATATATATATATATATATATATATATTCAATGTCATGATTATTGAAATTAATTCATTATTATATATTATTTTTTTAGCTGCTATGTGTTAATTTACGCAAAATTATATAATGTAGCTAAATATCATAGTTAAAAAAGAAATTAAAAATAATTTAGATTGATGCATGATTGAAAAATTTGAAAAAAAAAAGAATTTACCAATTGAGCTATCATTTCATTAAACACCATGCTTATCTATTAACATATGACTACAACTAGTGTTCTATTTTGTTACAATTTTTGTATATAGAATATTTTTTTTTTATTTAAATTTTATCTCACCATTACCGAGGGCTGGATAGATATGTGAAGATGTGGAGGATGCATCTGCATGTAGTGATGCATGTGATGGTGAATTTGTTGACCATCGCTGTAAATTTTTTTTTGTAAATAAAATTTATTGAACTATTAATTTAATTTTAAAAGTACTATTGCTTATTATAATTTCTGTTTTCAATATTTAAAACTCCATGTTTTATAAAACATTGTATTGAAACGAAAAGGAAGTGTTCTCATATCGCAGATTACAATATGCTTAATGTTTGTATTGCCACAATAACTAAACATAAAACAACTAATGTTCAATATTGTTTAAATAACTAGCTATGGAACCGTAAATCAAGAATATTATTAAGTAATTGACATATTTAGATAAACAAATAGCTAAACAAAACGTTATAATTTAATCATTTTGTCATTTACATTTTTATGTTATTACAATTTAAATTTAAAATTACGTTTAAATTTTTTATTATAAAAGAGCAACACATAGGTACTTACATCAACAAAGGTGTAATTCCGGTTGATAAACTTTGGGATGTGCGGTTAGAACTCAGATCTCGTGGCTCAAACTCATCCGGAAACTGGAAATTTTAATATAAAAGAAAATATAGTGGATTTCGGATATAACGGCGATTAAGGGACCATTCTATTTTCGTTATTATATCCGGAAGTCATTATAGGCAAAGGTAAAGAGATACAGACACGTACACATGTATAGTTTTTTCTTCGCACAAATCAGCATTGTTTTCACAGTTTTTCAATTTTGAAATGATTTCCGCCTTTTCTTTAACAGTGAATGCACGTCGAGGCAGTCATACTTATTTAAAAGTTTACTAAATTCAGTTGCTACTCAGAATATCACTTTGTAACTGAACCATAAATTCAACTCCGAAACGTACATGCTTCCCTACCTACTTAGCTGATAACTATAAACAATAGGTATTCTCTATACTTGCTGACCATCTGTGTGGTCGTAAACAAAAGGTTAGAAGTGTTTGTGAAAGAAAGAAATCTTTGTGTCTCTTTGGCGACCAAACTTCGGTCGCAATACCTGCATGGGATTTCTAGGAATTTGTTACAAATGATTCATTAAACACCCGAACTCGGCGTTACATCCAAAGTCGCTATAGTTACATGAATTTTGTACTAAAGCATGATTTAAATTCAAGGGACTTAGATTTAACGACGCTATAGGCAAATGGTCGCTACAACCAAGGTCGTAATAAATGAAATCCACTGTAGTTTATAATTGTTAGATTTTACATATTTAGTTCTGAAAAAATACGTATGCACTGCAGTGCCTCGTTATTTTATTGTAGAGGTTAAGTATAAATTAGTAAAATTATATGTAATGAAATATTAAAGTACATACAGAGAGCACGGTTGTAGGTGGTACAGTGTAAGTAGGCGGGAATTGTGTAAAGCCGCTACTGATGTCACCTATCATGCTACGTCGTTGCACCTCCTGCACCAAAGTAAATAGCAAATTAATTGGAATCAGAAACCAATAAACTATTATTTGGAATAACAGTTTACTGGTTACAAACATTTAGTATAATGTGTTTGCTGTCACTAAAATTATCAAATTATGCTGAAGTTGGCAATGTATATCAAACATCGAAAATCGTTGTAATACTTCATAAAAACTATTTACCATTAAGTAAAATAAAAATATTATAAGGTCTTTACAAGCATGTGTTGCTGACGTTGCCACAAACGTTCGTGAACAAGATACGGCGGAGCGATGGACATCCCATCTCGTCGACGGTCACCCACTGTAAAAATGTATAGGTAATGCTTTAAAAATGTATCATTTAGAATTTTTTTTTACTTTTTTATTAAAAAACAGATACTACTTGTTGGTAATTTTTTTTCACAAACTGTTTTATTTTTTAATTTTGTAAATTCTTAATTTGTTTGCTTTTTGTGTGCACTTTTTTATTATAATCGTAGCTTGACACATGGCCACGTTATCCTGAGCGAACACAGACAGAATATGTTCCATGACTATGATCAAATGAAAAGAGACTGATTTACTCCCAATGGTTGCTGACCTAATAAGAGCTTTTGGGGGGTGGGGGAAAGGGAATGTTAATAATGGAGTCTGACCTATTGCTAGCAATACACCCTATCAGGCTGATTTCCACGCGGTTCCCCCTGGAAACCATCGTGGTTAATTCTAATGGAGTTTGTCATGATAGGCTAACTGACCTGCTCCATCGTCACCTATCATCCTTCACTGGTGCCCCGTCGGTGTATACCGATACCGCGGGTAGGCTTACCATTCCATTAGCACCCATTAAAAAAAAAAGTGCTTTTTCACGTTACTTTTGAAGAATTCGAGGTTATAGGATGAAAGAAAACTTTAATGTGGCGCTAGTCTTATATATGGAAGATTTTTAAGGAAGATTTGTCATTATGTCCCTTAAGTCGGAGTTTCCCATTACTGACAAACTGTACGACAAAGTATAAAATTATAAAGTTGACTCACAGTGCGCGTGCATGGGCGTGTGGTGCGTGTGCGGCAGCAGCGTGTGGTTGGCGGGCGGCGGGCGTGGCGGGTGCGCGTGGTGCGGGTGGTGGCCGTGGTGCGGGTGGTGCGAGTGCGGGTGGTGCGCGTGGTGCGCGTGGTGCGCGTGCGCCGCGTGGTGCGCCGGCGGCGGGTGCGCGTGCGTGTGCGGGCAGCAACAACGACACGATGACAAGCAATTCCCAATGCGAACGATTCTATAAAAAAAACACACACACACACACACATATTAAATAAACTGTAACAGTTCAATTACGAACACTTCGTTAGAGCGATATATAAAATGTTAGAATATTTTTCTTTATAAATGCCATGCAGTCCCACCAATCGTCAGGTCTTAAGCTCCTAGCTTAAGGACCCTGTATCATGAGGAAGCAAACAACGGACATTTGGGGGCACACCCAGAACAGAACCAATTCAGAAAAGTTTGTTTCCTATGTTGACCGTTCAAGAATTGAACCCGAGAGCTCATTTACTCAAAACAACGTGTCCACCACTGCGCCGCGAGGCTCGTTATTATAACATATACATATATGCATTATTATAATTTTGAATATTTATTTCAATTATCTGTTTTTAAGGTACTACAAAAGGAGGAGTAACAGCTAAAAGGATAAAAATAGTTTACAATTCTAAACCAATTTTGACAATACTTACTGTAATGGCTAGGGTTTACTTATTAATATATTCTTTACTGCACGAAGACATAAAAATAATAATAACAATTAGAAATAATATAAGCAAAAATGAACTTATCTCTAAAAGAGATCTCTTCAAGTCAACCTAACATAGTGGCATAAGGGGGAAAAGGGATTGTTAGTAATGGAGACTGAGAATCCTATTGCTAGCAATATACCCAACCAGGTCGACCTCCTCGCGGTTCCCCCTGGAAACTATCATGGTTAATTCCTGATGAATTCATCATGATGGGCTAACTGGCCTGTTTTCATTTTCACTCATCAAAAAAAAGCATAGTGGCATAGAAATAATAATAATAATGGAAAAATAAGTTGTTGACAAAACAGCAAAGGCGTATTGTCTAGCAATATGTAATATTAGACCGTCAATCTTCCTACATAGAAATTAATTTCCAGTTACATATAACTCATTTCTGTTATAATTTCACATTACCTCCGCGGCATTATCTGCCGATGTGAAGTTTGCGAATTGTGCTGATACACCGGCGGGATGATGGGTGAATCGTCACAGGGAGGGTCGGTGCTGCCCTCCTGTCCCGCGGCCGGTGGCGAGCCCGAACTTTCCGTCCCTGGGTCTGGTCTCGGGCCACACGCCGGCCCCGCAGCGGAAGCCGGGGTCTGCGCTTGTCCTGGCGAGCTTGTTAGATCTATCACAGTACGCTGGGGATCATCAAATATAATTTCTATTTGTTTATTCTTTATTGCCCAAATTACAAAAAAAAAATTGTACAAAACGCGGTATTAATGTTATATAGTATTCTCTACCAGTTACCTCTTGTCAAAACAGAAATGCAGTGAAAGATTAAAAATTATTGTAGATAAATAATTACTGATGTATCCATATTGATTTATAAATGATATAACACATACAATGGTGAACTACTGCACATTATGATCGTTTAAATATATTTACATGAATACATTAAACAAATATTACTTACATATAAACATATCTATTATAAAAACACATACAATAAATATACATATGTACATGATTATATACTATATATAATTCCAAGAAAGCAACGATAAACATCAAAGGTAATGATGATAATAAAGATGATGATGAATTGCTTTCACAGTTTCTTCATAAGAGATTTATACTTTTTTTAAAAGTATTGTATTTACTGTTATGTTTTTATATTTATTTTTTTCAAAATAATTTATAAATAACTAATATTTTTTTTAGTGATTACAAAAAAAAATATTGCAATTACATACCCTCTGCGTGTCAACATTTTGGCTTAAGTCGGATTAAAAGTTTTTATTGGGGATCCCAATATTATTATTATTTTTGAATTGGTTTGACGCGATGGAGTTTGATATAACTAAATAACTTTTGCAACAGCAGTAGTAGTAGAAAGAATAATGCACAATAAACATTCGTGTACATATATACAGAGATACAAGTGTTGTTTCTTTGCTTTTATGTCTGTGTTAAAGATACTGAGTAAGTTAAACATACCGGATTATTTTCCTCTTCTAAAAGCAGTACATCATCTTCTGAGCCTGAGTCTGACACCCAATCGAGTTGCAAGTCAGGTGCAGATAATACCCCAGCGCCAGCATTCATATTTGTTCGTTTCTCCTGAAAATCCACAACAAGTATTAAAATTTTCACAATAAATATATAAGTATTATAATAATTTATATTAGTTTCACGTACGTAAATGGCTGTCTAGTTGTTTAACGATTAGGGATAAATGTGATAAGTAATAATATACCTATATTGGGGCGAACGTGATTGTTAGTAATGGAGACTGAGAATCCTAGAGAAAGCTAGCAATATACCTAACCAGGTCGACCTCCTCGCGGTTCTCCCTGGAAACTATAATGGTTAATTCCTGATGAATTCATCATGATGGGCTAACTAGCCTGTTTTCATTCTCATCTATCACCCTTAACTGGTGCTCCGCCAGCGTATCCCGTTAGCGCAGGCGGGGTTACAATACCATTTTCACCAAGCAAAAAAAAAACCTATATTGTACAGCAGTAAAACATGATACTTAATTCGACATATATTTAGCGTAACAGAAGCTAATTATGCAGAAAACAACCAGGTAACAAAAAGTACAAACAGAATTATAAGCATTTTTCTGTCAATAGTTTGTACAAGATTAATTATATTATTATTGTATCCCATGTTCTTTTAATATATATTATTCTTATAAATACAGAATACAGTTATTATTATTGTACACCACTAAATAATATAATATGAATATATAAGTTTTTATACCTGGCTGCTTTATACAAACTAACATATTTCGTAGAGTACTGTTTCTAAGGGATTTTCTCCCGAGAACACTCAGGTTATAGGATAAGCTCCCTGCCAAGGTTTTCCCTAGAGACTACAGTATGGATTTTTTATTAAAGTTCTTTCAGAGTCGGCAATGCGCTCGTGATACCCTTGGTGTTGCAGACGTCCATAGGCCCGCAACACTATGGTTTGCCACCTCCATTGTTTGTTGTTTTTTTTTATTAAAAATAATAAATTATAAAAAACAATAATGCATAATGCAGCGCCAGGTTATATAACTGGTCTTTGAAATTAAAAATGACATAAAAAAAAAGAAACAAAATGAATCAAATATTAGAGATCTTTAGTTCTATAACAATTATATTCACTTTGCAATTATATGGTATTTACAAATTACAAAAGAATAATATATTACAAAATCTACTATTTCGATCAGTAAGTAAACCTAAAGTGTACCTATTATTTATCATTGAGAGACGGGCTTTTTCAGGCAGGAAAACTGTGACACTGCGGCCTTTCTATGATTTATTTATTTACCTCTTCATTGCACCACAAACATAAAAATATACAATGACAATTGAACAATTCAAGTGAAATACAGTAACATAAATACAGCTAGAAATATATACATAAAGATACAAAAGGCGGTTTTATCGCTAGAGTAATCTCTGACAGACAATTTATGGTTAAAGGAGAACAGATAGAAGTGGGTAGGTGGCGAAAAAGTAAATTAATAAATGTGATGATCTTTTGTGTTCGCTACTGCTTTCTATCAAAGTGTACCTAAGAATAAAGTATTTTATTACAGAATATGTCGCCATGCAATTGCCAAGTTATTACAAATATTATCGAAATAAAGATATGTAATATTGATACCATATCAATTTTGGCACTACCAATGTTGGTAGATAGGTTTAGATAACTATTTATAAAAAAAAATGTTGAAAAGGTGTTACCATAAACCCTAAAATTACTGACATATGAATATATGAGATCTTAAAACTTTTTGTAGCAAAAGAACTGCATCATCAGACTTCCCATTTTTTTATATCGTGTTTTTGATGGGATTTAATATATTGGAGACTTAGATGCTATCTAAGCGCAGTCACTTTGGACGCAGTTTTTTTTTATATATATAAGCAATATCGTATCAGTAATAGAGGAGTGCGCGGTCGGGTTGCACCGTTGGCCGAGAATCAAAAGGGGCGCTGAGTAATTTTATGAGATGTAAAAGAGGCTCGGACCCGATTTGGAAAACATTGAAATGGATGATGATGGAGGTTGCTGCAGCTACAAATGAGATTGGTTCTTTCACCGATACAAATACTGGCCTAAACCAGTAATGTTACCCTTCATGTGAAAAAACTTCCTAACAAAATTTTCTTCAAACTCGAGTATGTCTTGTATCCGGCCTCATACCGAAACGAGATTCATCAGAAAGGCAAATATAATGCCAGTTTTCCTCCTCCCAATTTCTGTATTCGCGATCCCATCGTAAATAAATCCTATGATTGTAGGGTACTGTTGGTGGGACTCTCAGCGACCTTCGGGAACGCAGACCCACTTCACGTAATCTATTTCAGATGGTTTGGTCGTTTATCAGTAAACCTAAAGGACTGTGGAGTCTAGTAGCGAACAAATGGTGGTCATCGTATGATTCTATTGACTAGTATTTTACATGAACGGTCCTGTCTGGGAATGGTGATGCGAGATAGTCCTTTATGTCGTTCGATCACTCTGCCTGTGATACAATAACGTGTCCAGAGACGGCTTATGACGCTCTATGTAGTGCCAAGCACGACACCCAAGCTATGGATTGGAGCATGTCACGATTAAAAAGAAAAGACAGAGTCAGAAATGAGTATACATGAGGACCAGAATTAAGCTGACAGACATTCTCTTACGAATAGACCAGCAGAAATGACAATGGACAGGTCACATGTTGCGTAACAGCATGGATAAGCTCACGGGTTATGGTTTGGTATCCATGGGACATTAAAAGGAAACAAAGCTATCCATAGAGACGATGGGAGGATGACATAAAGCAAACAGCAGGTCTATGCCGGAGTAGCACTTTGTGCTACGAGACATAATTTAAGGAAGAAAATAATAATTATTATTATTATAACATATAATTTTGATAATACAATTAATTTTAAGATTTTATTAAATAATTCTAATAATGTAATATAATTATAACACATAGTTTATTTTAGTGAAAAAACAATATTAATGTATGCATGTAATATTAATTATAATTACAATGTACATTTTGTTAAGCACAGAATAAAGGCTTCTTTATCTTTTATCAATATAAAAGATAAAGTCAATACTGAAACAAAGATTTTCTAACATTATATGAACCATGATGATTTTAGTTGTAAAAGAGTTATAGAAAAGGCTTTTCAATGATCTCTCTTCTCTCTAAGCACGTATTTTAATTTACAAATTTTTTTTATCGAAACTAATGATTTTAAAACAAATAATTATTACCTGATTATTGCAAGATCCATTGTCACCAGCATGGACTCCATGTCCAGAACTGGTGCCTGGTTGTGGAGAACTTCTATCACCAGCTGAATCAATTTCACAACACATTCTTGTATTTTCATTTATTTGTGCTTCTACTTTGACAGATGTAGTGTGACTGATGTCTCTTTGAGAGTTTGCTATATTTGGCTCCATTTTAACTCTAGGTCGAATTGTACCCTCAATTTTAACAGTCCCAGGAGATGTTGATATTGGAGTTTCTTTTGAAGTTTGTGCTTCTGGAGGTTCAGTCTCTTTCTTTATGTTTTGTGTTCCAAACTCTTGTTTAACTTGTGAAGTAGATGAATTTTGTATTGTAGAAGAAGAATTATCTGCACTATGTGAACAACTCATAAATGTTCTGTGACAGTGATGGTTGGTTCCTCCTAAACGATTTACATGACTAGGGTTAGGATTATCTCTAGGGACATCTGTCTGTATTACATGTGCACGATTACAAGCATTAGACATGTTATGATTCACTCTACAAGTATAGCCATGGTTATGGGAAACAGAACCTAAGTTTTCTTGTTTTATATGCGTTATTGGAGCATTTTGGACACAGTCATGTTGATGAGATTGGATGTGAACACAGCGTTGACTTTGATTATGCCTTTGACAACTACAATTACGTTCACTCTGTTGGAAATTATTGGTATTGTTGTCATCACTACCTTGTGTTAATACTTCAACATGATCATGTGGTTCGCTTTTTATATTGACTCTAGGTACTTCACTAGAATTATGATTAGTGTCTACATCCATTGTGATATCAGATGGCAAACTGGATAGATGCTGGCCAGCCCCTTTGTCACATTGTTTTTTTCTTGGAACTAATACATTATCTTCCTCTTCTGAACTGACTTCAATCAAATTTGCATTAACCGATTCATTCTCTTTAGACTGTCTTCTTCTAGGAGAAATATTAAGTTTACGACTAGGTCTCTCTAGACTATTTAAAGCCTGGTTTTCATTAATATGGTTATTGAGGGTTGTAGGGACTTGACTAAACATATTTGGCTGCAACCGTTCATAGCCTGGATGTAAAACATTATTTTCCTCAGGTTGTGTTTGATTAGCCGGCATTGCATATGGCAATGGATGTTGTAGATAATTTGAATCATCACTAAGAACTATAACATTATTAGAGTGATATGGCGTAAAAATATATTCTTGAGGTGGTCTAACACCTGCAGCATAATGGGTATAATTTGGATAGTAGTAACCTCTTTCATTGACTCCTACAGGTTTTGGTTGATAACGAATATTCACATCTGAGAATCTTCGCTGAGCATTAGTGTTTTCAGAAGTATTTTCTGTAAGTACATAGCCAAGTGAACTAGAGCTATCTGGTAGAGGCTGATATTCTTCTGGGACAGGAGTACGTGATGACATTGGATGTGACAAAGGAGCCAAATTAACTTCATATGGCTGTGTTGGAGTTGTTGAATTCACATAATTTGATGATACTGGTTTAGGTGTTGTTTCATTATTGCTAGTGTGTGCAGCTTCAGAAGATGTAGGAAGCACCTCTACTTCATCATCACTCTCAGCAAATAGAGCATCACATTCCATTTCTTCTGAAAAAATAGATATTTTTTTAAATTCTATAATTTTTTTATTTTCAGTTACAGTAAATTCCACATCAGAATTACAATTACGGGAATGAAACTTAATAACTATAATTATAAAACTGAATGCAGATTAATTATTTGTACAGCCTTATTTAAAATTTGTGAGAATTGGGTGTATGAGAGAACTGCTTGATGTCACCAGTGCCTTAATCAAGTATATATTATTAAAAATCAGTAAATTCTGGTTTTAGTTGTTAATGCTTATTTGAATGATGCAGTATTCTGTGTTCAGTTGAGTGGTGTTAGACTAATCATTCATGCAAAGATGAACAAATTAAACATTAATAGCATGATTTAGACTAAATATTAAAATTATTTACCGTTTCTAGATGGATTTTCAGAAGCAGAAGATGTGAACACAGTATCTAATATTGCGGCCAATGACGATGGTCCAGGAATATCCCATGAGGAGGACGAGTGATCACCCTCGTAACCCTTTTCAGTCATTTCAATAGTTAAAAATATTATTTCGTCATATTGTTTCTATTTTGCCTACAGAAAAATTGTTACTTTTTTTTTAACTACCAACATGGAGTGTTGTTTCTTCACCAAAACACAGTCATTTTTCTTTTATTAAAGCATGACTGGTATGATACGAAAAAACTGACACTAGTTATAAAATAACTAACAAGTGTACATTAAAAATACTAATTTAAATTGGAAAAACGAGAGAATGTGTGAAGACAAGACACGAAACAAAATTTACAATATAAATTACAACATTAAATTGACTGACGAATGAATGAATTTTTGTTGGAATGGAAACCTAAGAACGAGTAACATTTTTGGCTTATCTAAAATAAACATAGACTAAGTATAGTATACTCGGTGAACCTCTTTTTCTAACTCTAAGTTAGTAATAAAGATTTCCTTATTCTTAGGCTAGTTCGTAGACAATATAACGAAATAGTGTACGTCAACCCGATATTCCTTTCAAACCATGGTTTTGTAAATTAAAGCTTGGAAAGACCGCAACAACTATTATAACTCGTATGCGTCTAGGTCACGTATGCACACCTTCTCATTTATACAAGCTTGGTATTGTACAAAGTTCGTCGTGTAATTGCGGTGCTGAAGTGGCGGACTTGAATCATATATTCTTCTCATATTCTAAATTTGACCACACCTCCCTTTTTAATCATCTCCGATCCATCCGTGTTCCATTCCCAACTTCTATTCTTACTCTACTTTCTTCCAATGATCCTATTATCTATAAAATACTATCTTCATATATATATGATAACAATATTAAGATTTAGTTATATTACATGAATACATTTATAGTTGCATCAATTGCTTTTCCTATATATTTATAAGTATATTCTCATATGTACAAGTATATCCTTCATATCCTATAAATATCCTAGACCTAATCCTTATCCTTTCTAAATTCGTTTGTGTTAGGTATTTTTATTACTATTATCGTTTCCCCGTTTTGTTCTTGGCAAAATACCCTAATATCGGGGTGAACGCCACAAAAAAAGAAAAAAAAAAAAAAAAATAGTGTACGTCAAAATTGGATGGAGTATTATTACACGTGACATAAAAAGACAATAACATTCATTCCAGACAATTTATCTTTTTGAAGACTAGGCAGCATGGTCTCCGACCTTAGCCTGTTCCAAACGGAACAAACGTACTAAAAAAAAAAAAAAACAATAACTTTAATTTTATTATATGAGCGAGTAAAAAAGAAATATTCATGCTTTCAATTAATGTTTTGTCTGCTTCATATTATTTGTCTGTGGTATTATACAACCCAAATAACGAATATTAAAGATGGGCTAAAGCCCTAAAACTATCTTAAAAAAATTACAAAATATAATATAATTATTGTCAAATTTTTTGACGTCAATAGTTTCTAACAGACTTAGTCTCTTTAATCTGTACTTCGAGTATCTGTTAAACTTGATTTTTTAGTTGCTTTTCTGCTCTCACTCTTTTTGTACTATTTTTTATTAACTATGCGACGATTAATTGATTTTTAAAAGATAATTTAATAGTACATATTCAGAATATACTTTGAAATAGCTAAGCCTCGAAAAGAATGGAGTCATCAACATTCACATACTTACCACTATTTCTAGAAGGAGATGTAATTAAAGGATTTGGAAGAGGATCGAAAGATTTGGGATGTCCTACAGGTATGTGTGTTTATTCCATTTTAATATTATTATTATGAAGGTATGTATGTATACGTGGATGGAAATTTGTTACTCTTTCACGCAAAAATACTGAAATGATTTTAATAAAATTTGCTGCATACAGAGAATACATTATATACTGATTCACGCGAGCAAAGGTGTGAGATATAACTACAATAAAATAAGCACAATGGCATATAGTTTATTTTTAAAATAATTTTTATCTGTCCTTCCTAGTCCTGTCTAGAGAACCATAATATATCTATAATTAAAATTTCATTTTTTAAATTGTTCTATATTTTTTTTTGAAAAATTTGATAAATTGAAATTAATTGTATGAAAATTTTATTAGTATTAACAAATGTTTAAATAAGTACTAAAATCCTCTTATGGTTCTTTAAATATTACAAATTACATTTCATATAACAGATTTATGAATAACATAAAAATAAAAATTAGAACAATAGTTAATAATAGATAGATAATTGATTCCATGGCAAACAAGCTGACGAACCACCTGATGGAAAGTAATAACCATCGCCTATAGACATGAGCAGTACCATGGACATAACAGAGTATACTGTTTCGCCCATGATACCCCCCATGCGTTGCCATTCCTAAGGACTCAGGTGTTATTCCTCTGTACCCAGTAAATTTACGCCATATCCCACCTTTCAAACCGAAACACAGCCATGCAAACACAACTGCTTCACGGTTGTAACACAAATGGGACAGAGGTACACAAGCAATCGACTTTTGTACAGTCTCCCTCTGGTATATTTTGAATGTATATTATGAATAAAGCAATCTTTATTTGCAAATTATGGGTGTTTACATAATCTTGTTTGATATAATGATAATATATTGGACACACCATGTTTGGCCTTGTAGGCATGTAAAATCAATAAAATATTAGAAATGACAATTTCACAATTTATTATTTATCATCATTATCATCATATCAGCTGTTATCTATCCACTACTGAACAAAGGGCTCCCCCATAAACTAATATAAGGAATGGGGCCAATTAATTATATTTAATTAGTATCAACTTTTTTTAATTTGATAATTTCACGATATTTCTGTTTTATGGACAATCACAAACTAAATTAATAATTATATTTATTTTTTTTATTTTATTCTTTATTGTACACAAAAAATTACAACATATAATATATATCTATAAAATAAAGATGTACAACAGGCGATCTTAACTCTGTAAGAGTTCTCTTTCAGCCAACCCTGAGTGGAAAAGAGCATTAATTACTAGCAGGCAGTATGCCTAAAATAATAGTAGGAAGCATTATAGATGTTTCTATTAAATTTTAATTTAAATCTATTAAAAATTTAGTTCATATCAGACCTTAGATGCAAATTTTGCTGTTACATTGAATTATTTTTATAACATAATTATAATAAATATTTAAGATGTTTGTTTCCAACAGTGGATGATTCTAGTAAAGGCATTCCTTGCATATTTCATTACATAAAGTGGCTCTGAATTACATCTCTAAATTTGCTTTAATGGGGTTGTATTGGAACCCTTGCTTTCTATAATATTTTTTTTTTGTATTGTATTAGCTGGTAACAACTGTTCACCGCTGAACATAGGGAAATTTTGCTAGTAGTTGCCACAATTGGCTGGTGGATTGGCATCTGCAGTTTGGCTTTTGGTGATGTTTTAAGAGGGAAGTTGCTGCCTATCCCTCTACTATAAGCTCCCTTAGTCTCATCTTATGATACCCATGGGAAAGAAAGGAGCAACCTATTCTATGCCAGGATGAGACACAGCCAATTTTTTATAGATGATAATGGAGAGAAACCTCACGGGAGGTAACGGTATATGTTGACGGGCCACCAAGGAGCGATGTTAGCTGAGAATGAAAAGACAGGTCTTTTTTTAATGGGTGATAATGGAATGGTAACCACGCCTGTGCTATCGGTATGTGCTGGCAGGGCATCAGTGAGAGATGATAGGTGACGATGAAAACAGGTCAGTTAGCCCATCATGACAAATTCAACGATAAATGACTCACGATGGTTTCCAAAGGGATCCGCGTGGAGGTCGATCTGATAGGGTATATTGATAGTAATAGGAACTAACCTCTTCATTACTAACAATCCCATTCCCCTGGAAAAGACGGGTCAGTTAGCGCATCGTGGTGAATACGCTTGCATCAGGATAATGGTTTCCAGGGGGGACCACATAGAGGTCGACCTGAACAGGTTAATTACTAGCAATGGGACTGGTAGTCCGCATTACTAACAATAATCCCCCTCCCCCTTTATTAATATTCAACCATTAATGAAGATCATGTGTGTATAACTATGTTATAAGTATTGTATTATTCTTTACAATTATAGATAGGCACTTGTATTTAGGTTATGTTATCTTAATATTTACATTGAAATACAATTAAATGTGTATTTAAATAAGCATGACTTCCAGTAGGTAATTGCTTTTTCATTAGGTATTTACTTTTGTTTTGATATTTAATCATATGCCTACATATTTTTACAGAGGTAATAGAAACAGAAATGAAGAAATTTCTGTTAAATTAGTACAAATTAGGACTAGACACCTATTTAAGCAACAGGCACAAATAGGTGAATACAAATAATATAAACTTATTCACGAATGGATATGTCTGTTTGTATTAGTTTGGGTATTCAAATTAAGAGATTACGCGCGAAAACCACATTTAACTTGACTATTTTTTCCATGCACGTTATATTTTTTCTTTAATATTATAAATTAGTTTTTTGCCCGCTAGATCATATGTGTGGATTTAAAAAGAAAAGTAATGAAAAAGATTACTTATAAATAGTGTATCAATATAAAGCATGCACCAGTTTTTAAATTTGACCTTTAGAAAATGGCTTTGAAAAACGTATCCATTTTTAAAATATCTTATATGACACCGGAACAAATATACAGACAGAGGTACATACAAAATTTCTATAAAATATTGTTTTGACATTTATTGATCTTAATAATTTTTCTCTTTTTAGCTAAAATTTTATTATATTAGTAAGATATGAAAATGGTCGTGAAATTTAACATGGAATTTTTATGAATGGCGAACACATTAATAATTCCCAATGATTATAGATATTGATTTATTAGTAATCATTAAAACTATATTTATATTTTTTTAGCTAACTATCCATTGGATGTGGTACAAAAACTACCTTCGGAATTCAAGCCTGGTGTATACTATGGATGGGCGCAATTAGACTGTGGACCTGTGTATAAAATGGTTGCAAATATTGGCTTTTGCCCATACTATCAAAATAAGGAAATGTCCGTGGTACGTTTATTAACGATTTTCATCTCTTTCGATTTGACATGTATGCAATTTGGATGCCATGTTCACCGCAACTGTAGTAGTTTACGAATGTCTGTCTCTATTCATCCTATCTGAGATTATAACTGTTAGTATAACACTAGACTAGACTATATGCAGATGATGTCTGTATCACCTCTGCTCCACTGGTATTTTTATTGTATATTCCTGAATGTCGTAACTTAAAATCTGATATATGTTTTATCTTATTACCATTGATTTATTTAAGATTATTTCCCATAGGGACCTGGCCCCTTAAAAAAGGTACATATGTTCTCACAGACAAGTTTTTGCCATGGCTAAAAGCTCCACTCCTTAATGGGTGGGCATCAGATAATTCTATGGTGGGCGCAGCCCACCTAACCTCCCTATAAACACGTTTATGCTTGATACTCCTTCTGTGGTCTATTGCATAAGAAAAACATTCTTCTGAAATCGACGAGTACAATGCTAGTTTATTATAAAAAACCATAAGCGCCACAGCATACACTAAGGTTTCATGCTGTTGTTCGTATCTATAAGCGGCATTTACCACTTTCCACATAATAGGCCGTCATTTTGTTTACCATTCTTTATTGCAAAATGAAGTATTTTAAGATAATATGCATTAACTAAAATTTGTATTAACAAATTATTTTTTTTTAGGAAACTCACATAATTCACAAATTTGAAAAGGATTTCTATGGATCATTTCTCAGAATAGCCATTGTCGGTTATTTAAGAAGTGAGATGAACTTCAATTCACTGGATGATTTAATAGAAACCATTAAACAAGATATTGCAAACGCAAGCAAAAACTTAGAAAACATTGAGTCACAGAAACTAAAGAATCATAGCTTTTTTGTAAAGCAAAACATTGAGTAGTATTGAGTATTTATTATGTTGTTAATTATTGACATGTTAATTATTTTTACATTATCAATTGCGTATGGTATGGTTAATTTTTAATTAACCAATGAGATCGTTTTATTGTAGTTAAGTAGTTACTGATTATTGTTAATTTCAGTCACACATATTACAATCACAAATATTATCAGGTAAAGATTTGTGATTTTGTTTAGCTATAAGTACTATCAGATTAATTTGAATTTAAAATTATACACATGCAATATTGCGCCATGGTGCAGTAATACCACTTTTAAGAGCGACAAGGATTATTATTTATCGGTAGATAACCTTTATTTGGAGTACATTACAACCAAATTGTCTATTAATCTACATGAATGGGCTTAACTGTCCCAAATAAAAATTATCACCATATCATATAAGAATGTACTATTGTTTACATAAATTATAATCAGACTTATCTATCCGACATATGTAACTGTTGTTTACTTTGACGATATACATACTTAACTATTTTATAATTTTTAAAACATTTGTAACAAGCATATACTTAGTATAACGTAACGTACTTACATATTAAGTCTGATATCTTTGATTTTCGTAATTGATTAAGGTGCTTTTTTTTTTCAAATATTCAAACTTCATGATTATGCAAAAATTGAAAACGACCTATGTAATTTATAAGTATCCCATTATTATCATAATTTTATATGGCCAATTGTATATATTTGTATTATCGTAGCATAATAATAGATTCTAAAAATGTGATACCTCCTGAGTTATTACTTATTCTAATTACGGTAGGTAAATCAAAAGATAGAAGTTATATTTTATACTGTTAAACCTTGACATATAAATTTTATGTAGTTAAGTTTTATCATTATTTTAATATATTAGTAAACTTCCTGATACAGTCGTAGTTTATTATTTATAGGAGCTGCAATACTGTCCCAAAGCTGTCGCATCTATTTACTGTCTATTATAGCATTTATACACATTTAATTATTAGGTAATTTTTCTCTGTAGTTCTTATTTGCAATAACATATATAATATAGTCTGTTGCCAGGTTCTAAATTAAGTACATATAATTTGATTAAGTTCATTCAATGCAGTGTGTACTGTATAAACCCAACATATTGAATGTTAATAAATGTAGCACTCGTAATTAAATACGGAATAATAGGTTACACAAACTAGTGAAGAATAAACACTTCCTATCCTTAGAACAACATATTGCCTAAATCTCTTTTTGACAATATTTAATTAGGTATATATATTTTTAAGAATCCGATATATACTAATGAATATCAAAGTTACCTGAATGAAGTCCGAGTTGATAATAATAATACCAGTATACTTTGTATGTCCTAATAAGGAATTTAGTGATTATAAAATATTTTCTGTATAAAAGTTATGAATGGTGAAAACGTTAATATTTCTAACTTATTTGAACTGTACATAATTTTCACATAAACATTTAAATTTAAAAGTAAGACCGCCAATGGACATCATCATTTTAAATGTAGCATTATGTAGTTTCATGTACCGATTTCTAAGACGGCTCTATGTTTGAGATTCTGATGTATGGTATTCAAATCTCCGTAATATACAATAACAATGCATATGTGAAAGGCTTGCTGTTGTAGTTAATCAGTTCGCTCTATTTCTTTCATTTCTGTATTGATTTATGTAACAATAATAAGTATATACAGATGAAATCAAAGTCGTAACCCTTACGATCTACTCGTACTGTAATATTAGGGCAGAAACATGAATAAAAAATTCAAAAAGAACAAGAAAAATGAGCCTCCTACATCCCAGAGAGCCCAAAAATTTTTGTCATTTTTCTGTCCATAATTATTTGGTAAAAAAGATCAGTTGCATTGTTTCAATAGAACTTAATGAAAATGTAAACAAACAAGTAATTGACCCGACGATAAGTCGCAAGTCTGTTTATGTCCAATAGCAATACAAATAATAATTCATAAATTGTTTATTTCGTTTTGTTGCGAATTTCATTTAGAGATGTCTGTATGTCTGTGATAATTTTGAAAACTTGGGTAACATTTTCATCAAGTTCTATTAAAACATCAGAACACTCCAGTCTGTTTAATATAAAAGAATATATGAAGTTTTATACACTTGTGATATTTTTATACCAAAAAAAAAAAAATATGTGAAATAAAATAATTTAATACCATACATTGTTTTACTTATCGACTATACCTATTTAGTAACTAGTATTATGAATAAATATTTACGGTAATATTATTGATATTTATTAGATAATTAGATTTTTTTTTATAATGCTAGTAAAATATAATTAGTAAAAAATTTAGAATAATGAAGCGGACCTTAACTATTGGTACAAGTATAAACATCAATAGCGAATACATCACTCACCTTCAATTTGCCAATGATATAGTCATGGCGGAATCCCTGGAAGACTTGAATACTATGCTCAATGTAGATCTAGAGATGTTATCTTGAGGACCACCTCTAATGTTATTGTTGGAGTTGTTTTCATGCACGCATTGATAGAATAAGCCAGTCTCTAGTTTAGGGGTAGCGGTTGACAGTTTTGTCTTCGACCTAGACCAGTGCACATCAACATGGATCTTATCACAGCTCTATACGACCATAGTTATTTTGGTGAAAGACCCCATTTATTTCCTAGCATCTTTTTGCATAGGAGAATGCAATTGTGCCTTCGTTTAGAGTTATTTGTTCTAAAGCAAATTACTGTATAGTGTAATGCTAAGGTACTTGACTTTCTTAAGTTTCAGTTCATCAGTTCAGTTGAAGTTTTGGTAGTCTGTAAGGTGAGGTTTTTTTTAATAGGTGATAATGGAATGGTAACACCACCCGCGCTATCAGTATACACGTGCAGCGGCAGGTCAGTTAGCCCATCGTGATGTATTCAACAAGAATTGTTCACGATGGTTTCCAGGGGAATCACGTGGAGGTTGACCCAATAGAGCATATTGCTAACAATGTGGTTGTCAAACTCCATTGTTAACAATCCCCCCCCCCACGTAAAGAGAGGCTACCCTTCTATTAATAAACATTTACAATTAATCAAAAGTTCATGCTGCATACACCATCTCTTAATTATTTTAACAAGCTACTCTCATGCGGTTACATAGGGTACTTTCAAAATTTCCTGATGAAGGAGCAACTATAGTTCTGCATAACCTACCATATCGTATAAAGGCCGTTATCGTTGAACTCTGTTAAGAGCTCGTTTACGACTATATTCCACAATAAAGGTCTGTCGCCTTGTGGACAGCATCTACTGACGATTCCTCATGTGGTAGTGTTTACAGTGAATTGTGTAGCTAGCGTTAGACATGATTTTACTTTGATTGCCTGGTTGTTTACTGTATTGTATGAAATAGCTCCTGCATTCTTGTTTTTGAGGTTGTGAGGTTTTACATTTTATAAATAAAGGGGGCTAGTTTATGTATAAAACCTCAGATGAATTACTACCATTACACATACAATTTGTTTTTTCGTTAAATCAATCACCTCATATCACCTTTTAATTTGATCAACTAGAAAATTAATGTAAGAACTATGAATGGAAAGTAGATTAAATAATAACAACAAAAGTCCTTTGAAAAAGCCTTTATTTAAAATGCCTTTATTTTTTTATGGATCCATTATAATGAATTTGTAAAATATCACTCCTTCATACTCTTGGAAAATAATCTTAAATTAGGGGCTCTCTCTTCAGGAATTTTTTAATGTTGTTTTCTCCTAAACGAACATCCTGAAATAAAAATAAAATTTAACGTATACCAACATGAAACCCAGTGAAGATATGAAACTGAACAAATTTTCATAAGGACTCCAATGGAAATGTAGCTGTTAATTGTTTTAAACTTTTAAAAACATTATCATCATTTTTACCATTAATAGTCTACTGCTAAACATATGCTTCATCCATAGAAACCATAATAGATTGTCATAACTATTTGGAACTACCTCCCCAAACTCGCACTAAGGTATTTGGGGTTAAGACTCTGTCTGACTGATATGAAATTGTATTACAATTTAGTAAACATACAATGAAATCAATTGGGAATATACTTTTTTTAAATTGCTAAAAAATAGACCTTCAATACCAAAATTATGCTTGCTCAATCTGTTTTACTCCCCATTCTAAATTTTAGTTTTATCTGTTTTAGATTCAGTTAATATAGTTCAAATAAGACAATTTTAAATTGTTTAATAGAAATGATAAATATAAATTTTATATTAAAATCATCAATGCAACAGCATTTTTTGATATATACTGGTGATTAACCATATATTTGTGATATATGTAATAAAATGTTTTAACTAAAAATCAACATTGCAACAGCATTTGTTGACACACACTGCTGATAAGTCATATAGTTGTGATATATGTAATGTTTTAACAAAAAATCAACATTGCAATGGCATTTGTTAATACATACTGGTGATAAGCCCTATAGTTGGGTTGTATGTAATGTTTTAACAAAAAATCAACATTGCAAGGGCATTTGTTGATATATACTGGTGATAAGCCATATAGTTGTGATATATGTAATAAATGTTTTAACAAAAAATCAACTTTGCAACAGTATTTGTTGACACACACTGCTGATAAATTATATAGTTGGGTTGTATGTAATGTTTTAACAAAAAATCAAAATTGCAAGGGTATTTGTTAATATATACTGGTGATAAGATATATAGATGTGATGTGTGTAATAAATGTTTCAGTAGAAAGTCATCTTTAACAGAATGTTATTTGATACATGCTGGTGATAAGCCATATAGTTGTATATAATAAATGTTATAGAAGAAAGTTTAATTTAACATAGCATTTGTTGAAATATACTGATACGACAGGTAGGTCGCCAGTTGTAAAATATAAGCCAAATCTTTTTGTAATATGGTAAAAAAAAACAATTATGCTAACCTCAAATAATAATTGGGATAAGGCTAGGAAGATATTTCTAATTAACAATATTATTTCTTACTTTCCACGATTAAGATTTCAATTTACCTAAAAATCTAAATAATGAAGATTTCATTTATATTGCACAACATAATTCTTAGTGGTGCATCATTATGTTGAATAGACAATTTTATTTATTACTGACATGAAATTAACAATTTTATTAAGATATAAAATAAATAAAAAATATAACATAAACAAAAGCAACATTTTTAATAGTTAATATATTGCACAATAGTGTATTTATAGTGCTATTGTGCAATAATACATGCATATACAGATTTTCAGATATGCAGAGAAACTTTGTATGGATAAAAATGATCATATTTATAATAAAAACAGCAACTGGACCAGGAAGGATGCCGAATATTATAGACAATTATTTGTCTTCTATAATAATTCAACCCATATTTTTTGTAAAACAGTTAATAAAATTAACGCCTTGTTCGGATAGAAAAGTTTATATATAATTGCTATTTACAATAATGATCATGTATTTTAGGAGAATGAAAATGATGACATATACATAAAGAGAGTTAATAAATTTGTGTTTTCTAAAACGCCTAATTGAATATTTATAGTATTCAATTAGGCGTTTTAGAAAACACATACGAATATAAAAAATTGTTGTTCTTTTTTATAATTAAACATAAACAAAATAGGTAAATAAACACTAAATTTAGTAAATATTTTGAAATTAATGTTAGTGCTTACCTTCCGTTAATCTAGCACGACCTCCAGTGGGCTGGCAAAGGATTGTGGAGCAACCTGCGCATACGACCACCCTTTGTGCGTGACTAAATACCGTGGTTATTTTGTAGCAGCCGGGGCATTTTACATCCATGAAGTATGAATTAGGATGTGGCACCAGCCTCTTCAGTTTGTGTTTCCTCCTCTCCGACGCGGGTGAGGGATGAAGTAAATCAATAGCGAGCTGAAAGTTTCAAGTATAGGTTATTATTGCACAATGTTACTAACCGTGCCATAAACGTTGTATATTAATCAGTCCTTAATATAAATCAAGTTGGAGCACCAAACTTGTAAATAATGTACAAGATATACATTAATAACTAGCAACTATTCAATGACTATCTTGACATGTCGAAATGCCATGTGTATCACAATGTTTTGTGCGCAAAAAAAATGTTGTAAGAATACATGGACACTATAACAAAATAATAAACATAATGAGAAAGTTTTACTGTCAAGAATATTTGTTTTGAAAATGCAATACTGTAACACATTATTTTTAATACAGAAAAATACACACCGGCATGGTTACAGCTTTGATGCAGAACCGGAAAAGGAAATACGTTCATTGGTTCACAGACTCACAGACAATATTTTTTTTAAGCTTATTCGACATAGACACAGTATAGAATATAGAATGGATGCATTCTAGAAACCTAATTTTTCCTATTAAAAGATTTTGTTGTCTATGAATACAGTTTATTAAATGTATCAAAAGAAGCAACATGTGGGGGCTAAAAGTGGTAAATAGTATAGGATATTCTTTAGAACTAATAATCATAAAGACGTGTCTACTACCAGATTTACGATTGTTTGTGAATGTAATTTTTATAAATATATCTAGAGCGCAATTGGAATGTAACGGTTATTTTAAATATTGTTAGAAAAAAATGGGGTGAATAGGAACAATTTCTAAACTCTGTTTTAATTTTTTTAAGTTATTTGCTAATGAGATATACAAATATAATCTTAATTATACATTGTTAACTAAATCGTCTGGTGTCTCGAATTCTTCAAAAATGCATTCAATTTTTATACATTCTTAGGTTGAGATAAATAAAAATAAGAAAGGGGTATTAGCAAATTTAGCTAGGGTTATCACTTTTATAAAATATTAAGTACATAGGTATGTAAGTAGGACTTATAGGAGGAATCCAAGAAATACTAATTGGACTCAATATAGGACACACGGTCGATCGATCGACGGAGGTACTAGCAAATGTATAATATGGTAACTGCCCGAAAATTAGTGTCCTAGTAAAAAAGGTATCGTAGTGAACGAATGAAGTATCTCAATTAAGGCTAATGACGCGGAAAGCCTTTAATAGAGCGAGGCGCAGTAAATACTTTAATGAATACCATAGGCTCTTAACTAGCTAGTGAGAAGAGCGAAGAGAGAAGCGTGGAGGAGGTATTGCGAAAATATTGGCACCCTACCAGAAGGAATGAAGTTAACTAACGCAATCTCCACCACCAAAGCAATTCCATTAATATCTTTTAGGAATGCTAACGGATTACAAATGGATTCGGGAAAGCACATTTTACATGTAATGTTTAGCACCCATTTCCCAGATTCGAAGGTCATAGTAGATTATGCGGATGATCCAGTCATCGAGGAAGAGCAACAAAGGAAAACTTTCAAATCTGATTGAAACATTGCAAAGAAGGTGGTGAGCGAAGAGAGAGTTACATGGGCGAAAGAAATCTTTGAACCTTTCAAATCACCAGATCTTGATGGTATCTATTCTATCCTACTATAGGAGGGAAGTTATTTGTTTATTCCACATCTGTACAAGGCCTGTTTAACGTTTGGATATATACCCAAGATATGGTGTCAGGTGAAGACCATTTTCATCCCTAAATCAGGAAAAGCGAATTATGAATAAAGCTTTCAGGCCAATAAGTCTTCAGTCTTTCTTGATCAAAACTAAAAAAATGATAGATAGGTAGATATATACGATATGGTTCGTTGAAGAAAATTCTAGTTCAGAGGTTACAATGTGCCTACCAACCAGGCAAATCAATAGAAATAGTAGTACATTATGTAGTAAGTCGTATAGAAGCTGCATTAGAGAAGAAAGAAGTGTGTATTGCCGTCTTTGTGGACATTAAAAGGGCGTTTTATCCTACGACATTTAACTTGATTAATCAAGCAGCAAGAAGATATGGCATTCTTTCCACATTCTGTAGGTAGATGGACTGTATGCTTAAATGCTGAGTTATAGAATCTGAATTACTAGAAGCAAAAATATAAGCCACTACTACTAAAAGATGTTCCCAGCGAGGGGTACTGTTACCAATACTATGGAGTCTTGTAGTGAACTCTTTTATGACATTACTAAATGATGGGATTCATAACAACAAGCATTTATGGAAAGAGACTATTATGGTCAAATGAGGTCAAATATCTTAGTTTAATACTTGATAGAGGACTCATGTGGGGATCGCGACTGGATGGGGTTGATAAAGAAACACTAAGAGTCCTGGCTATGTGAAGATTTGCATATGGTTAAGCATGGGGATTTTTTTTTTGGATGGGTGAAAATGGAATGGTAACTCCGCCTGTACTATCGGGATATGCTGGCGGAGCACCAGTGAAAGGTGATCGATGAGAATCAAAACAGGCGAATTAGCTCATCATGATGAATTCATCAGGAATTAACCATGATCTTCTTGATGAAGAACTTCAAAGTTCATAAACCACATAGAGAAAAATGGGAACATAGCCCGCAATCTCCAAAATGAAATTTCTCTAAACCAAATCCTGCTCCTTCCTTAATACTAATTCTGATCTCGGCATTGCTTAATACTAGTGAGTGCTACTACCAATTTCCTATATTAGTAATGACAAATTGAAATTTAATTTGAGAGATATTTTAAGGAAAGTGCGCCTATTGTTTATTTTATTACTCGCATTGGCCACTTTTTTCATTGATATTAGATGTCACTGTCAAAAGAGTCTCTCTAATCTGTGATCAATAGTCAATAGTGACGCATGTCAATGTCAATTGCTTTTCCTGTTTGTATAGACAGTGTTACATGCTAAGGTTATGTGATTGTCTTATTTGATCGTCTAATATAGGGTTAGTTTATTAGCTTTTATCTATTATTTATATTTACCAACTTTTAGAGTTGTATAATTTGTACTTAATTCAGAATGTATATTTAGTTTTATTTTTTTCACTATTTTATATTATATATTTATATAGAGTTTACTTAAACCATGGCTGATGAGGAGTACGAAGCGGAGGATGCAGGAGCAGATTATGATGATATAGCTGAAGAAGAAGATAATATTGAGGAGACTGAAGAACAAGAAGAAGATGGGTACAATGTACAATGTCTTGCGCCAGGACAAGCTGGAGGAGGAGTAGAAAAGTCCAAGCGTATTACTACTCGATATATGACCAAGTATGAACGTGCCAGAGTATTAGGTGAGTACTTTGATAACTCTTTAGTTAAAATTAAACGTTAAATTACTCATTTCTTTAATACTAGCGGCCCGTCCCGCCTTCGCACGGGTGGACATTTTTACAACATTTTAAAAAGTGGTTATTGTGACATAACGATAATAGTTGGAAATATAGTATCGCGAAGTTTTTTGTAGTAATTGATATTTTCTTCAATATTGTACAACATACTTTTGTTCTATCACCAATAGTTATCGCAGCGCACAAGACAAAAGATATTTTATAGCATTTTTTTACACCTTGAGTTTCGTTACTAAAGTTTTAATAAGAATCTCTAATCTTTTCTAGTAATAAATATAACCTATATTACTCAGGGTAAATGTAACTTTCTAATGGTGAAAGAATTTTTAAAATAAGGGATGATATAAGTAAGGATACAGTCAAGTGGAAGAACTATCTATTGTAAAGAATTAACCACAATGATATCCAGGAGCCCTATGGAGACTCATCTTACTGGTTATATTGCTAGTAATAAGGCTGCTAGTCTCCATTACTAAAAGTTCTAACCCTTTAAACACACCTCTCCATCTTTCAAATCATCACCATCATATATCATTATCTGTAAATAGAACCAAATTAATAAGTTTACCAATTCTTTTATCTCCAAAACTTACTCATATTAACCATACCCTATATGTACATATATTAATTCTTGAGTCCATCTCCCATATTTTGAGCTTACCCATTGCACATATCTAATAGCGAGGATAGATCAATTTGTTATTTATGTGACTCAGAACTACAAAAAAAAGCTCTAGGTCTAATAGCCTCATTGCGGGGGGCGGGAGGGATTGTTAGTAATGGGGTCAAATAGCCCCATTACTAGTAATATACCCTGTCAGGTTGACCTCCATGTGGTTCCCCCTGGAAGCTATTGTGGTTAATTCTAGTTGAATTCATTAGGATGGGCTAACTGACCTGTTTCATCCTCATCTATCATCTCCCACTTGTGCCCCACCAGTGTATACCGATAGCGTAGGCGGGGTTACCATACCAATGGATGATCCATTAAAAAAATAGCCTTATTGCTAGTAATATACCATCAAATCAACCTGCACATAGTTCCCTTTGGAAACAACAATAAAAACAATCATGGTTAATTTGTCAGAATGGATCAACTGACCTGCATTCTCTTTTTTATCCTCATCTGTCATAGCTTACTGAGCTCTCATCTAAATGAAAATAGATCAATAGCCTTGCTACTGTTCTATTTTCATTACATTAAAAAAAATCTTCCTCCCAATTTTGTGTATTTCTTTAATATAGTGAATGCTCTATATAAGTAACTCATTTGAACCAATTTCAATAAAAAAGTTTCTTATTGGGAAAAGTTGCTTATAGGGAAAAAAGGAGTATAAAAATACTTCTGGAAATTATTTTTATTTATTTCTTTTACTGAGTAGAATAAATAAAATATAATGTTGCTTATAGAGAGGTTGCTTATATAGAGTGTTCACTGTACTTGAAAATGGAATTTTAGCTCCACCTGTATTACCAGTATATATTGATGGGGTAAGTGAGCTAACAAGCAACGGGACTGTTAAACTCCATTACTGACAATCCCTTTTCTTTAATGTTGAGTATTGAACTAGTTAATTTAATGTATTTCAGGGACACGAGCGCTTCAAATAGCAATGTGTGCACCAGTTATGGTAGAACTGGAAGGTGAAACTGATCCTCTACAGATAGCTATGAAAGAGTTAAAACAACGAAAGATTCCAATAATAATCAGAAGATACCTTCCGGATCACTCTTATGAAGATTGGAGCATTGATGAACTTATTATAATTGATCATTAAATTAAGTAATTAGTCATAAATTTTAAGATAATACAAAGTTTAATAAGAAAATGGCATTTATATTTTATTAACCAACTTTAGATTGATTGGTTTCCAGATGAATAGAATACAAATCTCTCAATATGATGGAAAATAAGTGAACTAATAATATAAATGTTTGTTAACATTATACATACCTTTTCTTGTAATATATATTTTTTTATAATACTATTGCTGGATTTTAAATTTAATGCACCTGTTTTCTAATTGACTGAAAATAGACTGTCCCATTCAAATTTTAAATGTTTTCTCCGTTCCCTAAAGACCTTAATCAAATCATTATAAATATTTTAAACAGCAAATTAGCTAAATCTGTTCATCTGTTTTCAAATCACTTGCTTATCAACAAACAGTGTTTTTATCAATATCATCATTATCATTATATCATCATCACTACATAGTATAAACAAAGTTGCTGTCGCTGTCTGTCCATCCTTATGTAGGCTTAAATCTTTAAAACTACGCAACGGATTTTCAAACGGTTTTTTAATAGATAGAGTGATTCAAGAGGCAGGTTTATATGTATAATATATGCATAATATTGTACAGACACACTGATAAATTTAGAGGTTTCTAGTGTGATATCGTAAATAAAGATTTTTTTTGCGCTTACATTGCAAACGCTGACTGCATTCCACGAGATAAATCAAAATAATGTACTACAGTATTGTACACGTTAAAAAGGTCAACAAAAAAGTCCGCGATGGTATATGTCTATCTCTTAAGGGTAACCCACAATAACCATTTTTTATCCTTTACATTTTAAAAAAATTACATTAAAATTGTTAATTAATAAAGTGTTTATTTATTAATTTAAACTTAAATGCACTGTGATACTATATACATATGGCGGACTTAACACTCGACGATGTTCACTACCAGTTAACCATTGGGCAAACCGAGAAATAGGTAGGTGGTGCATTATTGAAATGAGGAAATATAAGAATAATATATTCATATATTATAATCATATAATTAGAACAATTTACATATAATATGTTAAATGTATACATAAAATAATAACAAATTTTATTATAACAATCAACTGTATTAGAAATTTACCAGAGTAAATGAAACATTCTATGACTTAAACAGAGTAACCAGCAAGGTTAAGTTTAAAGGGAAAATGGTACAAAAAAGGAAATGAAATTTATAAATTTGTCTTTTTTAAGATATGGGAACGCGATTTGTTTAGTGTTGTATTGTCTATTTAGTTGTTAAGTATCTTGAGTTTATATGTATTAAATACAAAATATTTTCGTCAATGAAAAATATGGTAGCCCCACCCGTGCTATCGGTATACACCGGCGGGGCACCAGTGAAGGATGATAGGTAAGGATGAAGCAGGTCAGCCCATCGTGATGAATTTAACAAGAATTGTTCTTGATGGTTGTCAGGGGGAACCACCTTATGGCTGGACTAGGTATATACTGTATACATCTCTTTTGTGCGCAATAAAGAGTTTATTATTATTAATAATAATAATAATAATCTTTATTTGCTTAAACACGGTAAAGTCAAAGATGTTACATTAGTCAAAGAACATTCGTGCTTAGCTAACAAGGTGATAGTATGCAAAAATTCATTTAAAATAAACAATTAACATTTTGTTTTTTGTTTAAGAAGTCTTTTACATCATAAAAACTATTTTTCAGCCAAGTTCTCTTCTTCTCTTTTTCTTTATTCTCTTTTTAAATAAATTATTATTTATCCAAATATGGTAGGGGCGAGCCTTATGGATTATTAAAAAAATGTTTGTCGAAATGTAAGACATGGAAAAGGTAGGATTATAGACTATCTGGGATTACAGTTGTACTTAAGACTATATCTCTATCTTTGCTTTGAGCCATATTTTATGGCAGTTGACACTAATTTCTGTCAAATAAGGTTTTATTCCACAAAAAAATAAAACTATTTCAATCGTGAAAAAAAAAATCAGTTATTTTGATTTAAATCTAACCTACTGAACCGACTTTAATAAAATTTCTATGGGACCAGTCTGTAAGTAAAATAATTCACATAAAAAGGTTTATCCAAATCATTTGTCTTTTTAATATCGCTTAAATATCAAATAAAAAAAAAATGTACCTATTAGAGAGAGCAGCGTTTTAGAATCGAAACCATGCAATTGTTGTTTCCATATTAACTTTGTTAAGTTTTTCAAACGAAATTTTAAACTGGAGTGTTATAATTACCTATTTATTTATTATTTGAATTGAACTTGACGTTCATTTGGCAAACATTATTACACCTACGAATGTAAAGACCAAATATAAATAGCATCGAATGCAAACTATTTACGTAAAATTGAAGAGGGTCGAAGCATCGCGTTTAGTTTATATGCAGCGTAATATGTTGCATATAATATCGCTAAGGTTTTTTTTATATCTATTAGACAGGTTGATGTATCGAAGCATATGGTTGCGACGTGAGCGCCTGTTAGTAAGCCTCAGTATGAACAGTTTCTCTATGTAGTTTGTGCTATGAGCCAAGTTTGTAACAGGCACCTCATTTATATCAGTACTGAACGATTACAAGAGCTCAGTTCGTCATCTCTATTAAAATATAACGGGTACTAGTAGTTAATTACTATAGCAATTATAAAATACCTCGTTTGCATAGCTGTGTTTCGATTTAAAGGATGGGATATGGCAGTGAATTTACAGGGTACAGAGGTATAACACCTGAGTCCTTAGGAACAGCAAAGCATGAGTGGTATTATGGGCGAAACAGTATACTCTGTTATGTCCACGGTACTGCAAATGTCTATAGGCGACGATTACTACTTTCCATCAGGTGGGCAGTCAGCTTGTTTGCCATTCTAAGTTGTATAAAAAAATAATTAAATAATATTGTGATGCAAAGACCAAAGTTACCGGTACATTGCATCCAAACGCCAAAGGTTCAACAGACCTACCTAATAAAATAAATTATAATAAAATACCTAATAAAATAATAATACAACATTGCTAGCAATATATCCTATCAGGTCGACCTCCACGCGATTATGCCTGGAACCATCAACAATTCTTCACCATGGGCTAACTGACTTGCTTTCATTCTTATCTATCATCCCTCACTGTAACCTCGCTAGCGTATATCGATAGCCCAAGTGGGGTTATCATTCTATTATCATCCATAAAAAAACAATATGTAGAGGTTAGCATAGGTAGGTAAATGGCTGACATAAGCGTATTGAATTATAATTTAGTCAAACACACGGAGCCTACTGCTCATTGCTCGCGACATAACCGTGAACCTTGTTTAGTATTGTTTCATTTTAAAATTAATACAAAGCACACAACATACCCAATTAATAGATCTAATTACAAGTATAGTCATAGGTGTAGTGGGTGGTGCACTCCTCAGGATCTGAGTAATGAGCTATACGCACATACTGCTGAGAGTAGATACATACGGAACTTTTAAAAGGGAGCATGCACCTCTGGATTATAATGTTCAATACCTATGCCAATAAGTTTTAAGTTTTTTTTTTTACATACATACATATATAGATATAACAAACATAGATAGACATACACAAAAAAAAAACGAGATAATAGAATTATGTGATACTGATGTGTTTTTTTCAGGGAATAATTTTTACTTTTCTCTAAGAATCCTTCGTTTCATTGCTGGTTACGGGTTTCTTCATATAATGACATTTAGAAAATCAGGCGATTTGTCGAAGTAGATATTATTTACTAGCTGTTTTCACGGCTTTGTCTGCATGAATATTAGTCAAATCCGTTCAGTTGTTTAAGCAACATTGAATATCCAAGATACAAACTTATAAATGCTTAAACTTTAACAACTTTCGCATTAATGATATTACATTATTATGACAGTATTATTTAGAGTTTACCGATCTTATACCTAACGCTTATTTTTTAGCAAACAGTTAGTATGAGGTACTGTGAGCCGTCCATGCTTCTGCACATTAGATTTTACACATTACCAGCGTAGAATGTAAAATCATGACATGACTTATATCCCAAAATATGACTTTTCAATATAGAGTTTTTGTTGCGACCGTCAATTTTACAGAGTGGTGTCTTCTGTGCGTGTGCGCGCACGTCGCCGTCGCCAACCGACGTCCTGTTGCGTCGGTAGGTCCGTCACCGTGGGCTGCGCTTGGCACACGCACCGGGCTGAATATCGCTGAAAGTTCCGGCGCGGGGAGGGCATACAGCCGCGCCAGTACCCCTCCGACCAGCGATGCTGTGCTGTCTCCGGAAATAGAGTACGGTCCACGTCTTACATTTGTGTCGCGTATTACCCACCGTCGCACACCATATCACATCGTCATTAAGCTGCGGTTTATTGAAGAGCGGTATTAAATTATTACGTATTAATGCGTGTATGATTTATAATAGACATTCATAATTTATCAACTACATCGTTCGAAGCTCTCATAACCGCAGCTTGATGGCATTCCATTTTGACTCGAGTTGCATTCCTGTGTGAATGCGAGTCGTGTTGAGATGAATTAGTGATCGTTCGTTTAGTGTAGATGTGCATAACGTCCGTAGATCGGCCGATCGGGTGCGCGAGTGTGAGTGCAAATGACTGATAGCCCGATTTAGCGGGTTGAACTTGAACAAAATGTGGACCAAAAGGTTATGGTTATGGAGGTTTATGTTGTGCATGTTGTTAGCGGTGTCGGTGCTGGCGGCCACAGCGAGAGGTGAGTTGAAGAGTTGCTGAGCGCGCGCGAGTGGAAGCCCGCAGTGCCCGCACTGAAACTAGTAGCCAGTAGTCGACTCTCGCTCACTCTGCGTCACTACATAGCTGCTATTTTCGGAGTAACTTGCGCTGAAATTATGTAAAAAGCTCACGTATGTGTTCTATTTTTGGCAATAACCTTAGGTGAGTTTTTATGACAGAAAGAATTAGTAACCTATATTTTATAAGGACGTGTCCTTTATACGTCGATTGATCAAGCAGTTTGCCGAGGACAGAGCGTTGCCAAAGGTTTACCTCCCAATGCTAGATACGTAAATAGAAATACAGGGATTTGTCGTAGCGCGTCGCCATCTTGTGAAAAACGATAGGATTCAAACGGGGATAATAAAAATGTGTCATTAAAATAGGTCATATCATAATAATTACTTATAAAAGATATTATATAAGTATATTATTTTTTATCATTTTGTTATAAAATGTACATTTCTTTACTAAAAAGGCCAATTAAAAAAGAGGAGAGAGTAAGAGCTGTATGTTAAACATAGTAGGTAGTATAGACACTGTTAACTATATGTTCTTTTTGCCTACTCCATAAAGAATCTGACGTGAAGATATACATATATATAATCAATTTATACTTACATGTGGTAGAAGTTTCGGATCATTAATTGTTTTACTGCGGAAGATAATCATCGTCATAGGCGCCTCTTACGACACCCACGGGAAAGAAGTTAATAAATACTCTTAAATCTTATTTACTTAAACAAGTCGCTACCTTTATGGACAGATATTAATCTGTATACGTAGGTAATTAAAATTATCTAGATACCAAAAACGATACCTATTGTTAAAGAAAGTCTAAATTGAAATGATCTAAATATTTAAAGGCAATGTAGGTACTATCTTCCAAAGATATACTTAATAGCGAGTATTTTATAAAAACCAGACTGATTCGAAAGAAATGACCTTGACCTTGATATAAATTTAGACAAATGTTAATTTACCACTTAGTGTAATTAATTTTTGATAAATAAATTTGATTGATTGTAATTATTTCCCTTCAATACCTATTCCATTTATTCTACTTTGATACATACTTATGTAAACTAATATAATTGGATTTCGCATATAATTTTTTTTATTGAAGTTGTTTGGATTAGATACGCTTTAAATACACAAACTATCTACTAGTATATATAATATGTTATTATCATATTTCAAGCCCTTCATCTCGACTGGTGAGTGATGAATCTGTCTACAAGCAGCTGTTATTCGAATGTCAAGTGAAAATATACGAAACAGTTCATCCTCGGCCTCTTATTATTTTTATGAATGTAGGAATTATATTTATCTGCTAAGTCAATGATTATTCACTATGCAATGTAATTACTTACATTGGTGCACAACAGAACGCAATAGACCTAGGAAAAATGTCAGTCAGCAGGGATACCTTAATGGAAAACTCATTGTTGCCTGTTGCGCATTACGGTAAACTGTCATAAGTAATGATCCTGTTGCTTGTAGCAGCCTATAAATGAGGCCTATGTTCAACAGTATATTGATAACTGCTGATATGATGATGATGATGATTTATCATTGGGGGATTTTGCCAGTAATTGCCACGCTTCGCATGCAGTTTGGCAACCGCAGTTAGGCTTTGGTGATGTTTTAGGAGGAACGCTGCTGTCCATCCCCCGATCATTAAATTCCTTTAGTTATCTCTTATGATACCCATGGAAAAGGAAAGGATGAAATTCCTTAGTACGTTTTACCCATAGGCTTACTTAAAATTATTTACTAAAGCGTGGCCCTTTAAAAACAGTGGGCTTCAGACAATTCTAGGGTGGCTACAGCCCGTCCACCCCCACCACATTGACACGACTAACTACAATTTCATTTTCTCCTATAAACTACGTGCCGTTTTGTGATCCGACTTCTAACTATTTATCATGCCACTTTTTGTGTAGACAAAAACAAATTCATCCTCATGCTAAAACTGAAAAATCACTTACAGTACAGCCTTCACTTTTAGTCTTAATTTCTTTTTGGGGACGTTTATTGTGGAATGAGTTTCCTTCCGAGGTTTCGCTGTTGATTGATATTTTATTTGACTTTTTTATTATATAAGTGTCATAAGCTCATATTAGATTTTCATGTAATAACTACAGATTTAACATACGTATAATTAGATCCAGATCGACTCGACTAGTTTCGGGATCAATTCGTGACTCTTAATCATGAGTGACAGTGACGCGAGCGCGAGTCTGACTGCGTGCCTCGGCCCGCTGAGCGCAAGTTGTAGGTGCTCGCAATAGCTTACTTAAGTTTATTAAGCTTTGTTATGCACCTAAATTACACTGCGTCTTACTTTTGTGATTAGAGAGCCTTTACAGTTTTGAACAAGGAGATGGTCTAATGGGCATTTTAAATCTTCCCTTTCCCAAATATTACGTGATGGGCTCACACATATTTATGTGGTATAGGCGTTGAGTGCGCCTACTTAAAGATTTGCAGGTATTTCCGTTTGAGATTTTCGACTCGACTCTCGACTACATATTTGCAGCTTCGTAAAGTTCTTAGAAATTTGCAGGCTGTAATAATAACAATTATTAACATAAGAAATACCAAATTTTTTTTTATTTGATGAAAATGGAGTTACCACTCCATTTTCATCAAATAAAACCCCGCCTGCGCTAATGGGATACGCTGGCGGGGCACCAGTGAAGGGTGATCGATGAGGATGAAAACAGGCCAGTTAGCCCATCCTGATAAATTCATCAGGAATTAATCATGATAGTTTCCAGGGGGAACCGCGAGGAGGTCGACCAGGTTGGATATATTGCTAGCAATGGGATTCTTAGTCTCCATTACTAACAATTCCTTTCCCCCCACAAATACCTAATTGCTGTAGTTGCGACCCCAGAATATGGACCACATTACTTTCTTAGTGTCAGATTCAGGTATGGTCTCTTTGACCTGGTAGTATCAAAAAATATATGTAATTATAGATTATACTGATTATACTATTACATAATTATCTATCATTATAAGATTTAGAAATTACCTATTCGTCTTTTTAATCGTACCTAAGTGGAAACATCTCTATCTTTGTATGGAACGATAGGGATTGTATATGCCTATGAAGGTATATACATAACTGTAATTTTTAAGTTGAACCATAATCATAACTGGCACTTTTTGTTTATTTCAGCTGATGCCGATGTACCTTCTGAATCACAATGCCGTCCATACATAGAAAAAGCTCTAAAAGAAAAAGAGTCGGGAGATACGGAACGAGGTAATTTACTTGCTTACTTTTTAATTGGTAGTTAAGGAACTCAGTAGCAATAAGTGTCTATATATTACATATTATCTTGTGCTATGTCTAAATAGTCTCACTCATGTGTGTACTCTGGTTCGTGACACTTTATTTCTCCTAAGAGCAATACGGCGAATTGGTCATACTGTTATTATCAGTGGATATGAGTTTATGTCCCCCCTATTTATCTGTTTATATTATTCTTTATATACATTAATATGTACAACGAAGACAATCATTCTATGATTATTTTTCCACATGTTCGAACCCACAACTAGCTACCTAAATAAAAAAAAATATGATAGGTGAGAATGAAAAGACAGGTCAGTTAGTCCATTGCGATGAATATATTTGGAATTCAGCACGATGGTTTCCAGAGGAGACCACGTGGAGATCGACCTGACTGAGTACATTGCTAGCAATGTACTACAATTGCTATTACCCTCAAAAGATCAAAAGTGTGCATTGATGTGAAAATAATTAACACTATAACGATATATGAGACATACCATGAGCGTCATAGTGTAGGTATTCGGTGATCTCCATGATATTGTTTATGTCTATAGGTAATAGTTTCTTTAATGGATGACAATGAAGTGGTTACCCCGTCTGCGCTAACGGTATACGCTGGCGGGACACCAGTGAATGATGATAGATGAGATGGAAAAGCAGGTCTGTCTGCCCATCGTGATGAATTCAGCACAGTAGTTTCCAGGAGGGACTACGTGGAGGTCGACTTGACAGAGTATATAGCTAGCAATGGGACTGGTATTCTGTATCACTAAAAATCCTTCTCCCCTACAGGTTATATGCCATTTCACAATTATATAGAAAACGTCCAGCTCCTATAGTCAAATATCGAGCAAATTTATTCATAAATGTGTTTTCGTTAATCGAAAAAACAAGATGTCTGATGTTTCTGTCTGATTCTATTTCATGCACATGGAAAGATTCGTTTGCCACATGGCTGGTGGGACTGAACTTTAGACCAATATAAACAAACACATTAGTCATGAATACACAAATATTTATACTTTATAGTTTAATTAATTGTTATTTCTACCGGGATTCCCATAGACTCAGTATAATTAGTAATGCAATTCTATGCGGTAGATTTTAGTTTTACAATAAATTATTTACTGAGTAGTAATTGTATACATCGCTACAAAATAATCCTTCTTGTGTTAGAGATTTAAGGAGATTATTTTACTATTACTCTCCTTACGTAGTAATGTATTCTGTCAGATCGATATTCACGCTTTTTTTTCTGGAAATAATCGTGATACATTTGTGATAATTTCATCGTGATGGGTCACTTGTTTTTATCTATCATCCCTCACGGGTACCTCACCAGTATATACAGATACTGCAAGGCAAAACAATTAATAAACCTACTACCACACATAAAAATATTATTCTTCATTCTAAATCACGACTCTTCTCATGTACGTGTTATTGTGGTGGTCAGAACAGTATGCTGATGTTTGTCCCTTGTCTCGTCAGGTCCTTATAGTAAATTAGTACACGTATATACGTAAGCAGTTTACGGTAGATATAAATAGATCAACGTTACTATGACACGAGACGACCTTGTGGCTGGACGGACGAGTTACGGCATTGGGACTTGAAACGATACGTGTTTCCTATATTTACTGAAGTTATTTTACAGAAAACTTTTACAGAAAATCCGGCTCAGCGTTGCGCGGGTAAATAGTATTTTAGAAAATAACATACAGCCTATGTTACTTGTTGATAATATAAGTTTCTATAGGTGAAAGAATTATAAAAAGCGATTCAGTAGTTTTCGAATTTATTATCGAATTACAAACTGTATACCCTGTTATTTTCTTTATAACTTGACATCTTTATTAAAAATGTGCAATAAAGCCTTTACAAATAAACAAATAATCATAAATAAACAAAATAATAAAAAAATAGAAACAAATCATTCCACTAAATAATAAGTAATATAAATATGTAATAGGGCTTTGTTCGCATGCTTCAGTGTGTTAAGTATCTTATGTATATGGAATATTATTTACTCGTATATGAAAGTACTAAATTTCATTCAATTTCCTTTAGCCGTGATTAACAAACATCACTCACATAACAATAGTATAAATAAAAATTCTCTTACTCTCACTATTGACTGTATAAAAGTTCCTCCAGTAAGCACAATCTTCCTAGATTACTTCCTTGTACAACATATCAACTTGCATTTCTATGGAGTCATATTGGAAAAAAAGACTTATTAATAATGAAGTCTAGTGGCTCAATAGCTGACAATTTAACATAAATGCAGTACCCTCCAAGAATTATCGTAGTTAATTCCTGGTAGGTTGAAATTCCTGGCTAGTTGATCTGGTTTCGTCCTTACATATTGTAATTCATTGTGATTCCGCCAGTGGCAGTGTATACCAATTGTGCAGACAGTTACTATCCTATTTTCATACTTTTGTCGTACTCATGTTTCTGCTGTGACGCGACTGTGCTTGTGCTGCTATCATCTACCATCATGTATCAGTTTATAAACACATAATGATATATGTGTTTCGACTTGAAGTGTGGGATATGATATTACAGGGCACAAGGTGTAACGTCGTAGTCCACAAGAATGGTAACGCGTGAAAGTACTGGACTGGACGCGGTAAAAGAATGGACATATTAGCGTGTCTCTAATATCTAAGGTGTTCTTGATGTCTATAGGCGATGGTTATCACTTTCTATCTAGTGAGCCATCAACTTGTTTGCCATTCTAAGTATCATAATTCAATCATAAATCATCGTAACAAAAATCAGCTATTAGTCTTCCTAAAGTCTATCCTTTGAGGGTCTTTCTCTTTCCTGTCGAATGAAACACGAATAATTCAATGTTAAAACTATTAAAGTTGTTAAAATATTAAAATTTCGACCGTTCAGGCTTTTTATCGTAGGTTTTATGATGAATAAAATGTCAAGCTCTGTTTGTGAGCTCAATTTCTTCATAAATGTATGAATATAGGAATTTCGTTTCATGATAGTAAAAGACCTATTATCTTTTACATTTTTTCTTTTTTCTAAAAGGTTTTCAAATATTTTATTCATAAATTTATTAATCATTGTTATGTTCTAAATGGTGTTATCATAGGCAAATATAAAATGTCAATATTGAGATAAATCTAAAGAGTAGTAGCTACCATTGTCAATGAATGCACCATTGAATTAGACACCTTATTATTATAAAGTATTAAAATTGTAATTAAACGATATCTGTACATTGAAGATATTACAAAAAAAATATTTATTTTATTGAAAGCAATGGAAGCTAAAATTTTAATTGGTAGAATTTTGCATTTTTTATTTTTTATTTTGCATGTTTGTTTCGCCATAACACAAAAAATATTGCACCAAATTCAATGTAGTTTTGTCAGAGGTGTTCTTAAAAGTCTGACTTTAAATCTAGTGTATGTTTTATCTTTATATACCATATAGAAGTGGTCACATATGTACTTGCAAAATTTACTCATACGAAATTGCGAGCAAAAGCTGATCACAAATAAAAGAATAACATTGGATTGACACTGACTGTGCGATCAGTTTACTTGGTTCGAGGTTTGATTCTATTTTAATTGTGGCCGATGTAGAATAGCGACAGCGGCGTATTCAGCACAATAATAGAATCAACTCCAACTTTTTGGATACAAATGAATCATTAAACAAATATATAAATAAATTAGTATTTATTACACTGTTTTATTTTTGTAGAAATAAAATAATTTAAGTATCCAACAAATCAGACGAGATTTTTATCGTATGACGTTGGTGTTGTATAGAACGTGAACGGTAATAAATGATAAAAACTTATTGTAATAAAACAAAAAAGTCATTGATGGTAGTGAGATGCATACTATCTAGTGCATAAGGGGAAAATCCTATGGAAAACCTAGCTGAATATCCATTGCTGCTTTTTATTAGTAGCAGCAGTGGTAAACGTAACACGTGACAGAAATGAATGGGTGATAAAAGGGAAATATACAAATCTGTTAGGTACAACGTCTGTGCATATTCGCATTTGGTGATAAAGATAAATATATAGTAAGCCTGAAAATAGCGAGTCGCGAATTTCTCTAAAAACGCATTGAAATTCTATCGATGGTGAGCGGAACATCAACCTGTATCCTACAGGTGACGGTGGATATCATATAAAACAATTATTTAAAACACTGTTTCTAATACAAGTATAATCAGGGTTGGCCTTGCCGGTTTTCTTGGCGACGAAAAAAGGTCACACAAGATCACACATGACTTTTATTGAGTAAAACGGAGTTCGGCAGTTTCCTTGATTGATGACGAAAAAACTAAACGTTGTTTGCTCTAAAATCAAAGGAATTAATACGATCCGTTATCGTATCTTTGACCTCGGCGCCTCTTTTTGAGATCCTTAAGGGCTCGACGCTATTTGTGGCTTTAGGATCTCAAAGATCATTTGGGATGTAATTGTCTTAATAAGACATAGATAACTAATAGATGACAAAACAACAATGTCCGTCTGTTTGTTCTGACATCAGGCATCAAATTAAATAGTGTTTTCTGTTTTGTTCCTGAAGGTCTAACTTAAAATCTGATGGACCACTTCTGGATAAGGTATTCAAAGCTTTATCTAGAAATAGTCTATTTCTTTGGTTTCGTAGTTCTGAAATCTATGCATATGAAGTAGTGGACAAAAAGTGTGTTATATAGGTAATATTGTATTATATACCATAGAATTGTTTATTATCATCATCATCATCTCAGTCATTATCTGTTTACTGCTGAATATAGGTTTTCCCCATAGACAGCTATAAGGAACGGTCTTGAACCACCTGTATCCACTGATTCTGCAATGTATTTAAGGTCGTCACTCTATCTAGTGGGGGGAGGGTGGTCCTACACTGTTTTCTTAAGAATTGCTTACTAGTCTTTTATTCATTGGTTCCAACACTAAATCAGTTCTATGATCACATAATAATATTTTTTATATCACCCACAACTGTCTACTGCTGAACATTTGTCTCCCCTATAAAGGGGGTTTGGCCAATAGTTGCCATGTTTGGCAGGCGTGTTGGCAACCGTGGTTAGGTTTTGGTGATGTTTTAAAAGAGACGCTGTTGCTCATAACTCGACTATTAAGTTCCCTTAGTCGCCTTTTATGACACCCACAGGAAAGAAAGGGGTGGTCTGTGCCGGAATAATACGGTAATAATGACATAAAGATTATAATAACAAATTAGAAAATAATTAATTTCAGTTTCACAGATTCCATAAGACTACATTGACCTAACGAAGCTTGTTAAAAATAAATCTTATTTCAAGAAAGCGGATTCCTGGTAATTTTAAATAAACTTATGATAGAAATTTTATTTTATAAGTGATGATTGTACCATTTCATTGTCCTCCAAAATATCTAGAAACAGGGCCATCTAATTTTAAAATCTTATTCATGTAGCTACGAGTGTAACGATTTCTACGTCTAACATGTAATTCGTATACTCAGTACTGACCCGGTTTTAAAAGCTTCTTGGTTGTTATTGTCGCACAACAGATTTCATCTTGTCATTTTCCGTTCAAACAAAATGAAGTCTACAAAAAAAAAGTAGAAGAAAAAAAAATATAAATAAATAATGTTTTTATTTTTAAATACATTTATTTTGCATGAAAATCTTTAGCTTTGTCTATCATAGAAACCTACAATTTCTTCTATTAAATTTAAAAATACTTAAAAATAATCTGGTACCTTCTATTCAATTTCATATTTTATCTATGATTAACTTTACCTTGCCAATTTTTATTATTTAATTATTGCTTAAAGAAAAAATATCTCTGAATCCATGGCGAAAACAGATTGTGGAGCTAAGTGAACGGAGAGGAATTGGCAAAAATATGGCGTATTACATCACACACTAAAATATCCATAAAAAAAGCTATTATTAGCTTTAATTTTTAATTAAGTTATTATTATTAGCTAGTTTTGAGGATCTTCTCATTTTGAAGTCGCATAAAAATTAAATAGTTATTACGCATAAGGGTAAAAAGTACTTCAATTGTAATAAAACTACTTATTTTAATTACAAAATAAATACTAAACTGATTTCGATAAATTTTCTATAGGATTAATTTGTAAGTTTAGTTTCATATTTCGGATAAAAAAAAAAGAATTTTCCGGATCGGATACAAATGATTGAGTTATGCAGTAATAAATTTATAAAAAAATATAACCGCATTGAGAATCTCCTTCTTTTTGAAGATGATTAAGATTAGATTAAAGTAATACGCTACCGATTAATCATCAGCTAGTAATGGCACAGATAAAAATAGAACATTCAATGCAAAAAAATTTACAGCTACTATCTAAGCGGCATTCTGCTTGAATTACGCAAACTAATTATTCGAATACGTCGGTATACTACTACTATGAATATACATCTAGGTATGAGCAATTTATTTAATAATTTTACGAAATATTATAATTCTGTATGAAATATTTGAAGTTTGGAAAAATGGTTGGACTTTTATTACGTACAGATTTAAATGAAATGCGGTACACAGATGAATCAAATTAGATTAACATACAGGATACTCGTATCTTCATTAGTCATAGTCGTATCGTCATGAGTGCTAAGCGCAAGTTAATACTTATTATATCTTACTTAGGTATACTGAAAGACTTTCGGAAACTAAACATAGAAATAATATTTAGCCGAAGTGTATCAATTCAATGCTATTTTTTTTTATCAAAGGATTTATTTTTATGATAGTTCCTGTTTTGTGGACTAACTGGATTTTATTTTCATAAAAAGTAAACTATATTTTCTGTTGTTTTGTAGCATCTATATTACAGTCGCCATTGCAATATCCTTTAGCTTGTCTGATGTTGATAAGCAGAAATTCTGCACTTTACTTAGCTTATTCTGATTTCATACCCTATCTTATACCATGGGTTCTTGATTTCTTACCTTGTTATAATGATTTTATTAGTCAAAAAGATTTTTCACATTTTTAATTCTAATTGTTACAATATTCTATGAAATCTTTAGAAAGAATACGAGTCGTTTTCTAAAATCCAGACTATGTCGATAATCTTATTAATATATTTTTAATAATATATAAAAAATATATTTTACAGAGTCTGCAGAAAAAAACGAAAGTAGTGAAGTAAATGTAGATGACGATACGAATGAAGTCAACTCAGCAGAAGGTAATGATAATACAGACAGTAAAGAGGATGATGCACCATCTTTAGAAGTCGCAGATGAACCCTATGTATCCGAAGCTTCAGTTGAAGTGGTCGAAGACAGTGAGACGAATGAGGACGCGACAATAGAAGAGAAAGAAGATAATAGCGCAGAAGAGCAGACAGAAGAAAACCAGGAGCAAAGCGACGGAGACAGCAATGAGGAAGCATCTGCTGAAGACCAAACAGCCGAAAAAGGTAAAGGAAGTTGGATAAAATATAAGATACATTTAGAGTAAATAGCGATAGTGTTGTAAAGAATTTTTGATATATAATTATATTTATACTGAAGTCATCATAGGATTATTGAAGCTAATGTCAGTGATGGTTCATGTCGGCATATGGGTAAGGCCTATGCTTTGCAATGGACTCTGAATTACAGAAGTGATAATGTTAATTTTGTTACTTATAAATAATTAAAAGACTTTTTGAGTAATGCAATCAAGTTTTTCTCACCAAGGTTTCATAGTTCACTTTTACAGAGAAGGTTCTTAAATAGAAAATAACGTTAGCAAATTTTGTTAATTCAATAGGTACTTATTTTGATAATCATATAAAAAAATAGTATCTATATAATATAATATAATACAATAATTATTAGCAACGATCTATGAAGTTACTAAAAGTAATAAAGTATGAAATATTTGTATGATAGAAAAATTTGGCACTATTTTAACAGAATTTCACTATATAATTTTATATTTGTACATATGGATGAAGTAGTGGCATGTAAAAAGATTGAAAAAAGTAAGTAAAGGAAAAAATCCTTTTGAATTACTGAAGTAAATTTATAGATTCATTTTAATATTATAAATTTATTTAAATTAACTACTTTAAGAAACGCAAAAGTTCTATAATTTTTTTTATTAATTAATTAAGTTGAAATCTGATCAAAGCCTATCTTTTTGTGTATTTAATTTTTTTCATTTTTGTGTATTTCTGAGTAATTATCCGATGAGGATTACTTATCACTATGCTGACGTATTATGTATATGTGTATGTATATTTATGTATATTTGTATGTTTATATAAATGTGTATATATGTATGTATATGTATGTGTAAGTATATGTGTATGTTTACATAAATTACGTAAAATACATAAACCCTTTATGTATTTTACGTAATTTATAATGTGTAGTTTGTATTATTCTTTGTGTATCTTATAAGTTTATACAATGTATGCAGATCGTATGACTGCCTATTTTTATTTTTTAAAATAACATACAGTTTACATGAAAAGGTTTGCTGGAAGAAATCTCTTATTAGAGATAAGCTCGCCTTTGTACATTATGTTTCAAATGAATTGTGGTCATTATATTTTGTGTACAATAAAGAATAAAGAATAACATTACCATATCATTTACATAACCAGATAAAGGATTTGGATTATTTTATTTGAATTATAGTGAGTCACAAAAATGTTGTTATTTTTAGATAGAAAAATATTTATATTTACGATTTGTTGTAGATACTGGAGATGAGTCAGAAGAAAAAGACGATGCCAAAGTTGATGAGGTAAATAACGATGACGAAACAACGGAAGATGACAATAATGACAGCAAGGAAATAGATGGAACGGAAAATAAAGAAGATGAAGCCGAAGATGAAAAATCTGCAACTGAAGCAAGTTCAGATGAAGCTGGTGACACATCAAAAGAAACTACAGATAATGATGAATCAAAAGAAAAATCAGAAGAGGTAGAGGATGGATCTCAAGAAAAGGCTGAATCAGAAGAGAAAGATGAAAGTAAAAGTGAAGGTGATAATGATTCTAAAGAAGCACAAGATGAAAAATCAAACGAAGAAGAAGCAGAAAGTGTTGCGGAATCTGCAGAAGTAGACGAAGATTCTAAAGAAAAAGATGAAGAATCAGTCGAAGAGACTGCTGTTACTGCAGAAGCAGACAATCAATCTGAAGAAGATACGAAGGAACAAAATGATGAAGAGAGCCAAGAAAAAGATTCAGAAGATAATAATGTAGAGGGCATTGATTCAAAGCCAGACGCTTCTGAGTCAAGCGATGAAGTTACCGAATCTGAAGCGACTGAAACAAAATCGGCTGTTAGTGGTAATGAAGAATCAGAAGAAACCGAGCAAAATGTTGAAGATGAAGCAGCATCTAATGAAGAAGGAACGCCTGAGGAAGACTTAATGAAAGTATGAAAATCTTTATTTATATCTCGTATTACTTTTAAATATATATTTAATTATAAATATTTTTTCAGACTGGAGAAATTCCCGAAAATTTAAGATCACGTGACCATATAAATCAAATTCTAAGGTTAGATGAAGAAGCAAGCGAAGGAGAAATAACTATAGAAAGATCAGCAGACATAGTTCTCAGGGATCTAAAGAGAGTATATGAGAATTCTATTAAACCTTTAGAAACAGTTTATAAATACAGAGATTTAAGTAATAGACATTTTGGTGATCCCGAAATCTTTTCCAAGCCCTTAGTCCTTTTTATGGGACCATGGAGTGGTGGTAAATCTAGTATCGTTAATTATTTGACAGGACTAGAGTTTACAGAGTGGTCCCTAAGAACTGGTGAGTTTTATTAATTATGTATTTTAGTATGTTAGAATAATGATATAAAATTAATATAAATAGGTAATGGTGAATTCACTAATGTTTATTGAAAGGTGCTGAGCCATCACCAGCGTATTTCAATATTCTGATGTATGGTAAGGACCCAGAAGTTTTGGATGGTACGCAACTTGCAGCTGATTGGACTTTTTCTGGGCTTCAGAAATTTGGTCAAGGACTTGAAGAACGTTTAAGAGGTCTAAAGCATCCAAGTAAAATATTAGAAAAGGTAAACCAAGAACTGATCTTTTGTGATGTGGTCTTAAGATAATATAATATAAATAACATTTTTTATTTAAATTTTAGGTTAACATTGTAGAAATACCCGGAATTTTGGAAGTTCGAAAACAAGTATCCCGTGTCTTTCCTTTTAACGATGCATGTCAATGGTTTATTGATCGCGCTGATATTATTTTTCTTGTTTACGATCCATCAAAATTGGATGTTGGTCCCGAAACTGAAGCCATCCTCGACCAACTTAAGGGCAGGGAATCTCAGGTGAATAATGTATATTTATTTTATTAGAATTCCTTCTTGAGTGAGGGTGTCATATTCTGGTTTTAAGTGTATCTAGGCCAATTTTGATATACACGAAAGCCTTGACTTACCGGATAGTGGTTTTACGTAACCTTTACAGCATAAGCAAAAGAGAATAATTTTTAAATGATTATGAATTAAAAAAAAAGGTTTAGTTTAGATTACGTTGGAATATGATCCTAGGATTGCCATTAAACATTGTCCTAGTGGTTGTCCATCTGTCGATATTCTATTTAATATTACTTACATACGAATAAATGTGATTAATAGTGAAAAAGATTAAATATTTATTTTTTACAGACTCGTATCGTATTAAATAAAGCAGACATAGTGAAACCTGAAGAGCTGATGCGTGTGCAGAGTGCACTAATTTGGAACATTTCACCGTTAATGAGCTCTGCACAGCCACCAGTAATGTATACAGTGTCATTGTGGTCGATACCATACGAATCTAGCGCACCAACGCGGCTGCTGCAGGCCCAAGAACGGGAACTACTTCGAGATTTACGTCAAGCAATTGACAAGCGAATTGAGAATAAGATCGCCAGCGCAAGAAGATTTGCGGTGTGTTGATATGTTTTTCATTTTGTGTTGTGTGTTTATATTTAGCGTCAAGTGGGCCGTCAGATCCCTATAGAGATGCCTCTAATAAGTTGTTTAGGTGATCGTCGTACCGTCATATCTGCAATTATTCCTGATCAAAATTTATCATATGAGAAACACAGTGATAAGTTAGGTACTAATTGCATTAGTATAAACGTGTAATGGTGGGGTTTACCCGATAGTTTAAAATCAGGCAATAGATTATTTCTTGTTAATAGCCTTAAAATTACAGTAACAAAACTACACCTAATTTAAATAATTGTGTTGTTCTAATTGTTTCAGGTTCGCGTTAGAAATCACGCGAAGATGGTTGACTGTTATTTGACAACTTATTATAACCATAAAACGATCTTCGGCAATAAGAAACTTATTGCCGATGCTATTATTGAGAATCCCCAGAATTATCACATTTATGAGGGACTCAGCACTCTCACAAATATTTCAAGGTACATGATTCTTATTTTATTAAATTTCAATACAAATGAGTTGTAGATTAGTAATTTACTGCCCTGACATCACAAACTCGAATCTGGACGACACCAAAAACTTTATATTTCTAACTAATTTTTCGGTTGTGAATAGCATCATTATCAAATCTAATTAGTTCGAGAGACGAGGAGATACTCGTCCTTTGTCATGGTGGAATCAAATGTGATCAGCGAAATATAGGACATGTCGACTGCTAATAAACAACACACAACAACTGATTAATATTTCTGACTACACCATATCGGCAATGCCTTCCTTTATAGATTTTGTTTTATTCAGTAGCGGTAAACATTGTTCGCGTTACAGGTATGACCTGCCAGATCCCGAAACGTATCGGGACTTTTTCCGGCTCAATCCGCTGTACGACTTCCAACAGCTGTCGGCGACGTGCACATACTTCCGAGGCTGTCCTATCACGCGGCTTGACGTCGCCATCGCTTATGACCTGCCTGAACTTGTGGGCAAGTACAAGAAGATGGTGGAGACCGCCACACCTCAGGGCATGCCCAAAAGTTGATGCCCTCGCGAACGAACGAAACCCGCGTCACACTTAACACTCGCTTTTTAATTTTAGTGAATTGGATTGGACGTAATTATTTTGGGCACATTATGCATTTCTTATCTAATCGGGCGTCGAAATAATTATTCTTTTTTTTTTACATCGCATTTCTGTTTTTATTTATATAATTTATAATTATTTTGCTTAAATACTCGCTTATTCCTCTTTTTTGCGATGAATGATGTGTGGCATTCGTATGAGTACTACTTATGTGATTTTCTTCATGCGTTTATAAATGACGCTGAGGATAGTATATAAAATACAAGACAACTTCCAATTTCCTAATTAACACTGTCTTTTTATACAGGTCTCAAACGTAAGATTAAATTAATCTAGTCATTAATGTAAAGTTTGTTAGTGAAAAGGTTGTTATTCATTGAGGTGAGTTCCTTCAACATTAGGACTAATATAATTTATTATGCGGTCTCTGCCTTATTTCTTTGTTAGTTACCAAATAAGACACAACGTGACTATTTAAGTAAAAATAAAAACAAAAATGAATTAGTTTTTTATTTTCCCTACTTCAACAACCCATTAACGTTACAACTTTAGCAAAAGTCTTTGTTAATATGATAAACAAATTTCTAATTAGTATCAAGATGTCCAAGCGACTTGATGGGGAGTTCTACTTGGAGATTTCGTACTTTAAGAGTACGAATAAAAACACGAAATTGAGCCCGATAATTTGGAATTACATTTCATGGAAAAACCACTGAACTCTTACTGTGATACTAATGTATCTTGAGGATTTCTTATAAAACAAACAATAACTATTGTGAAATAATTGTCTTTTGTCATTACATTGCAAAATGGGTATTTATCGAAGAAAAGTGAATTAAATCAATTTACGATTAGGAAGCAATAATGATCATATATTTGACAATTAGCAATCGTTCGCGAAGTATTTACATTTGACAATTATTCTCTTTGAAAGAAAGTGGGATCGATTCTGAGGCATTATTGCTTACCTATGTATGAGGTTTGTCCGGAAAGTACGTATAAAAGTTTTTTAAAAAATTTATTTTACAATTATTCAGGTAAATCAATTTTATCCCCTTCAAAGTACTCCCCCTGTGACATAATGCACTTGTGCCAACGCCGTTTCCACTGTGAGAAGGCTCCTTGAAAGTCCTCTGGTTGTAGGTTTCTCAGCTGCCCCGTCGTAGCTTTTTTTATCTCATTTATGTCCCCCAAATGCCGCCCCCGAAGTACCAATTTGGTTTTTGGGAACAAGAAGAAGTCACACGGGGCCAAATCCGGCGAATAGGGGGGTGTTCGGTCACCGTAATGGAATTTTTACTCAAAAACTCACGGACAACAAGAGAGGTGTGGGCAGGGGCATTGTCGTGGTGAAGAATCCAACGCCCCTCTCGCGCCAATTCTGGACGAACTCGTGCCACACGAGCTTTGAGGCGTCTGAGCACATCGACGTAGAATTTTCCATCAACTGTCTGGCCTGGAGGGACGAATTCTTGATGGACAATCCCCCGAATTTCGAAAAAAACAATCAACATTGTCTTAACATTTGAGCGGGATTTTCTTGATTTTTTTGTTCGTGGTTCCCCGGATGTCTTCCACTCTTTGCTTTGGGATTTTACTGTTCTGAGATCGGCAAAAATTTCACGGCCATTCTTGCCGAGTTTCGAGAGAAACTTGATTACGACGCGCTGCTCTTCAACGGAAGCGGGCTCCATGCCGACGGGGTTTCGTTAAGAGGTAACTTCACAGATGGCGTGACAAGCCAGTTCGCACCGCACGGCGGTCAGACCAGAACTGAAGCATTGTTAGGGACATAAGGAAGGGGTCCTGCGCTTACCTGGCCTCCCCACTCCTCTTTCTCGCATTCCAGAACACTTTTATACGAACTTTCCGGACAGACCTCGTACACAATTAAAATTTCAGTTTGTTATTACAGCAAAATCTTTATTGTAAGAACCAATATTAATTAATTTTTCTAATAGATGTCTATCAAAATTATTATAATTATAATTTATGATCCATAAAACAGTAATTTTGCCAAATTATTAAATTAAAATATTAGGTTAAGAGATAGATTTATAAGAATAGCCCTTCAAAATTGGCCATAGTATCTGGGTACTATGTTTGGTCTATGCTATTTGTTCAGTTGGACGATTATGTAACTGAGAGCCTACTATGAAATGTTTTCCGAAATTTCGGAGCCAAACGAAACAAAAATTTGATGTTAAAATTACATAATACATGTCGTTTGGAAATATTAAAAATGTTAAAATATTGTTCCTTTGGACTTTTATGATAGGATGTATGACGAACGAAATGTTACACTCCATTTATTGGTCCGTTTTTGGTATAAACAAAAACACGAATTTGAGTCCGAAATTTCGGAATTTCATTTCATGGTAGACTGGCGTAGAATCTTAATCTATGTTGTCTGCGGACGCTGACGGTTGCATTCTGTGTCGTGCCACATAAACTAAGAACATGAATTGAAATCTTTGCACATGAACAAAAAAGTGACACATCTTTAGAAATAGTCTTTCTAATCTGTACACAACTAGTTTAATGACTGTCACTTTTGACAGTTACTTAATAATAAAATAAAATTACATTTTTCTTAAAGAAAAGAATTATATTTCATTGCTCTAATAAATTAAAATTTAAATCTATATTCTTTTCATAATTTCTACGTTGTCAGCACAGTAAGGAATGCACACAGATTTGTCACCACATTTGCATACAGATGAATGCAATGTTTTGATTAAAAAGTTAATGGATTGTCATACAGAGGTAAGGTTATAAATTGCATAATAGCTCGAATAAAATAAAACCGTTAAGTACCTAATTAAAATTGACAAAGCTGTTTTTAAACTTGTTTTACATTAAAAATCAAGGAACTATAATATGAGCATGGATAATAAAATTACTAACTTCTACAATAAACATTTATTCTAATATTTGCCATATTTAATGGATTTTTTTTTTATTCCAGCATCCATTTATAAAATTTACGGGTTATTGCAATGATTATGACCGAGAAATGAGAAAGTGTTTGAAAGCTGAAAGACTCAGACGACAAAAAAGCAATTTAGATGAGTCTCGCAAGCGTCACGCTTTAATAAAAGAAAGAATATTAGCACAGGAAAGAGCATCACATTGACATTCAGTATACATACTTACCTGGAATTTATAATATTTTTATGATTACAGTTTCCAATTTTTTTTCGCCAGTATGGAGTTTACAATATTAGATTCAATACCAGACTTAACAAATTTCAAATCTTTCACAGATAGATATTTTAGCAAAAGGTACATATTGAATGTGGATAGAATTAAAAATAATGATATAATGCTAATGTTCCATTCAAACAGAATAACTCTTCTCTCTTTAGCTCCAAGTCATTTCTTCTTTAAAAAGAATGATAATTATAAAATAAATTTTGTAATTGGTAAAATTGATAGACTAAGTAATTCTGTGAAAGGTAAAGGCAAAAAAGGTGGACAATTGCTAACAGCAAAGTCTGTGATTTGTAAAATAGAATACAATGATGGCGAAAGCTTTGATGTACCTTCATGTATGAAAGGAACTTTAATTGAAGTGAATGAAGAGCTAGTGAAACATCCGAAACTGTTAAAGGAAATGCCTGATTCCAATGGTTTTATAGCTATAATTTTATCCAGTATTGCTATTTCTGAAGCAACAAAAAGTGAGTTATTATCTCATGAGGATTATCTTAAAATTATGACAAATGAAAGTAGTAATAATGAAAAATAAAATTTGTAATTGAATTTGTATATTAATTTTCTTATCTACCAGTCCAATACTATTATCATCATTTCAGCCATTATCTGTCCACTACTGGATATAGGCCTCACCCATAGACTGCCATAAGGAATGGTCCTGAGTAGAGAATACAATTCCAGGATTTCGAATGACAAAGGCAATGGGTCGTTACATATGCAGCTATAATAATTATAAATATATATATATATATATTGTATAAATTAAAATAAATAATTAAAAATAATTTTTGAATGGCCACAGATGCAAAAAATAAAATTATCATATTAAATTAATTGTAATACAAGATTTTAATCTTATTTCAACCTTTTACACAAAACATTTATATTACTCGTAATATAGGTGAAGTTTTGGGCAGGTTTTTTTTCCTTATGGCAAGGCAGGGCAGAAGGTTGATGACAATTTTTGTATCTATGGTTATTAAAAAAATATTTTTAATTATTTGTTTCAATTCCATCTAGTGAGAGTTATCCTATACTATGAGGGATTGCCACTCAAGAATTTTTATTCCCCAATAGTTGTCGGTTCTTCGAGTTATGTGACCAGCCCATTGCCACTTTAGCTTGCTTAACCTTTGATCTATATCGGTCACTTTCGTTCTTTTGCGGATATTCTCGTTTCGAATTCTATTATGCAAAGAAACAACGAGCATAGTCATCTCTAATAACCGAGTTATCCTCTAATGGATAAGAGGGCACAGTGGATCTTATGGTAACGATGCCGCAGACGAACTAGCTAGAAGAGATTTAGGAACGAGGGTGGTAGGTATTCATTCCTTCCTCTTACGTTCTCGCAATTTCGAATATGAATTCGTCAAAGATTCGCTGACATACAAAACCAAAGATGGATACAGGCTACTGATTGCAATCATAATTGGCCGTGCCTACGTTGAATTATTGACTATCCAAATGTTTATTACATCTATCCAGATGTAATAAACGTCGAGGAAAAACAATAATAACGGGCCATTGTCCATTAAACAAACATTTATACACCATAGGAGTCACAGACAGCCCTCTATGTCGAGGCTGTTTCGACGCCAAAGAAACGGCTTTTCACGTAATCCTGGAATGTGAAGCTGTGGCCCATCAATGTTTAGAAATCCTCGGAACGGTGAGGTCGCTCCGTGAGGCCTGTGAAGATCCCAGGAAGCTTCTGTGCTTCTGGGCGGAGCTGGGTTGGCTGTACTAGCCATGACTCATACGCACAACGGCCCAAATGAGAGGCTAAGCGCGGAAAAGAGAGCCCAATTTACATTACATTACATAGTCCTCTCCATAGCCCGCTGAGTAATTTGAAGCTCTTGCATACGGATGGGCAATCATGTAGAACCATGTTTTGGTTCCATAAGTTATTAGTTTTTTCTTTAATCAATGCATGTTGCCTACATGCATTGGTTAAAGACCTTCGTCTTCAAACTTTGAAGTATTTTGGATGAAAAGATGTGGCGTAGTTTTTCCAACACTGCCCAGCCGAGTGAGATTCATCGGTTGACCACTCGGTCGAAGGTTTATTTTTTTAGTGGATGATAATAGAATGGTAACCCCGCCTTCGCTAATGGCATATACTAGTGGGGCTCCAGTGAGAGATGATAGATGAGAATGAAAAGGTAGATCAGTTAGCCTATCGTGAAGAATTTACCTGGAATTCAGCACGATGATTTCCAGGGGATCACGTGGCAGTCGACCTGACAAGGTATATTGCTAGCAATGGGATTGTTAGTCCGCATTATTAACAATCCCTTCCCCTTTACTCGGTCGAAGTCGGACAAGTTTTCCCAGGTAAATGTAAATTTTTCACAATGGGCCAACTAGCCTAATATCATCCCCAATTATTATTCTTCACTGGTACTCCATTAATGTAAACTAATAACGGAATTGGGATTGCCATTCCATTTTACCCATTTAAGTTATTATAATCTTCTATTGATATACCATGAGCAGAGGTAGATGTAATATTTCATCATTAGTTATCTATAAGAAAACTAATATCGGATTTAAAATCTTTGTTACTAATTCCGGCTAACTTTCTTTAAAAAATAAACACCGTTAACTTTAGCTAATTTAACAGACACGTCGGTCGCCACCTGTAATAAAATTTGACTAAGGCGAGCATTTTACTTACTATCGATTTACTATTACGGCAATATCTAGTACTAATATCTCTTTGAAATTACAGTCATAAACATATTTTATTTTTAAATAAAGTTTCCGTAAAAGGTTTCTTTGTCTGATTATATTGTGATGGAGACGATGTAAAAATATTATTTTTAACTGACCCTTTAAACTGATGTAATCTGTAATGAGACGTTGTAACAATATTTACAATGCAATATCACTAATTATCAACAAATACGACCTAATGACCCGTACAACTGATAAATCAATTGTTTATTCAGTTACTCTCTTTGCAGCTAAAGTGAACATCGTTACTGATCAAAATGTGTTCAAAAAGTTTAAACGGGGTTTTTCTAGCCAAGAAAATATTTAATTCGAAATATATAACGCTAACCGCATTTAATTTCCGTCCATACAGTGCTAGTGCTAAACAACCATTGCAAACTCCATTATATGACTTACATCAAAAATATGGTGGAAAATTAGTTGATTTTGCTGGATTTTTGTTGCCAGTACAGTATTCAGACCTGAGTGTATCAGCTTCACATTTATTTACTAGAAAAAGTGCATCTATTTTTGACGTATCACACATGCTTCAAACAAATGTTCGTGGTAAAGACTGTATAGCGTGGTTTGAATCCATATGTCCTGTTGATTTGAAGGGTATGGCAGATGGGTCTAGTTCGCTAACAGTATTTTTGAATGATAAAGGAGGAATTATTGATGATTTGATCGTTACTAAAATAAATAACGAATCTTTATACATAGTTTCTAATGCCGGGCGTTTGGAAGTTGACAAGCAGCATATGAGAGAAACTTCGGAATCGTTCAAACAACAGGGCAAGGATGTGAATATAAATTTTTGGGACGTAAGTCAAAGAGCTCTAATCGCTGTACAAGGACCAAAGTCCATTTTTGCATTGCAATCACTTACTGATATTCCACTAAAAGACCTGACATTTATGACTTCTCGTATAGGCTCTGTTGCTGGGGTCGAATGCAGAGTTACTAGATGTGGTTACACGGGCGAAGATGGCGTAGAGATTTCTATACCAGCTGATAAAGCGTTCACTGTTACTGAAGCTTTGCTACAATCTGAAGACGTTAAACTTGCAGGATTAGGGGCGAGAGATTCACTTCGTTTAGAGGCAGGTTTATGCTTATATGGAAATGATATTGATGAAAGCGTAACTCCAGTAGAAGCCAATTTGACTTGGCTGATTCCAAAACCTAGAAGAAAAGAAGCCAATTTTCCAGGAGCAGACATCATATTACGTCAAATAAAAGACGGTGTCAGTAAGAGAAGAGTTGGCATTAGAATGGAAACTGGTGCACCAGCAAGAAAAGACGCAATACTAAAAAACGCGGAAAGTCTAGAGGTGGTTGGTAAAGTGACAAGTGGATGTCCTAGTCCGTACCTCGGCGGCAATGTTGCTATGGGTTATGTTAGTGAAACATTTAAAAAGATTGGCACTAAATTACTGGTTAATATAAGAGGGAAAGATGTTCCGTGTGTTGTGGCCAAAATGCCGTTTGTTCCATCTAATTATTATACAAAAAAATAAAAGTAATTTTCTATAAATAGTGTGTTTATTTAATTTCTAACAGGAAACACAAAATAGCGACAGCCCGATTATTCTATGGCCTATAATTAATTAAACTATAAAATTATGAAAATTAGTTAACATTATATAACAATAATTTGAGCAAGAAAATAATTGACATGTACCTGATACACTAAAACACAGACAATGGAATTAAAAGGAATGTACAAATGTGATTTGAACTTTTGTCATTTATTTAATACTGGTAATTTGTTAGACTATCACAGGTATTTTTATGTAGCATGGAATAGTCTTCTAAAAACGTACTTACTTTACTAATCAATGTAGATACTTATTATAATATAGTAAAATTATTGTACTGTAATCATTGGGGCAATAATGATAAAAAAATATTATGTCATTACTTATATCTAACAAATGCAACACTTTTCCTTTAAAGTATATATATATAATATAGATTGAAAATTTGAAAAATGTTTAAGTACTGCTGCTTGGCCCCTTTTAATCGTTAAAAATAAATATACAAGTCAAAATTACATTAAGCCTTGTGAGGTGGCTGATTGCCCTCCATGAGGACGGGACGGAAATCTTCAGACACAACGCGATGACGACTGGTCGCGTCACTGGTTGTTCAAATTCGGTGCATCTTTAAATCTAGACTGGGCGAGTCGAGCGAAGTCTTCGTTTAGTTTATTCATTTTATCAGTAAACTGTAAATTTTAAATATCATATCAATAAAACATTTGTTTATATTTACACACTTATAATACTTAATTATTAATTAATTCTACTTACATCAAATTGTTGTGATTGTGGATGTTTCCCTTTACTTCTTTCTTCTTGTATCCTACAATTCACATGATAATTTATTTGGTTTTGTAATTTCAAAAATATCTTTCTATATTCATCTTGTATCCGATTTATTTCATTGTTGACATGGGCATCTTTCTTTGATACATAATCCTGGAAAAAAATTAATCATACTTTATAAATATTATTACAATATCATAATGCATAGAATAAGACAAGATTTACTGAGGATAAACATATTTCTGATAATTGAAAAATATCTACAGTGATAATGACATTATGATTGACAAGTAATGATAAGATTATTTCACATACCTTATATGTAAATACAGTTTTCTTAGCATTTTTGTACTTATCTTGTAACATTAAATGTTCTCTTTGTAATTTTTCATATTTCTCATCTAGTTGTGTTTGTTTTGCTTGTAGGTCTGCCAATTTCGTTTTCATGGCATGTCGCTCTTTTGTGCACGATTCCCTTTCATTCTTCAGCACATCTTCTAGTGAGCCAAATCGCGTCGCTCGTTCTTTATATCTTTCCGCTTTCAGTCTCCACTCCACAACATTGTCTTTAGCTTTTTGACATTCCATTTGTAACTCATTATGTTCTTTTATTAGTACTGATATTTCGTTTTCCTTAGATTCGAGTATTTGCGATACCTTGGCTCGTTCCGTAAGTATGAACTCCTTTAACGTCTCCACTTCTTGAGCTTTGCGTTCTAGGAGTTCCTTTAGTTTCGATATTGTGTTGAGATGTTCATTTTCCAATTCCTTGATCCGTCTTGCGCAGTTCATTTCCATTGTTTTCATTTCTAAGGTGAACTTTTCAGCAATTTGGTCCCTTATTACTTTCTCTCTCATCATTAAAGTAGTCTGTAATATATGGACAATTTAAATCACAAATAATTATGGTTTAAAGAATATTCTTTAAGATATTTATTCATATAAAAAATTACGTGCAAACAAGTCTATTTGAATAAAGATAATTTGAATATATACACAACAACTTTAATTAGCGATGCAATGTCACGGATTAACGACCTACTTAAATAGTTAAATCTTTATTAACAACTAACTTTAAAACGAGGTATACGACCTAATTTAAAATTTTATAAGATAAGACGTCTCTTTAATAATTTAAATGTGAGCGGATCATTCAAGATGATCATTATTTACAACCTATAAATAAATAATTTACTCAAGTACGGAATCAAATGTACACACTATGTCACCGCATAATGAATATAAGATTATACGGACCTTAGCAGCAAGTCCACCATCGTCGTCACGGTCGTCACGGTTATCACGGTCGTCATGGTCATCACGGTCGACACGATCACTACAGGCTGTGGGGACGGGGGGCTGTGGTCCATCTGTATTGGTGGCCACGCTGCGCTGCTCAACCAATTTACGAAATCGGTCAACAATGTACTGTTGGAAGAATTCCGCTTTGCCTTTTAGCTCCCGCATCAATTCCTCATTACTCTCCTGAGATGCTGCCAAAAATATTTTGGTTAACATATTCTATAGTAAGGAAGAACTCAAAAAGGGAAAGTTGCAATTTATGTTGAGCAAGCATCAGTTCCTTTTTATCAACATTTTAGGTATGGTCTCCACACAAGAAAATGTCCAGTTGGAAAGCTCTTTCGATGTGCTGACAAAATTTAGTAGGTATTTACATAATTAGATGTTATCTTGGACTTCCATATAACTGGTTATTTGAATAGAATAATTTTGTTTAATTTCGCTACCATTAATATGCGTGTGACTGCCAATACTTGATTAGACTAGATTGACCACCACTATTATTACCAGAAGTTCTACAATCTAATATATTAGCTATCAATTTCCTATTGCTATGACACATGATGGCACGTATCGCAAACGTGCGTGAACAAAATGGCAGTTGGAGATTAATTGCTAAATAGAAGGTTATGGAACTTCTGATAGTAATAATAGTAGTGGTCAATCTTCGAGTGTCGGCAGACATAATAATCAAAGCGGAATTAAACAAAGTAATGCTAATCAAATAAATAAATATAGTAGGGTTGCCGCAAGAGAAATTTTATTAAAATTCAAATATACCTTAATTTTTTACGTCTTAGTATATGTCTATGTATACATTTAAGGACTCCACATGAATAAAAGCAGATTATTTAATTCAGAATGACTTAATTTTTTTGAATTTGATTCTATACTTCAATGTAACTTACCTAATTTAATACTACATTTGCTAAGTTGGTCATCTAGGTACCGAATTTGTTTTATATGTTTTTCACATTGTGCACATGGCTCCATTTCTTTTCGCATAGCACTTTTCTCATCTGAAAGCATATATTACGTTATAAAGCACAGTTCTGCTTAGATTTACCTTAAGCTGGGACTTGATGCAATTTCAGATGGAACTTATTTGATGGCCCCTAAAATATGAATTGCATTTTTTTATACCACTAAGGTGGCACTAAAACATACATACTCGTACATAACATTCGTATGTTTATTATCTAATTACAGTTGGCAAAAAAGTAAAAAAAGTAAATATATCGACACAAAGTTCAAAACATGAAATAATTTTAGCATTAGTTGGAATGATATTTATAAAATACAGATTTTTGCGATTATGCACGTGTGCATATGTATATAAAGTACAATATTCTATTTAATTCGAATCCATTAAAAAAAATTGAGGATTAAAATATGAGGGACTTTAATAAGGGACATAGAAGTTTGAATATTAATTTTAAAAATTTTTGTATATCTGTTTGTTCGGGCATACTCAAAAAAACTGCGTCAAAATTGATGCAGTTATCAAAGTCTAACCTTATATTTAGTCTATGTTTTATCACGATATGTTATCTAGAAGTAGTCTCTTCCATTGGTTTTCCTACTTTTAAATATACGTATAAAAAAACTAAATTATATTATTTGTTTTGTCTATTTTTAAGCTAAAATAGTGTTGTACCTGCAAGATACTTGTTAAGTCTATCAGTGAATTCTTTTTGTTTATCAGTGAACTCTTTTTGTAATTCAGATATTCTTTTGTTAGCTTTGTCTAGTTCTTCCTTGGAATTGTTGAGATCAGATAATAGTTTTCCTGCTTGCTGTTTCTCTTTCTCTATTCTTTCAATGTATTCTTTCTCTTGCGATTTGAAATACTCTTTTTCTTTTTGTATTTTTGTTTGTATATCTTTTAATTCTCTAGTCGCAGCATCCCGGGTACTGCATGCCTGTAATGAAAAGCAGAAATTGTTTTGATATATGCCAGTCCAGAAATTCGCTTTCAGAGGGGATTGTTAAAAATAGAGACTAAAAACACCTTTGCTAACAATATACCCAACCAGGTCGACTTCCATATGGTCCCCCCTGGAAACCAACGTGCTGAATTTCAAGTGTATTTATCACGATGGGCTAACTGACCTGCTTTTTCATTCTTACCTATCATCCCCACTGGTGCCCCGCCAGTGTATACCGTTAGCGCAGGCAGAATCACCATTCCATCATCACCCATTAAAAAAAGTGCTGCAGGCATCCACAGGCGACAGTGACCGTTTGCCATCAGATGGCTCGGCTCTATGCTTGTGTGCCACTATCGTTGTTTAAAAAAAAAATCATGGATGCTTTTACAGGTTACTTTCACTTGCATTTATTCATCTGCAGCAGCTGCAAAGTGAGTTTTTGTTAGCTAAATTACCTGCAGATACAAATTCTTAAGTTCTCCATTCTCTTTGAGGGTTTCTTTAAGCTGCGCACTGTAGCGTTCCAATTCACGTAGCAAGTCCGCGTTCGCTTCTTGCACTATTGACGCGCGGCTCCCTTTCTCCGATTTCAGTTTATCATATTCCATTTCAAGTTCTGTATATTTCAGATCTAGCTGTGGAAAAGAAAATATAATAAACAAATTGTAATAGGTGGGATGGAAACTTGCACGAAATTGATATAGTTCAGGTCTACATATACATTAAATTGCATGATTTAATAGGTACAATATGCAGACTATTTACTTTTTTTAATTCTGCCCTACTCTCTTCCAGTTCTGTTTGTAGCCGCTCATTCTGTTGTTTGTAATTTTCAAGAAGCTCACTATCCGAATTGCTTCCCAACAATTCGAGTTTGTTCTGAAGTACAGCGACATGTGAGTTCAGCTGCATTTCGATACCTTTATGTTCTTCTATCTTAGACCGCAACTCCGATTCTTGTTTACGGTGCTGTTCTAGTTTCTTGTCTCTATAATAATAATAAAATGTTTATCGATTTTATTACATATCTAAAACTTACATACAATCGATACCGTATGTCTTATAGGGATAATTTGAAAGAAAATACATTTAACAAAAACGCCAATTCATCTCCAGCCATTATAGATAGATTTACTATAATTTATCCCAATTTTATTCATATATTTTTTTCATTACATCATCAGCGCTATATAAGACTTATATCTGATATTTGTAACAAAAGTTGTAATAAGATGTGTACTTAGAAAATATAAAACTAAAAAAGTTAATGTTACCTCTTTACAATTTCCTCTTGTAGTGTAGAGAACTTTTGTAGTTGTAATTTGTATCGACTCAGAATTTCTTTCAGTGTTGCTAACCTCCCTGGTGAAGGAGGGTCTCCTACGGTAAAATTTTGTTTACATTTGTCAAGTGATCAATAAATACAATGGCTGAGACCAACACAATAAATGTGCCTCAAATATTATGTCATATAAACAAATCAATAAATAAATATAAACATACCTAAATAATTACCATCAGGTAAGGATTCAGAAAGTATCTGATTGAGCGTTGAACGGTAATTATCATGTTCCTTCTGGTTAGCAGCTAATTTATTTCGACATAGTACCAATTCATGAGCTGTTACTTCTAGTTTAGACTAAAAAAAGAGATATGTTATATTGAGATATATTTAAAATAAATTAAATAACTTGTATGACATTCAAAAGGGAGTGAGTTGTATGTAAAACAACCTATGTGTGTATTTTCTGTAACCAGTGTGTTTGTTGGATACAAATTATGCGAGTACATCTGCATGTATCTATTATTGCTAATAAAGACTATTTATGCTTTGTTCTCTCTGTTTAATATGAAGAACTCGAGAAAAATAGAGTATCACATACCCCTAGTTCCTTGACTTGTTCCCTAGCAGTGTTCCTCTCACCGGTGAGTTGTGATACCCTTTCCTTGAGCCGCGCCGTCTCTCCGCTGACAAGTCTACTCTGCGCTGCTTCCAGCTCACCCGCTAGACGGTTTATAGTAGCTCCTTTTTCAATCAATATCTCTTCTTTTTCTCTATCTCTTTCCATACAGCGCCGTTCTAGAGTTTTTATTTCTTTTTCCTTTCAGATACAAATGGAATACAAGATAGAAATCATTATATTAATATTATTATAAGAATCAATTTAGATCAGGTTAAAATTAAAAAAATAGAGAACTTAAAACTAGAAATGTGGAATATGTTACATAAATCTAAAGTTCACATATTTAAATTTCAGTATGGTTTTTAAGGCATCCAAAAAGTATTGGCTATTACGATTATGAAGTAAAATATATAGAATTCCCAATTTACGCGTTTTAGCTGGTGGAATTTAAAAACCAGTTATGAGTTGAGTTTAAAAACATTTAATAATATATCAATACCTCAAGTTATGATCGGTAGATACTTACTTTTTCTTCAAGTCTGTTTTTGGCTTTTATCAGATCATTTTGTAATCTGTCCATTTCCTCTCTATGTCTGAAATAATGCAAAAAACCTATGTAAATATGAAGTTTATACTAATATGTTTGTAATAGATAAAACCAAAAACTATTCAACCAATCTTATAAATTCTTTCACCTACGGAAAGCTATGTTATCAGAGAGTAACATAGGCTGTATATTATTTTCGAAAATTCTATCTACTTGTTCGAAATTGGGCTGGATCATTAGCATATTATAAAATAGCTATATCTCTTGGCTTTGGCCATGTAAATAAGTAAATAAAGTATCGTATATGCTAAGTTACATAAGCTAAGGACATAACTTATCCATGTACCAAATTTCTTACAAATTCATTAAGTAGTTTTCGTATGAAGGAGTAAAAAATATCCATTAATCTATCTTTACAAACTTTCACATTTAGAATAATAGAATTGAGTGTATTTATTATAAGTTACATACCTGTCTTGCTGTTCTCTGAAGAGTGCATCTGTGTCGTGGGAATGAGCGACCTGTAATTATTATAATTAATTGCCACTATAATTACTAACTGTGTTGTAGTTGACAGTCGAGCCACATGCTTATACTACAAACATTCTATAGGAAATAAGGACTTAATTTTTTGAAGAATTAGGCAGCAAAAAAACTGTATTTAACAGTAAATGGGAATTATTACTGTAATATTGATGTTTTTTTTTTTTTTTAATATTTATTGATTGGAGAAATAGATCATTGGAAGCGCTATATCTAAACAATTTCATTCAATAACACAATAATGGTAAGCAAATTAAATATAATTTGCTCTTTTTTTAGTTTTACTGCAATATACAACTTCAATTTACCTGCATGGTATGTAATTTCTGTTGGACATCTTGTAGGCTAATATTAGCTGACCTTAACTCCATTTTAAGCTGTTCTTTCTCTTGATCACTCTCCACTAATTTTGCTGCGAGGGAATTTACTTGCTGTTCCAGCTCAATCAACTTATGCTTGCTAGATGCTGCAATTTTAAACAAGTGACAAATTTATATAATTGTTTTTTCTAACACAGGGGGCAAATGAGCATGCGGCTCACCTGATGGTAAGTGACTACCGCCGCCCATGATCACCTGTAACACAGTGGCATTGCAGGTGTGCTGCCTGTAATTTACTAGCTGACTCAGCAAATTTTGTTTTGCTTTCTACTAGGCCCATTTGATCTAATCGGGACAAAAGTATTCTATTTGAGGGTTTGTGTAAACATACACATTTATAAAGTCTATTTAAATTCATTAATTCCATTGAGCAGTTTCAGATAATCTCTGATGAACAAACATTGTGATACACAATATGTATATATTAAGTTTTGTATATGTTTATTGTGTCCTTATTGATATGACAGTTATATAGTTTTTATTAATGATTTTACCAAGCAGGTGATGTGCTTCTTGCAGCGACAACTCAACCTTGTCTCGATCACTAACAGCGGCTGCAAGTCTAGCTCGCAGGCTGTCAATCTCATTGTCTAACTTTTCAATTTGACTTGCTAATTGCTGGCATTCCTTCACGCGCATCTGTTTGTTAGGATTAAAAAATGTTAATGTTAGTGACTTATGAAAAAATTAAGAATATAGGTAATAAACTTACTATTAACAAACAGAAAAAAGATAATGATTAGTTACAATTATGAGTACAATATAATAATATCTATATTAAAAGTGAATGTACAAAAGCATATAAATAAATATATAAATGCTATTCATGTATGTCATTCATGATAGCACATTACATATTAGTTTAGACAACACATACAAATTACCAAAAAATACAAACTTTAAAAATGTATTGTTTTATGTATTGTTCTATGGTTATATACTAGCAGGTAGTATAGCGACACTTTATCAAATACAATAACTTTCCAACCAACTTCAAAAGAAGGCTCATAGTTCAACCATTTTTTTTATGTTTGTTACTTAAACTACATCAGTTGGAGACCATTTTGAAATTGAAAAAGGATTACTTACAGATTAATCTGTAAGCATATCCTTTTAGAAAAATTCCAACAAAATTTTATCATAATCAGTTAAGTAGCTTAGTTTTAAATCAAAATAGTGGTTTTACCATAACTGCAGTCAGTTTTTTTGCAGAACACAATTTAACTATTATTATTTTATTGCTTATATATTTTACAATGTACAATTAGTATTAATGGTAGCAGAATTAAACTAAATAATTCCAATCAAATACTAATCTTATTTTTTTAGTACCTCATACCTCATACATAACTTTTAGCTGTTCACTATTCAAATAGTCATGTCTTGCTTCAACATTATTCACACCATTAAGATGACCTGCAAGGAATGACAAAATTTATAAAATTATAAATTCTACTAAGTTTTAATAGTTTCTTTAATGCAATTAATCAGAAAAATGTTTTATTAAACACATTTATTTGGACTCAGGGTTCCATTCATAGTACCACAAACTTAGAGATAAAAGAAATGAAACTATTTTTATTAGAGTAATACTAGATTGATCTGGCTGTTTAAGGTGTTTATCATTGAACATTAAAAATGTGAACAAAACAAAATGTCTTGATAATATATAAATAAGTATTTTCTTTAAATTACCTCTAATATCATGTTGAAAGTAATAGTTTTGTCCATCACCAGCTCCATATGGACTAAATGGGAGCTTTAGAGGGTCTTCTTGATGTCTTATTTGAGCCATATGGTTCTTTGGAGTTTCACAATATAATTTTGGAGAGTCTGGTGTGTGTTGCTCTTTTAGATGGTTCAGAGATTCAATATAGGTAGGAAGCATGCCTGTTCTGGTTTGCTGTGCAGCTTAGAAAATAACAAATAAAATATATTTATTAAAAAATATGCATTAAAGCATGTACGGGGTTCTAATAAGAGGAAACCAATCACAGGGTGTTTTGTTAAAGCTGTTTAAATACGCTTACATAACTGTCTGCTCAGATTATGGTACCTAAATCAATTTTCAACATATTGCATCTGAAAATGGTGCATCTCTACAGCATGAATTTTATAAATTACATTTATATGTAGAGAAATTAACTTTATAAGCTATATATAAAACACGCATCCAATATCGGGGCTTCATTGAGCCGGTAAGCGTTTTCATACCTCTATAAATATATTTAATAACATTTAATAAAATTTTAATACATAAATACTTACTACCATTAGTTTGACCTGCATCCATAGTAAAATTTGCGCTACTATTTACCGAACTCCCTTCATCGTCATCTAAAAGATCATCAAATGCGTTAGCCAACTTATGTTTGAGCTGAAATATAAACACAAAATATTATAGGTTAAAAACATTAAACAAAGTAAATTATTTTTATGAAGAAACATATCAATATAACTAGGCGAACAAGTACCTCTTCATTTCGTCGTTTCTGATCTTCTAGTTCTTCCTGTTCTTCTAAACGGTCTTGGGCACTGTTATTTACGTGTATACTTGGAGCACCTTGAAACAGACTCATTCCTGGGCCCTCCATATTTCAATACTTTCTGGTAAATATTTATATTTAAATATATGTAATATTTCAATTGAATTAAAAAATTAGTTTAAGTTATAAATTTCTAATCAAGTTGATTTCAAGTTTTTCAAATAAAAACAAAATTATAATCTCAACAAACAGAAAAAGAGCCACAGATTAGAGAGACCAATGACATGTCGAACGTCAAAATACAAAATCGGTAGTTGTCTAATAAAATCGTATATTTGGAACAAAAATCTGTTAGACTTTATAACACAAAAACCTATGTAAATGAAACTATGGTTACCTTTCTGTTACTGGGTAGTTACAATAGATGTCAAAATGTTATCTAAATAAAATTGCCTATTTTTTTCTTTGGAAAATGCGTATTCTTATTTTTTCCTAAATATCTTTATAATAAATAACACGGATTGTATTTATTATAAAGAAATCGGTATATGTAAAAAAAAATACTGATGAATCAAATCTCGTTTATTTTAAACTTCATTAATTATTATTTCACAATATAGTTATTAAAACAACAGACGTATAATAATTAAGCAGACAAAGCATAAGTTGAAAGCATGAGTAAGATATTCCTTTTTTGCTTGTTTCTACAGTAAAATAAAGTAAGTAGGTACTATCTTTTTCTGTTGTGTGCAGATTGAACATTTCACCGTCTTGTTAATATCAATAATATATAATTTTTTTGATCATACATGAATTATAGAAATATTAAAAAAAAATATATGCTTTGCCGAAGTATGTATGTATTTGAAAATAATTTTTAGATAATTCCATGTAAACATTATATTGTTGTATAGGTGTTGTTGAAAAAAGGTGTAAAATTATTGTTTTTCTGATTTACAATAAGTATATCATTTTGACGTTTCAAGTACTTTTCCAAGAAGGGCCGAATTTAGTTCTACGAGACTGAATTGTATATAACGATGATAACTATAAAAAAATATTATTATTCTTGTAAATTTACTAAAAAGGAATAATTATTTAGTATCTGAGTATCCAATAAGATAAAAAAAAATTGGGAACCAAGCAAAACATACCATGTGTTTTGTTTTTAAAAAGGGTGTTCATATTGAACTTTAGCAAAGTTTATAATAATAGTGGAAACTGTAAAGCAAAGAATATATTGTAATAAAGATCTTGTTAAGTATTTTTTTATTATATCAGCCGTTAATTATCCACTGAAAAATATAAGTCTTCCCCATAAGGAGAATTTTGCCAGTAGTAGCCACGCTTGGCAGGCGGGTTGACAACTATAGTTAGGCTTTTAAAGATATTTTAAGAGGAACGCTGCTGCCTATTCCTCATCCTTGTTAACTATATATTTAAATTAATATAAATTTGTGGTTACAGATGAAAAAAAAAAAACAAAACTTCTGTCGGGGAATAGACGCAAAGAAAAAGAACTGCAATTGTCAAATGAGTAAAATATATAAACTGCAAAATATTAAATCGCAACCATCCACGTGACAAGCGAAATCTGTTAATAAAGATACAGTTGTTCAAGATTAACTTTATTAAAGCAGAAAATTTTGCATTATCATACTTGATAATGCAAAACACATTACATTCACAATTGATATCGATATTCGGACAAATTCTTTTCATAAAATAGTGATACAAATAATAATAATAATAATCTATTTGCTTAAACACAGTATAATCATAGGTGTTACATTGATTAAACATAACATTCATGTTTAGCTAACAGTATGATACCATGCAATTTTTTAAGATATTCAATAACAATTTTTTTTTATATAAGAAATTTATGAATTTTTAATTACTTTACATTATTTTTATTTATTTTATTATAATTTAGATTGTGTGATGGGTTCGTTGTATACAACAATAGAATTCTAAAATAGATAGTACTGAAAAAGAAAATGTATTACAATTTTCCTAGTACAATAATAATAATATCTTAAAATGACGTTACCTATTAACGAAATATTAAATGACAGAAACAATTATTCTATTTTTAAAGGTAAAATAAAATAAAACTTCAACAAGCTACATAGATTCATTATCCATTTTCGTCGTTATAGGGAGTGTCGTCTCTGATAACATGGTCACTTGTTCTATCTTATGTAGTCGTTTCTTGTTTAATTCATTTTATATATCTATAATAATCTTAACTTATTAATAATGGAAATTCGACCAATTACTCACGTTCTATTTGATATGGATGGTTTGATATTAAGTAAGTGGGGTTTACATTTTTATACTTCTTTTTTATACTTTTAAGCTTCTTTAGAGGTTAGGCAAATATTCCGATATCTATCCTTAGTAACATCAGAGGCTTCCAGTCTATCCTTATCTACTTTGCTTTGTATCTCAATCGCCCCTGAGGGTATCAACTGACCTATCTTAATTTTATATGTATATTTAGTAGAATTTATCATGCAATGCCCTTTCCGGAGCCTCTATTTCTGGTGATTGTTTAATGGTTTTCCGGTTAGTGGGTATCTCAGCTTGGTTTTTTATTATTTCTATTAATCCTTAACAATAATGGTGGGCTATTAATATTCCTCAGTACATGTATTTTTGGGGATACCTTTATTAATTTAATAAAGGTATCCATAAGGTAGTATAAGGCTAAAGTCTAAATTTCTTTTGTGTTAAAAATTATTAGAATGTTTATTACAGTTTTGAAATAATTATTATGAGTTATTATATCAGTTTGTCTTTATATTAACAATTTATTACTTGAACTACCAAGTTACTAAAATATAGTTATTAGATAATTTTTTATTTGTCATAAGAAGTATCTATGTTATGCTTACATTTTTTATAAAAGTGTTTTATTAAAATACTATTACTGTTTATATACTATTGTTGTCTTAATATTTTTTTTTTTTCTTAAAAAAAAAGCCTCATAATTTTCGGTCAGTGGGTACCTTTAGGCAAGGTTGTTAGCATTGGGAAATATATATATATATATATATATATATATATATATATATAGGAAAATTTTGGATTTTTTTTAAGTCACAATAGCCTTACTTTTATAGGCCCATCTGATAGAACTCCCCCATGAGTGTAGATGTGGAAGTTAAAAAAGGTAATTGTTGTCAAGGGTTAAGTCATGAAAATGATTTGAAACAAAGTCAAAATCCATTAGTTTTTAAGTAGATTTCTAGGACGAACGATTTTATTGTTGACCTATGTTGTTATATAGCAATCTACAAATATCATAAGTTTTTTTTTTTTTTAAATAAAAAACTCCATTTCATTTTTAGTAAGTGATGGCCAGTCATTATTTATCTTGTTTTCAATAAGTATATGTTATTTTATTTACAGATACAGAAGATTTATATACTGTAGCGTTTCAGAATGTTGTATCACAATATGGAAAAGAATATACATTTGAACTGAAGTTAAAATTAATGGGTAGTCAAAGTCACGAGACTGCAGAAATTGTTGTGTCTAACCTCGATTTACCAATCACTCCAGAAGAATTTATGAAACAAACTGAAAAACAGTTTGAATTGTTGTTTCCAGATACTAAATTAATGCCAGGTACTTTTTGATTATGTGTATGTATATACTTTTTTTCAAATGTAAGAATTATTATATAACAAAACATGAGTTTATAACAAGTTTCAAAACTATATTTTTCAATTATTCAGGCATAAGTCACTAAAGGATTGCCAGCAGTTGGCAAATTTTAAATTTTTAAATCTAGGTTATCAGCACAGTATAAATAATAGTACTACAATACAATATGAACACACTCCCTGTCGCCCACTACGATCTCATTCCCTTCCAAATGCGCATCAGCATACAAACTGTATTTTTGTGCACTAGTTGCAACTACACACACACATTGTTACATGTACGAGGTCTGTCCGGAAAGTTCGTATAAAAGTGTTCTGGAATGCGAGAAAGAGGAGTGGGGAGGCCAGGTAAGCGCAGGACCCCTTCCTTATGTCCCTAACAATGCTTCAGTTCTGGTCTGACCGCCGTGCGGTGCGAACTGGCTTGTCACGCCATCTGTGAAGTTACCTCTTAACGAAACCCCGTCGGCATGGAGCCCGCTTCCGTTGAAGAGCAGCGCGTCGTAATCAAGTTTCTCTCGAAACTCGGCAAGAATGGCCGTGAAAGCAAAGAGTGGAAGACATCCGGGGAACCACGAACAAAAAAATCAAGAAAATCCCGCTCAAATGTCAAGACAATGTTGATTGTTTTTTTCGATGTTCGGGGGATTGTCCATCAAGAATTCGTCCCTCCAGGCCAGACAGTTGATGGAAAATTCTACGTCGATGTGCTCAGACGCCTCAAAGCTCGGCACGAGTTCGTCCAGGATTGGCGCGAGAGGGGCGTTGGATTCTTCACCACGACAATGCCCCTGCCCACACCTCTCTTGTTGTCCGTGAGTTTTTGAGTAAAAATTCCATTACGGTGACCGAACACCCCCCCTATTCGCCGGATTTGGCCCCGTGTGACTTCTTCTTGTTCCCAAAAACCAAATTGGTACTTCGGGGGCGGCATTTGGGGGACATAAATGAGATAAAAAAAGCTACGACGGGGCAGCTGAGAAACCTACAACCAGAGGACTTTCAAGGAGCCTTCTCACAGTGGAAACGGCGTTGGCACAAGTGCATTATGTCACAGGGGGAGTACTTTGAAGGGGATAAAATTGATTTACCTGAATAATTGTAAAATAAAATTTTTAAAAAACTTTTATACGTACTTTCCGGACAAACCTCGTATAAAAGTTAATTGTTTCTGTAGTTGTGACAAACAGGGATCGTGGCGTTTTTGTATGAAGTGTCTGGGATGTGCTATCAGTTTCAGATCTATTTTGTAGTAGGAAAGGAATACATAATTACCTACATTTATTTAATTAAAAATTGTCTCTTCTTGGCATAAATAGAAACAAACTTCACCTTGATAGCTCAGTATTATCTTTTCCCTGAGGTTTTGCTAAGGTATAGCTTACTGTTTGAATTCATAATGTGTAATTTTCTGTATATTTAAGATAAATTTGCAAGCATTGAGCACTTCCTAAGCAGCTTAATTGACACTATTTAATTTTTTTTCAGGGGTTAAAAGACTTATTGAACATTTACATAAAAACAATGTTCCAATTGGATTAGCAACAAGTTCTAGTTTAAAGAGTTATGAACTAAAGGTGAATAAACATCATAAAGAATTATTTTCTCTGTTTCCATACAAAACTATGGGCTCTTCAGATCCTGAAGTTAAAAGAGGAAAACCCCATCCTGACATATTTCTTGTAGCTGCTTCAAGGTTTCCTGATAAACCAAAACCTGAACAGGTAATAAAGTTTTTACTACTCACAAAGAATATGACTGGAATATTACAAATATACAGAAAAAAATATATATTTGTTCAGCTCTTCTCAAATAACGTCTATAGACAATACAAAAACAACATTAATATCTTTATTTATATGCATAACTAGCTATTGCCTGCAATTTCATATATGTATGATTATTGGAAGTAGGGAAACTGATGAATGCCAAACTAAAATTAGATTTTTAGTTTTACCTACTTTATTACCCAAATAACTGAGAAAATCGTATCTAATTTGATGCAGTTTAATGTGATGCCAGAACAGAGATACAGACAAAAATTCTAAATATTATTTATTGTTTGCGAAGATTCATAGGAAAATAGGAAAACAAGCAATAGTCAGTAGCAATATCTTAGAAAGTAAGACAATAAAACATAGAAATAACAGAAGTGTCAGATTTTGGAAATAAAAGGAATAAAATTTAAATTATTAAAAATAAAATATAAAAGAATGGGAACTGTTGTGCACATTATTATTTTGGCTTCTGCTACTCTTATTACCTTTATATAAAATTTTCTTAAATATCTCCTATATCTAGTTGCAATTTTATGATATATATTATAGATATATACTAATTTATTTGTGAACATTTTTCTCACAGTGTTTAGTATTTGAAGATGCACCAAATGGAGTGAAGGCAGCTCGTGCAGCAGGAATGCAAGTTGTACTAGTCCCTGATCCTAGAGTTGACAAGAGTTTGACTACAGAAGCCACACTTGTGCTAAAGAGTTTAGAGGATTTTAAACCTGAGGTTTTTGGTTTACCACCATTTGATAAGTAATTCCAGTGTAGTTAATAATTATTTTAATTAAGGATGTTTTGTTCATGACATATATTTTATGAAATTATAATTGTCTATACTTAGTAAATCAGTGATTTCTAATATTTTTTAAACTACTGTATACTTAAACATGATTTCAAGGTCTTTTAGGCTATAATAAATATAATTACTGCCAATTTGAAGACTCCAGTCTATGTATATAGTAATATATAATGTATTCAGGTTCATATGTTTATTCCATACGCTAGGGAACACAGTTATTCCTGTGGAGTTTTCTATAGCCGCGCGACTAAAGAAATGATTACGAGTTGTGGATTTAATCATGTACATAACTAGATGTTAAATGCTGCGCGAGGTTCGTGGCATGTCGTCTCTGTTGTTTTATTTATGGAAGATTATCCTTTCGGATAGCCACTGATCCCTATAGATAAGTGGGAAACGAATCCATAGATAGAATTGTTTCGGTTGCATGAGAAACACATTTGAATGAACAAGACACCCAACATCGCTAACACATGGATTCGCAAGTAGTTCCATCGACGGAATTGTTTGCCACTTGCTTAGAGGTTCTGTAAACAGATTGTTTTCTCAAAATAAAAATTATAGAACTGATTTTCACAATTATTTTAGCAAACTATAGAATTCATATCCATGTTGATACCATTTTTAAATTTGTGACGATTGAAGTTTCTGCTTTCTATGTGGAGCCAAAAACTATTCGTTACAAAGTAAAATTTGTATGTATAATATATATTTACCCGTGATATTTATAGGATATCTATTAAACATGTTGTTTATCGATGCGTTTACTATTAAAGCCGCTTTTTTCCGAGGCATTTTATATTTGTGCATAATTTATATTATTTTGCCTTGCACTGTACAAGATTGGCCAAAAGAAAAAGTAACTGTAGTCTCTATCCCCGCACAATTGTTTTGTTCATAATAAATTATTCTCCTTGAGTAGGTATTTGTTTTTTTTTTAGTCGAATATCCATTTATTACAATAATTCCGCAAAAAAAGAAGGACAAAATTAGTATGGAAATAATAAGGTAAATTCTATAGACTGCAAAATGCATAATTATAATCGTGCAAAGTTATTAGTTTATCTTTATTGCATTTAATAGTGTTAAAATTTTAATGCTATATTTTAGTATATATTATTATTGTATTCTTGATATTATTGTAATACAATGCTTTTTATAGAAGAGCTTAAGAAGCAGAAATAGTCTTTATATTTTATTAGCATTACCATATTACTTAAAATATTATGTACCTAAATATAATGTTATATATAAAGAGTGATCGAATTTCTGACATAAATGAGATATTATATTAATTAGAAGCTTGAAAAGCATATTCTATCATAATTATTTTTAACTTATACAACATGGTACTTAGTATCTTTATAATTGTATTAGTTTAATTTTATTTTATTGACTTTTGTAAATGTGTCATACTTTATCAATCCTACTTTAGTTATAATTCCATGAAATTTAAGAAAAATACATACTATAATAAGCTGTTGTTGTTACTCAGCCAGTTACATAAATTTGCAGATAAGATAAAAGATCACATGTGTTTTCAAGCAATTCTTCCATAGTTTATAAAGCACTGAGGCTGAGTAACGGTAACCAACAGTGTACATATTTTAGTGCAAAAATAAACACAACTGTGATATATTTTATGATAAAAATGACTTTTAAGCCTGTTACCCACGTGTTGTTTGATATGGATGGATTGTTACTAAGTAAGTGATGTTAATTTCCTTATGTATTTGTTTTATGAGTGCACATGCAAAGCACGAGCAATAAAAATATATTAAAATGAAAATATGTTTTATTATATATCAATTAATAAAATCGTAACTGATTAGTGTCTGTAGAAAGAAAGAAGTCTTATAAAGTATATATATATATATATATATATATATATATATATATATATATATATATATATATATATATATATATATATAAACTATTATAGCTTGAGCTAAAAAAACTATTATAGGGGAGCTTTATGAATGCAATACAACCTAATATAATGATTTTTAGAATTTTTGTCTGTATGCTTGTGCACGCTAACTCAGAAATGGCTTAACCGATTTGATCGCGGTTTTCACTAATGTAATGCGGTTTACTTCACTTAACATTTAGTGTTTGTTTTATTTCAATCGGTTCATAAATACAAAAAAAAAATATATCAATCTAAAGAATCACATATAAAATGCTATAAAATAACTGATCAATTAAATTGGCTTAAATTTTATAAAGGTATTGGGTACGTAATTATCATTAAGATATATAACACAATATAAGACCGGATTCATGAAGAGTTTTAATAGGAATGATATATGGGAACTAAATAGAAGCGGGCAATTTATAATTTAATTTTTATAATATATAGTTACTCTCTGAATAATAATTCTAGAGGACGAACGGGTTAATTATATTATGTAGTTATTATCTCTGTTAATATAAAGCATGGGTATTCAGCTTATAAATTGTATTTAGGAGAGATAACGAGCATAGGTACTTATTGCAAAATACGGCGTTGTTCTTAAAACAGATATAGCTCTCATATGGGATATGTAAGCACCTACATAATATGATTTTTGTTTTCCAGACACAGAAGATTTATACACTATAGGTTTTCAGAAAATCGCATCTCGTTACGGAAAAGAATTTACGTTTTCCCTAAAAAATAAAATCATGGGTCAACAAAGTAAGGAGTTCGCTCGTATTATTATAAATGAACTTGACTTGCCGCTTACACCTGATGAATTTTTGACAGAGACAAGAAAATTTTTTAATGATTTGTTCCCACAGTGTAGAATAATGCCTGGTAAGATATATATATATATATATATATATATAGTCTGTTTGCTTACACTTGATATATTTAGTAAACAATCTTGGAATATCTTTTTTATAAATTGTAAGTTATTATCAACTTATAGAAATTGATCGTTTAAAAATATAACTAACAAAAACTAATAAAATTATCAAATATGTCAAACAAATATACAAAAAAAAAATAAAATAAAAAATAAAAATTGGCGCTAATTCTCAAATGCCACTAAGTTTCATTTGACCATTGATCAATTTGAAGTCCTTTGGTACCAAACAATGAATCTCGGAAAATTTTACCTACCATCATGACTCGAATTCATACTCTTCGGTTATCCGCATTACAATTCTAATTACTATAAAGAAAAGTTTATGGTAAATCGAATGTGGTGACTGTAAGAATATAAAGTAACGCCATTACTTCTTTTATTCTCAATAATTCAATAATCATCCTTTTTGTACAGCAATAGTAGCAAAGAAACAACGTCTGACGTTTCAGCGGTTCCTGTAGCCTCGTATGCCTGCTACACCAACTACTTTAAACAAGTAGCGAATGAATCCATCGATAGATATGTTATCGCTATCATGTGCAAACAACAACGCCCGGCACCTTATTCTTTCGGTTTACCTAGTCTTTAGAGAATATTTCAGCAGAAATGTCATTCTACAAACAGAGCATTTTGGTTTTTAATAGATGAAAATGGAATGGTAGCCCCGTCTGTGCTATCCGTTTATGCTGACGGGTCAATTAGCCAATTGTGATAAACTCTATAAGAATTAACCACGATAGTTTCCAAGGGGAACGCGTGAAGGTCGACCTTGTAGGGCAGGGGTTCTCAAACTTATTTTGTCTACTTTTTACTTTTAAAATAAATTATTTTTTAGCGCCTCCATTTTTTCACCTACTTAAAAACCATTATTACTTCAAGATTAACAAATCACCCCCCAAGCCTCTACACAACGCCCCGATTTTTTTTCTGTGTCTCTTACCGCCCCCCTTTAGGCCTGCAGCGCCCACAAGGGGGCGTTATCGCCCATTTTGGGAAAGGCTGTTGTAGGGTATATTATCGAAATGGAAGTTCAAGATTGGCATCTACCTATTGCTGAAATACGAGTATACATGATACGTGGCGTAAGTAGAGGTGAACGCACGCAGTATAGAGATGAACTATATATTTTTCATTTAAAATTCGTGATTTTATTATTAGGTGACATATCTATCTGGGTAGCGATCTATCTGGGTAGGTTAATTTACACTAAGTTAATCACAAAGCATGATCAGTCAACAATCTATGTGTTTTCACGTTTGCAGGTGTTGAGAAGCTTATATATCACCTGCATAAAAATAATATACCGATGGGCTTAGCAACAAGCAGTAGTATAGAAAGTTACGAGTTAAAAGCATGTCAGCATCGGAAATTGTTCGATTTACTCCCATACAAGACATGGGGCACGTCAGATCCGCAAGTAAAAAACGGTAAACCCAGTCCGGATATATTTTTCGTAGCCGCAGCTAAGTTTCCAGACAAACCTGCTACTGAAAAGGTAAGAATAGTTACCTGATTGTTTAAAATAAATAATACTTATTTATAGTTAAGGATCCATCAATCGCTCCTCTCTTCCGACTTGAACTACCCTCTGCACGCTTATGGTAAACTTGTAAAGGTCATCTAAGGCCAAAAGGAGAAGAGTAATGCGAACACTAAGAAACACAGTCGAAATTTTAACGCACAATATTAAAAGAAGTTTTATTTTTAAATAACATTTTTAGACAATTCTTTTAAAAAGAGATCACGGATGCATGTGGTTATTTATGTAAAATATGTTTCAAAATATGTTACAATGACGTTGTATATTTTTATACAGTGCTTGGTGTTTGAAGATTCGATTAATGGAGTAAAGGCTGCACGTGCGGCTGGTATGCAAGTTGTGATGGTACCAGATCCACGTTTAGACCGATCTCTTGCTACTGAGGCGACAATTATATTGAACAGTATGGAAGATTTTCAGCCAGAATTATTTGGACTACCACCGTTTGAAAATAATAACATATAACACATCGCTAATAGAGAATCTTCATGTAAAACAATATATGTATATATCTATCTATAGTTATGTTTTATACATTATTATTTTTATATAATTAAATAATTTATAATTACTAATAATAAATAAATATCCACAATTATTTATGATTAGATATTTTCTAACTACTAATTGCAAAATATTATAGTAGTATTATTAAAATATAAAAAGGATTATTAATATTACAAATATGAAAGTGTGTTTGTTTTCTTGTATCATATTTCTTGGCCCTTTTACGGAGTATTTAAGACACAAAAGCAAAATTATATCCTGTTTAATCACCATATCGTAGTCACACGGTTGCAGGCAAATAATTTATCCTATGACTAATTCAATAAATTTGTGTTTCAAAAATTTCGCGTGTGAAACTCGTATCCTTTATGATATGTTGGGTTCAAATTTCCAATCGCACAATGAGTATTAGTATATGGTTCTCACATTTTAATAATATTTCTAAAATTATTTATCTACTATATATTTAAGTTTTGATCTTGTAAAAAAGTTTAAAATTAAATATTGTGTTTGTAAAAAAATCTTTTATTATACTTTTATCAACATTACTATTTATTATATAGCATGTGTATAGGTAAGTACAATTTTATTGACTAGATGTGAATTGAATAACATTAAACATATATAGGTACAGATTGTGGAAATTAGATTTTTTATAGAATAAAAATTTATTCAATTAGGTATTAAATTGATTTTACTTAAATATTCAATTTAATTAGAACTTTTTAGAAATTAGGATATTCTTTTGTTTAATTTGTACTTACACTATTGAACAACCTTTATTACACTACACTAACAATGGATACAACTACACATACAATACTAAAATATTAACAATTGTCCTTAAGTTATTAAGATAAAATACAAAAATAAATATTTACTACTGATAAAGATCACAACAAATTATAATAAGATTATTATTTTTGAAAATATGTAATGATTGTTACAACTACGCTACTACCTTTATAAGGCAAAAATAAATGTGTATTACAATACTATTGTACCATTATATGGTAAAAGAATATCTAAATAACATCAATACAAATTCTCTACACTATCTACAATTCATGTATTATTCTTACTCATTAATCATATGCAGGAAGGCCAAAAAGTTGGGGTTCAAAATCTTCTAATGACTTAAGGACCACAGTAGCATCCTGCAGCAGTGTAGAGTCTATTCGAGGGTCAGGAACTACTACCACCTGCATATTGGCTGCACATGCTGCTTTTACACCATTTACAGCATCTTCAAACACAAGGCACTGAAAATAAAAATATATTAAACAAATATAAGATTAAAACAATACTTTTTATTGCCTTTTTTAATAAGTAATGTTTATTAAAAGTATTTATATTTTAAATATAGATTATAATTAACAGTAATAATAATAATAAAAATAAACTATTTAGAGAAAACAAATTCATTTAATAAGACTTTTAAAGAAAAAAACATCAGTAACACAGTATGGTGATAGTAACAGTAAGATAAACAGTAGTTGTGGTATATTAACTACTTCTAAACTTGAATTATTAGGTCTCATAAAAGCTATCATTATAAGACAGCACAGATTATTATATTACTTTGGAATAGCATATAATAATATAAAAAAGTAAATTGGTATTTCCAAAATAAAGTTTAAATTTATTAATAAAAACCATAAAATTACATACATTTTCTGGTTTTGGTTTATCAGGAAACCTGGATGCACACACTAAAAATATTGCTGGATCAGGCTTTCCTTTTGTAACTTCTGGATCAGAACTGCCCATAGTGAGATGGTGGAAAAGGTTCAATAAATACTTATGATTTTGCATTTTCATATCAACACTATCTTTGCTAGAGCTAGTGGCCAGTGCTATTGGTACTCCTTTTTTGTGTAAATGTTCCACTAGCTTTCTTGCTCCTATGGAGAAATAATTTTTTTTTGAAATCTCATGAATTTTTTTAATTGAAATCAGCTGATTAAAATAGGGTTAAAACTCATTTTTTTAAAATAAAACATTGCACACGAGAAATTGCATACTAATGGTCATAAGGTTAAAAGTTTACCTGGCATAAGTTGCACTTTGGGGAACAGTACCTCGTAAATCTTAAAACATTCCTTCATAAACTCCTCTTTAGTAATGGGCAGGTCCAGAGTTTTAACGATTTTTTCGGCGCACTCGTGTCCTTGGAAACCAAGCAAACTGGCCTTTAATTCCCATGTGAATGTTTTGTTATATTTGGCACAAACAGTCGTGAATGCTTCAGTATATAAAGTTTCTGAATCTGTAATTATAAAGTATAAATTATATAACAATTTATGTAATAAAGGATACTTTATGATTAAAATAGTGTCAATTAAAAATAAGTATTACTAAATTTTACCTAATAGTAAGCCATCTAAATCAAATAATACATGAGATACTTTTTTGTATTGCATTGCACTTTGGTTATTATTTTATTTGAACTTGAGAAAGTTACTGAAAAATGATTTTTTGAAATTTTAGCTAGAAAAAATAGGTTAAATTTTAAGTAGAATATTGTGACAATACTAATCTATCATCTGTCATAAACTGCTGTGTTAGACAGTCATCACAGAGAGCTGTCAGTTATCAGAGAATGACATTGACAGTTCAGGTGTTCAGGTGTTCATGGTTGCCAATTCTGAAATTAACTTTATTTTTATTATGCTGATTTTGGAAAAATAAATATTTGAATTCTAAATTCCCAGGAAATGGTTGAAAATCACCTTTAGTTGTCCACACTTTTAGTTTATCCGATTTATTAAAATAAAAATGAAAGCAGAGGCATGGCAATGCTATATCAGCCATCTGATCACGACCGGTGAAACGTGGTCAAAACGTCGAGGAAATTCAAATAAATTATTATAGTTCACTCTTAGATGTGTTTTTCAACCTCTTTCATGACACGACCGCCCTATGTAGTATAGTATGTATGATAGTATGAAAAAATATTTCGCAACTCCAGACCCTTCGCTTTTTTTTCATATATTTTATAATCTTACAAAGATGCTGTAGATTGTTCATACCTATGTTTCTCCAGTGGTGTAAGAATGTTTTTTTTTTATCTATCTTTAGGTACTTCGCACTTTTGTCTGTAAATAAATTGTGTTAAAAAAACTTTGTTTTGTACTCAGGTACAAAAAGATAAATTTTGAGAAATTACGCTAATAGAGTAGAGAATACTGTCTTTCGTGGTTATTTAGAGGTACAGAGGTATAGCATCTCAGTTTAAATATTATTTACTTGAGATATAGGAGTCACATTGTTTTCTATGATGCTCATTATGGGGTAGGCCGTAACCTTCTTTGCTATTCAATAAAAATATGAATTTTTTTTACGGATTTTTACGTAAATAAATAATTATTTTCAATTTCCGATAGTAAATTACAGTAATTAACACTTTATTTTTAACATTGTCAAATAGTCTATTGTATAAAAAATATATGATTATACTAGCGACCCGCCCCGGCTTCGCACGGGTGCAATGCCGTACCGCTATGTCCCTGCATTTTAAATCTGTAATATGTTCGAAAATAATCATTTAAATAACATCCTATAAAGGACCATATTGATCTATATTAAATAGACAATGTAATTGAGGTACTTAATTGGATATAAATTAATGGTGTATTGCTTAAAATCATTTCGTAAATAAGCAATTTTTTCCCGTAAAATGTAAAGTATAAAAATGGTTATTGTGGGTTATTAAAATAGACATACACTATCACGGACTTTTTTGTTAACCTTTTTAAGTTTTACAATACTATAGTACATTATTTTGATTTATCTCGTGGGGTTCAGCCAGCGTTAGCAATGTAAGCGCAAAAACTGTGTTTATTTACATCACATTAGAAACCTCTAAATTTATTAGTGTTTCTCTGCAATATTATGTATGTATTATATATATAAACTTTCCTTTTGAATCACTCTATTAAAAAAAGCGCTTCAAAATCCCTTGTGTAGTTTTAAAGATTTAAGCATACATAGGGACGGACAGACAGCGACAGCGACTTTGTTTTATAATATGTAGTGATGATAAATTATTATAAAAGAATAACAATAATTTTAATCAAAGGTTTGTGTATAATCTGGGTTTATCTTCCGCTACAAAGAAAAAGGATCCATGTATTTTTTCAATCAAATTAAATTTATTCGATAGCAATATTACATTTTGTTGAATATGATAATATTTTAAGAGTATACAACAATTAAACATATGAATAATGTCACATATAAATAAATAAATAATAATTAGTCTGAATTAATATAAATAACATCATTATCCTAGTTTTAAGACCTATCATACTCCTAAGTGTATGTGTAGGAGTAAGTTGAGTCCTTAGTGTGAGCAGGAAGAGCCCCTTTCCATGTGAGAAGGAGATGTTTACCGAAGTTTTACCCCTTTAGAGGTTGTGTTTTCAAAATTTCTTACTTATTGTTCACCTACATTATATAAAGAACCTATATATAAAATTTCAAGATTCTAGATTTAGCGGTTATGGCTATGCTTTGATTCATTGGTCAGTCAGTCAATCAGCATCTTCTTTTATTACAACTAGACGATATCTGTAGATAGCAAATATTTAAGAAAAATATATTCTGTCCGGTCCGTTCTACACTGAATTGAATGCGATTTTTTACTTGCACAGTTATACTTCTAAAGGTCTAACTTAACATCTGTTGTATGTTTTATTTCGATATGTTATCTGGAAGTTGTTTGTTTCATGTGTACGTAGATTTCAAAAGTAGGAAAACCAATCTTACTTTTGAAATTCACGTGGGCGATGTAATAGGCAAAAAACTAGTGTAAAATAAAGGTATACTTTTAGTTTGTATATCTTGTTGTATAACTTTGATTCTCTTGATTGCATATTGATAGAAAAAAATTCATTTAATAAATTTAGCAACATGGAAACAGGCTTTTATAATCAATAATTAAATTTTATTTTATTAATTGTCTAACAAAACTACATTCTTTAAAACAAATCTAACTGTTTAGGTAATAACAGTTAATATAATATTAAATGTGTACATGGTTCGCTAGAGTAAAAACATACACTGAAAAACCTTCCCTTTTTAGAAGTCGCGTAAAAAATAATGGTAAGTCATCATTACAAATACTGACTGAAAAGTCATGAGCTAATTAATTACTAGTCGTTGATAAATATATTATTATCTTTGTCTATAACATTAATTATTTTTATTTCAACGTACATATTGAATAAATAATATTAATGTGATAATTGTGAGTTGACGAGAGTCGTATTGTATCTAATCATGATTTATATTGGTATGATCGGCTTGAAACGATATATCGAAAGATATATTTATTATTTGGTTAACGACTAATTTACTAAACCAAATAAAAACTTATGTATTTACTTATTAAAATATATGTTATCTATATAAAGCTACAATGTCAATAAAGAATTAAAAGTATAGCTTTATATATATAAAAACAAGTCTAGACCATAGACGACAGTAGTATGTCTTTGATGGCCTACCGTCTAGACATAAAGATGACGTCAGTTAATCAATAAACGGTACAATAGATAGTTACATGGGGTGCCATGGTTTGACAAAGAATGGTACTTATCTATAGTTCTAGATTATGTTTTATATATAAAATAGGAATGTATATATACAAATATGTAAAAACGTATATGTTTTTCTAACAATACGAACTTATTGCATCATAGAGATGTTACACAGAATTTTCACGCATTGGTGATTTTAAATGAGTTTCTTCATCTTTTTTGGAAAATTCCTGTTGTATCTAATCTTTATAGAGAAAACTTTGATAGGAAATCTATTCTATAACACAGAATTGAATTTATAATTTCATATTCGATGCATAGAACATAGAATACAAAAAGTAAGTGAAATTGTTTTCAGAGTAATTATGCTTTCTTGATTATTCTGAGTAATATTGCTTCCTGATTGGGCCTTTATATATGGGAGAGAGTATGGTTAGTCGAGACAACTCAGACTCCACTTATGTAGAAGTTTAAAAGATGTTCTAAATTACCACAAGCCTCCGAAAGAGAATTTATTGCCGCAGCCGCCTGATCGATTGAATTGAGATTAATCGAATCCGCAACTATGGAAGGTAAGGTAGTGTTGTGGGTAATGCAATATAAATTTATAATTTATAATTATAAATTATGGTAGTGTGATAATCGCTATATTATCATGGTCGATAAATAAAAAATGATAAAAGGTAGAATAGGAAACAATAATAAATTTGCTTTTATAGTATTTAGATACTGTAGATATAGACATATTGGGCGTGGTGCGCCACACTTATTATTGTAAGGACCCAAAAATAAAACTAAACCCTTATAAGATTATACATGTATCTTGTCTTACTGTATGCAATTATCTCAGATAGCGTATGATATATAACTTGTTTGTCCTATATTAGCCGACATATACCTGCACTTTAATTTATGAAAATTAAATAATTAAGTTTAGAATCTAAAAAAAGTAATAATTTTAATCTAGACCAATTCGCCTAAAAGTTTTAAATGCATAGCAAAGATATGCACCTCTGACATATCAGTCAGTATCGATTCGTTTAGATGACTAATATGATGACGAGTATACAAAGATATTTTTTTATGCTATTTAGAATGGCAAACAAGCTGATGGCCCACCTGATGGAAAATGGTAAGCGTCGCCTATATACATGAGCAGTGCCATGGACATAACAGAGTATACTGTTTCGCCCATAATACCCCCAATTCATTGCCATATCTGAGGACTTAGGTGTTATTCTTTTGTACCCTGTAAATTTACTGCCATATCTCAGCCTTCAAACCGAAACACAGCCATGCAAACACAACTGCTTCACGATAGAAACACGAACGGGACAGAGGTGCCTAAGCAAACGACTAAAAAAAATTTTTAAAGTCGGTCCATAATTGACAATTAAATCGGTGGGCATACATAAAAAATAAAATAACTAGATTATAGACGTGTGAGATTGATTTATATAAGACAGGTATTTATTTTACTTTTGACATTATTATTATGAAATATATGCTAGAGTAAAATATAACATCACTTCTTTTTACTCGTATTTTCAAGATGTTCCAGAGGGAGACTTTGTACAAAGTCGATTGCTTGGGTACATCTGTCCCATTCGTGTTTCAACCGTGAAGCAGTTGTGTTTGCATGTCTGTGTTTCGGTTTGAAGGGTGGGATATGGCGTGAATTTACTGGGTACAGAGGAACAACACCTGAGTCCTCAGGAATGGCAACACATGGGGGGTATCATGTTCGAAACAGTATACTCTGTTATGTCCATGGTACTGCTCATGTCTATAGGCGTCGGTTACCACCTTCCATCAGGTGGGCCGTCAGCTTGTTTGCCATTCTAAGTTGTATAAAAAAAAAGTTTTAAAAGTAGACAGTACAATACATTATAATGATAGAGCAATAAAACCCTTTATTAAGCTTAGGCCAGTGTGGTAATAGAATAATCTCTGGTGAGAAATCTGGGCCCAGTAGTGCACTGATGTGGTTACTGGATGTGGTGTTGGAGCGGATGTTTATATTGTATACTGGTTGTTATATTCGACGTAGAACTGATTCGTTATTACTCCCTCTGCGAATAAGCCCGATATCGTTTAATAGACCTAACACGATTAAAAATATTTTGGGGAACATTGTCACCTTGTCCGATAGAAATTTTATGAAAGCCGAGTCTCATTTGGTATTAAGGGTGGATTTAGTCTAAACGAACGTGATCATATTATTCAGTAAAATGAAAGTAAATCCTCTTTTCCCTCCTAATCTTCCATTTCCAGATTTTTATTTTAATATAAACGTGCTCATTGGCCGTTATTAGGCTATTCTCCTTATTCTATTTTGCTGCTCTTACCTACCATTAGAATTTAACACAGTTCAGAAATAATCTACTATCCTAAAATTTTTTTGTCAATGAAATTCAACTAAGTTTTTAATATAATAGTCGTGAGTAATTATTATTAGAACCAGTTATTTAATACATCTATTATACGTTGATTGTTCCAGTACTTTAAGAGACTAACACGAAGAGCTCAGGATAGATTCGATTCGTTTGTTTGTACTCGAACATTAATTACGTGACAACATAAACTTTGAACTAATAATATTTATTCAAATTGAAATCAAATATGCCCAAAACAAAGCCCGATTAGTTACAACAAGTGAAATTACACACATTATCATCATCTTAGTAATTGTCCATCCACTGTTGAACATAAACTTCCCTCATAAACTACCATAAAAAACAGTCCTGAGCCATCGCATCCACTGAATCCCTGCAAGGCATTTGAGGTCATCACTCCATGTAGTGGAAGGTCGTCCTAGATTATGTTTGCTCGTACAGGGTCGCCACTCAAGAATCTTTCTTCCCCATTGGATATTGGTTCTTCGAGCTATGTGACCAGCGAATTGCCACTTCAGTTTGCTTATTCTTCGGTCTATGTCGGTGACTTTGATTCTTTTACGGATATCTTTATTTCGGATTCTGTCACGTAAAGAAATTCCGAGCATAGCCCTCTCCATAGCTCGCTGAGTAATTAAAAGCTTTTGCATACGGGCAATCTTGTAGAAACATGTTTCGGTTCCATAAGTCATCTGCTAGCAACACGCACTAGTTCAAGACCTTCGTCTTTACACTTTGAGATTTTTTTGTAATATCGCATGCATGCTTACGTGCATACATAAGTCTAATATATTTTGTTCATGCATGCACATATACATTCGTATATCTATATTAATAATAACAAATTGTCTTATGTCTATGGTTACTGTTGTATTATATGATGCTCTACATTTTATTACATAAAACTACCCGTAACTAATATTATCAATGTAGAATTTATTATAGTGCTTCATCTTGTGGTAACACTGTACTGTGCTATTGCTTGTAGTGTGGAAGTGTAACGTTAACAATTTTGAAAAAATATTATTAAAATTAAATAAATTAGAATTATTTAAGACACAAGCGCGACCTAATTTAGATCTCAGTAAGTATTATTTGTTTCATTTAAAATATTGTAGATATAAATATCATAAAATTGAGCTTAAGTTTTTAAGAAAGTTTTTTTGGAGAATAAAGATTATATTATAATAGTGGAATGAGCTCCCATCTTCAGTATTCCCTTTACAGTACAATATGGGGAATTCTAAAATTTCATAGGTGACAGTAGCTGTTTTCTATCAGGTGGTACGTCTGTTTATTTACCTCCCTAACAATAAAAAAAATGCCCCAAATTTGCGGCCTCTAAAATGTTGTCTTAGGTTGCAGCCTTGTCAGTCTATTCATAAATCTACGATTGCAAATAAACTATAATAATAGTTTATACATTTTATATTTCTGTTCTTCGATTATGCGTAGATTTGACATTGTTAAAATAGAACTATTCATAATCTATAATCTAGGTATAATAATAATAGGCATACGGATGTGGCTTTATTTCCCATAAGTTAATCGAACAGCTCATGTGAAAGATATGACGTGGTAACTGTAGTAACTTGTATTGAAAATAATTTATCTACTCCTACCGTCAAAATGTCAATTAAGATTAACACGTAGACAGATGCCATGCTTTTGTTATTACAATTTTTTACGGAATACGGTACCTACATTCTGTTATTGGAATGCTGCTAATGGTAGCTTTATGGCGAACGCCTGTTGGAATGCAATTAGATAAGAAAGTTTTGTGTTAATTATCGAGCATGACTATCTAAGTCATGCTTGTCATCGCTTGTCACAAGTCTTTGCTCGTAGTTAAAAGCTCGGCTCTCATTCCGGGGTGAGCTTGAAGCGATTTTGATGTGAGTATGGCCAACTTACCCCCCTTAATATGCTTACGAGTCTCTTATACGTAAGACCTACCCTAAATATTTAGGTCAATATGGTGGACCTGGTAGAATTTTGTCGTATACTATGGTGTGACTTACCTGTGCTGACGATGTACTAGTGAGGTATGACAGATGAGGATGAAAGCAGGTCAGTTCATTATTATGACGAATTCACTAGTACTTAACCACGATGGATTTCACGTGGAAGTCAACTTGATAGGATAGATTGTTAAGAACGGTACCTTGTTATTAAGAATCTCCTTTCTACTGTCGCCTTATCTATCATATCAACTCAGCAAATGTAACGTTAAAGCCTATCACTACCTAGTATAGAATATGCCTTATATGTTTATCAGTCACGTTTATTGAGATACCTCTCTATCATGATACAGTATAATAGTAACGACCTACGATGACAACAAGTCTGCGTGCCAACCTTGATCCAATTTCATTAATTTTTACATTCAAGCCCTTATCGTTTATTAGGTCAGTTGTACGTCTATTGCGTGGCAGAAAGTCGGACATAGTTAATAGTTATACACGGGCATATGCATTGAGTTCTCAGTGTTCAGTATCCAAGATCCATAGTTATTAATTCTTGGATGTAGAGCGTGAAGCGTTCAGGCAAAGTGAGAAGTAAGTAGCTAGGTATATAGGGGCGGACCGCTTTTAAGAACACTTAGTCGGTAGTACCGAGGCTTGCGCGCTGCTCGGCTCTGCGTCTGATTACGCGCATGGCTCATATCGAGACAGATAAAGAAATTCTTATGTGATGTTAGTAAACAAAAAGTGTATAAATAAAAAGCGTGGCGTTTTTCTTTTGTCAGTCTTACAGTGAACCTTAACTGTTGACAATGTCACTTCTAGCAGTTTTTCTTTTCTCACGTTATATGGAAAACTTATGGGTGAGTTCTAAATAAGATAAATTAAAAATGATACATAGAAATATTAGAAACCAAATACGGCGTAAAATATAGGTTAAATAAAAAGTTAATAAACTCTTAAAGTGTACGATAAGAATTAATGGATTAAGAAGGATTAGCTACCAATACTTGTACGATTAGGTAAATTCATAAAACAAGTTATAATTGACAATAAAAAAATAGTAGGAACATGGGGGCTGTTAAAAATTCAATTGAGTTTTTCTCAGAGCAAAGAAAATATTTTGATTTCAAACACAAACATTGGTCCAGAGCATAAAGTGTAAGAAGTTACGACGGCAAGTGGAAAATATACATTATTCAGACATTTTTCTTGTGAATTATGAAGCGCTACACAGAGCTTGCGTGTTTTGGCGAAGTTGCCTCTAATATCGACTTTTTGTGTCTTTTCTTTTACACATAAATCTTAACTTCTAATTACATAGATTTTAATTAAAGTTTTTGTTATTTTGAATGTGCATCTTGTAATCTAGATTTTATCGAATTACATTTGAGTAAAATTTCATTAGCAAAATAATTAAATATAAAAGTGAAATGAAGTGAAGGATTAGTGATTTTGACTTTTGATACAATACGTATATCAATACAATTTTGTTTTGTATATCTATAACGTTGATTAGATATATACTTTGCAATGGTCGATTACACGTAGGTATATTTTTACAGATAAAATATTAGGAGCAAAATTAGTAACATCTCGGTTTTCCTAGTACAAAATTAGGATTATTCACGTATGCCAGCTTATACATTTTGTTAAAGATATTTATAGATATTACCTTATATTGTTTGAGTAGGTAAAGTAGCCATGTCAATAGTCTACAATTAAGAAAATTTAATTATTCAGTCGTAACTACAGTTACGCTCGAACTGTTTTCTTAAAGTTCACTACATCCTATCCCCCGTGAGTTGATTAACAACTGTTGACCTTTAAAAAAACAGCATATTAAAAAAAAAAAAAACAGGATTAGACTATTTTGTTATTATATTTCATTAAGTCAATTACTTGCAATTAGTAAATAAAACTATGAACGTAACGTTTTAATTAAAGACTATATAGTAGCTTATGATATATATATATATATATATATATATATATATATATATATATATATATCCTAGGTTGGTTTAGAGAAATAGCGTCTAAGAATTAACCCATGGATAATTTAATTAATATTATTAATTTTTAATAATGGTGCATGGTGCATTAATCATTTTACTAAGCATTTTCTTGTTCTATATATCTGCTGTTTTTATTCTAAGATGATTTAATGTTAAGGTATACCTTAACATTTTATTATTACTCTTATATGGTATACTATATAAGAGTAATAATAAAATTAACAATTGTGTAAAATATTAAAACGTAAACTAATTACTTAAACTTAATAATATTTAAAAAAAGTACTTATTGCATTGCTTTTCTATATATGGGAGAAGGAAAATAATAATTTCAGATAGTTTTTGATATTAGTTGATATCCATAATATATGTATAATTAGGTATATATCTAAAAAAATCTTTATCAATTTGTAAAGTAGTGATGCTTTATTTTCAATATTAATTTTTCAATGTTTTAATACAAAAGTTTAGGAACTATATTTTATACATAATATGATTCTACATATAGTGTAAAAGATATAATCTGTGGTATATCTATGTCAAATAGTGGCCAATGTAGTGCTGTGCTATCTGATGGGTGCGCTGGTGAAGCACATGCACTGCGACCACACAGAAGCAGTGCGTGCGCCTACTTGACCGCGACGTTGAATATTCAGTATATTGTTCACTCATTGCGATATATTGATATTCAAACGGTCGCTAACTCCTCCGTGATTCAAGGTTAATTTTTTGCTGCACAATAATTAAGAATAATTGCTAAAGACGTTTAATAGATATCGTAAAAACATTATTACGGCAGAGGTGGGATTTGCAATCATTGAAAAAAAAAAATGAATATATTGCGAAACGTTATCTTATAAGACTAGTATATGTATGGAAATTAGGAATATTTTTGTATGTCTTTATGTGTTGACACAACTGCATAGTAAGCAGTTTCAAATTACCTGCTATAATATAAGGTGTAAGTAAAGGTATGAACTACTTACTTTCATAATGCTTGATTATAGTAAATTATAATTAGGTCGGTATGTACATATTTGATTTCGTAATGCCTGCTCAGTTCACCTGGTTTAAAGCTGAGAATATAAATATGAAACCAAAGGAAAACGGTCTATTTCATGTCGAAATTTCCTTAGACGTTAGTAGTGGTATAGCGGAAAATAATAATACTAGATGTATTATTCTAGCGGAAGTATCTATTTATTGTTATATATATTTGTAAATTGTATTGGTAACACTTTGTTTTTTATATATAAAAATTACAAATATTGTATTTTTTGCGTCTGCATATTACTGACGACAATACTGAGAAATTAGTTACCGAGGCTTTGGGATCAGAAATTGATTGAGTTAGATACTTTAAGAGATGATTATTTCTAGTTCCAAACAATATTTGTGAATCATTATACTGAAATAATTTATATAATCAGTTTTTGAGTTTATCCATACAAGCAAACAATCAAATCTTTCCTCTTTATAATATTAGTATAGCATATTATATTAGTATCTATATATAAGCATATTTTTCTCAGGCAGTATATTTAATTTGTATAGATGTTTTTATATAGGTAACGAAGTACTTTCACTTTAATGAGGCTCTTTACATCTGTGTGTATTCATTCATAGCAACATAAACTTATTTAGTAAAAGCGTGACACTAAGTAGAAGGAACAGAAATATATACAAGATACAAAATTTAAGATAAAATTTAATTGTTTATGTCAATAATATATACTGAATGGCGATTCGTAGGTATATATAACAAATTGCCAAGTACATGTTTTTAAAAGTGTCAATAAAGGACACATCGAAAAATATGTATTTTCATGGATTATAAAAAATCCCATTATTCTGTTCATGAAATTCTAAATAACAAAAAAATGCTACCGATGTGATTCGATTTCCATTAAATTTTGGTTTTGATATTTATTATAATTTTTACTAAAACTAACATTATATTCGTATAATTAAAAATTTGGTAATTGACTAGAAAATTGTGATGTATCTATACTAATTATAATTATTTATATGTTTTTACATATTTGTACGTAAATAGTAGAATACGATAGGACTTTATTTACTACTGCCATCTTGTAGCGTAGGTATTCTTATAAATAAATGATTATTATTATATTATTATTAGAGAAATTATATAATTTTTAATTTCTTATAACTACAACCTAGTTATTCTTTGAACATAATTACAAATATGTTTTAATTACAGTAAAATATGTTATGTGTATGTTCTTTATTTAATATAGAAATAAATTTGAAATAGTTTGTGTATAACAATTTCAGATTAGAATATTTTATTTTTTCATACATTTTAGGTCATGATTTTTCAGTAGTCGGGTTTTAGTTTTTAAACTTTCTTTTATTAAGTTATAAAATAATATTAAATTTAAAATAATCAAAATAAAATTTATATTTTAAATGAATTAGAATTGCCAATCACACATTGATGTTAATGGACAGTTTATTTAGCTGATATTTCTTTATACAATTTTTAAAATAAAAACACAATTAAAAAATAAATAAATAAAAAGAACAAAATTGTGCATTAGTTCAATTTTTTACAGTCGATGATAAACATTTAAAAACCCCTCGAGTGATCCAATTACCTAAGAAGCTTAAAAAGATAAAAACGACGGCTCTCAGACTAATTTGCAATAAATTAAATATAAAACTTACCTACATATTAAGGAGTGATCATTCTTCTTTTTACTACAAATCTGATTTTAGGGTTCTACGTTCAATATAATAATAATTAGTCAATGCAAAAATAAAAAAATACAATAACAAAAGTTTTGTAGGAAAAAGCAGTTATAAATATTCAAAAACCGTACCTACTATAGGAAGAGTAATAAAAGTAAATAGTATTTAAGATCGAAGTATTATATTTTATTAAACTCTCAGCTGTTATAAAAAATGAAATATCCTAAATTTTATTGATAAAATATCAAAGTAATATTTACGTATGCAAAATGAATAAAATGTTAAAATGGAATGAAAACGGAATCCTATAAGTGTTGAACACTATTTTATCATATTGAGCATCAATTATTAATGAAAATTTAGGTACAAAATATACAAGATTTATTAAAATTGATAAATTTGTTTGTGAGCATTAATTACCTAGGTTTATCTACATCAAATATAGGTATTTAAGTGGACTTAGGTTTTTATATAGATACATTATAGATATATATCTAGCGCATGTCTAAATCTAAACAACATAAATTCAATTTGAACTCAAGTCAACCTTGTGGTCGGCCCCCAAACTGGTTACTTTGTAAAACCAAGCCACCCCATTAATATGATAATGGATTGTGAATACTGATCGCAAACCTTCGTGATGCGAAAATGAAGTGACATCGGCGATGATTTGTTATAACATTACATATGAAATTTTTTAATGATAACTAATAGTTTGTATTAATATTCTTCTAGTGTTATCTCTGATATGAGAGATATATTCTACTATATAAAATAAGGTATAATTTGAGAACTAATCTGGTAGATTGGTTCTTAATAGCGACTCGAATGTTGGCAAAAGGTATAACTATGGTGTTGTTAATTTAGTTAAAAATTTCTCCAGGAATATATTTTAACATATTTATAGAACACGTTCGTCTTAAACTGAATAATGAATAGTGGAAAATATTATGCGATAGGTAGATTTGATAAAGCCCCTTGAACTTTCTTCAAGGACAGTTAATTTAATACTTACGTGAATACTCAAATAGAGACCATTGTAAATAATGTAATTATATGTAAATGATATCATTTAATTAGATATCGTGAAATTAACATGAAGCTAATATGATAACATTGATAAGACTACG